CGGCCCTCTTCTGGAAGAGCTTGGCTCGATTGACCTCAAGGGTCTCCTCGATGCCCTGCAGCCTCTGCTCACAAGAAACACCATCCTTGGAATCATCGAGCTGCTGCAGAACGCCGAGGACCTTCTCACCAAGGACTTCGTCGTTGACACTCGTGCTCTCATCAAGGGTGCCAGCCCTCTCATTGCCAGCCTCAGCAAGCTTGACCTCGACAAGCTCATCACCCAACTTGGTCCTATCTTGGATGAAATCAGCAAGCTCGATCTCAAGGGTCTCTTTGATGCCCTTGCTCCCCTGCTCACTCCCCAGACCATCCAGGGTCTTGTCCAGCTCCTCAGCAACGCCGAGCAGCTGCTCACTTCTGACTTTGTCAGCCAGATCAAGACCCTCATCGGCGGTGCCCTTCCCCTCATTGAGGCTCTCAAGGATGTTGACCTCAAGGGTCTCCTTGCTCAGCTTTCGCCTCTTCTCAGTGCCCTCGGCAAGATCGACCTCAAGGGACTTCTTGATGCCGTCAGCCCTCTGCTCACCCCCGAGGCCATCCGTGGTCTTCTTGGCCTCCTTGGCAACGCCGAAGACTTGCTCACTGGCGACTTCGTCAAGGATACCAGAAGCCTCATTGCTGGAGCCGGTCCCTTGCTGGCCGCTCTTGGTGGCGTTGACCTCCAGGGTCTCTTCAAGCAGCTTGGTCCTCTTCTTGCCAGCATCAGCAAGCTTGATCTCGCTGGCATCATTGACTCTCTCTCTCCTATCCTTTCCAAGGAGAGCATCCAGAAGATCGTCGGCCTTCTCACCAATGCTGAAGATCTCCTGTCCGCCGACTTTGTCCAGCAGACCAAGGCCCTCATTAGCAATGCTGGTCCTCTCCTGGAAGCTGTTAAGCCTCTGCTTGCTGCTCTGTCTGAGATTGATCTGCCTGATCTTCTCAAGCAGCTTGGTCCTCTGCTCAAGCAGCTCAGCCCTCTGCTGGGTGCTCTTGGCGAGATCGACCTCAAGGGACTGCTTGATGTCCTCAAGCCCTTCCTCACGCCTGAGTCGATCAAGGGTGTCCTGGGTCTCGTCACCAACGCCGAGGATCTCCTCACGCCCAAGTTTGTCAACCAAACCGCGGCCCTCATCGACGGTGCTCTGCCGCTCGTTGAGGCCCTCGATAACGTCAACATTCCTGAGCTCCTCGAGAGCCTCAAGCCACTGCTTGACATGGTCAAGCCTCTCCTCGGCGCTCTTGGCGAGATTGACCTCAAGGGTCTGATTGAGGCTGTCGCGCCTCTGCTCACCAAACAGACCGTTGCTGGCATTGCCACGCTGCTTGCCAACGCCGAGTCTCTCCTGACGTCTGACTTTGTCAGCAACACGCAGGAGCTGATTGGCGATGCTACGCCACTGGTCGCCACGATATCCGACCTCTTGCAGGCCATCTTCTCAGCTCTTTCGGGCGCCTCTGGAAGCAGTGGCACCACGTCGTGAGCTGGTTAGAGGATGTTTTCTTGCATGAGGTGCATTTGCATATATGAATTTTGAGTATTTATAGTTTTATATTTTTGGATCTAGATGATTTTTACATGAAGCCCACGGGCGGGCAAATCCCCGCACCGAGTTGTTTTTACGAGGGCAAAGGATAATGAAGCCTATCTTGTTTTGGGAGTGGTGAAAAGACGGGAAGAACCAGTGGATGACTGAAGATAGCCCTTGCCCATGAGCAAGGAGCGGCATGTCTTGTACATGAATTAATGAGTCAAGTCAATATTTAGCTAAATGCTAAGAATACTTCTACCACTTTTAACAGCACCGTGATGATACTGCACTGTGATGACATGCGCATGCGTATGATTTGGCCACGGTGATTGTGCCAAGGAAGCACGCCAGATGGAGTGGTGAAGCTCCAGTTGTTGCTGAAGTGCTTCATTCGCCCAAAGTGCCAGATGCGCGCCGCTAGTCTCTCTTTTGGACATTGACCGGCGCGGCTCGAGCCCTTTTCTCTGATGATCCGTTTCAGCCCATTTTCTTGGCTGTGGCGTGCAGAATGGATTCGAAAGCACGAGGCTGACTGTTGGGCGAGACGAGCGCGAAGAAGAAAAGTAATCGAATAGTAACTCGCGTCTCGGGATCATGGATCCTCGGTACATTATATACATTATCATACATGGGCATGAAACAGGCAGCTCCCTTTGCTCCTCTTGTCTCTCTTTTTCCCTCTCGTCTGCCTTGTTCTGTCGTCTCCTTCTCGGCGGCGCGGCTTACTACGTTGAAGAATCATAGTGCGGGCAGCTCACGCCCTGGGCCTGCAGCTTCTCGATGGCGTTCTTGGCGGCCTGGCGGGCCTCGTCGGTGGGCAGGTGGTCGTGCCACTCGACGAGCAGGACGTCGAGGACGGTCCAGGCGCGCATGCTGACGAGGTGGGGGACAATGTCGTACTCGGCGCCTTCAATGTCCATCTTGACCACGACAAAGTCGTGCGGCAGCGTGTTCATGAGCAGCCAGCGGGCAATGTTGACGGCGGACAGGTCGGTGCCGCGGCCGCCCGAGGCCACGGCGTCGGGGTGGTTCTTGTACGTCGAGGACCCCCAGTAGGCGTGGTCGGCGTTGACCTCGTCGAGGTAAAAGGTGCGCAGCCCGTCGGTCGTGTCGACGACGGTCGACGGGTAGATGGTGATGGGCTTGCCGAGGGCCGCGTACTTTTGGCGCGCGTGCACGAGGGCGTCGTTGAAGACGGGGTTGGCCTCGAAGAGGAAGATTTCTGGAAATGAGATCAGCGGATTGTCGAAACGGTGGGACAGGACGAAAATCGCCCTATTTTTTATTTATTTAAAAAAAAAACATAGATACGTACCGGCTTCGTCGTGGGTCGCCCACGGCGGCGAGGGAAAGTCGTACTTGAACTTGGCGGCGGGCGTCTCCAGAAACGTCTCGAGCGAGTCGGCGCTGTTGGCGCCCAAATCGACAAAAATATACCGCGGTCTGCTCTCCTTGGTCATGGCCGCTTTGGGTGTCATGGGCACCTGCTCCGCGGGCGTGTTTTGCGTCAGCAGCGCGCCTCCGGTGGCATCGGCGGCCGGCGCCGTGACGGTGACGGTGACAGTGGCGGGCTCTTCTTGGCCGGCGCCGCTGCGGAGCGGGGCCGCACTGGACGAAGCATGCTGCTGCCCGTCAAGATTGTTCCGCCAAAAGGTGATGAGGAGAAAGAGGGCGACGATGAGGACGGCAGCCGTGGGGACGGCGTTGGACTTGGCAGCCATGATGCCTTCTCTTGTGGTGTTGAATTGTACAAGGGAAGAAGACGTGGGGAGTTGGTGTATAACTCGACTTTTACACAAACCAGCGAGAGAAGAACCAAAGAAGAAAAAGAAAGAAAGAAAGAGTGACAAAGGGAAGAAGTGAAACGGAAACTGGAATGACAGAGTTGGGGGGCTCGACTTCCAATGTAGGAGGAAGCTGACCGAGTCTGCATGCCCGATCCGCCGGAATGAAACTACATATGTGCACAGGTACGGAGATGACGCCGCTTCCTGCCCTGTCCCCTTCCCCACGGGGGTCCTCCCTCGAGCGGATGTCGAGTCCAGCCTCACTCTGCGCTCCTCCATGGCCAGTCCATGCAGCCCTTCAGGGGTGATAGGAAGAAAGGGCAGGTGCTAAGACCAGTCGATCATTTTTAGGCCCAAACCTGCTCATACAAAGTCGCCAACAACGCGCGATGGCGCTCGCTTTGATTGGAATGGCTTGCCTGAGCTTTGTCCGGCGAGGCACCTTTTGGCATGGTGGCTGGACCTCAGCCAGCCGGCGTGCCCCTATTGCCTCGTCTGACTGGTTATGCCGCCGCCATTGACGGTTCCGTCTTGTTTATGCCCCGACTGTTTCGTGTTGCGGGAATGAAGTTCCGAGTTTCTGTCTGTCACGTTCTCCAGTCTCCGTCCCTGCATGGTTGTAGAATCAATCTTGATGATGCAGAAGAATTCGGCGACTCGGCACTGTGGAGGAGGACCATGCTAGAGCCCTATGAAGCCAGACCCCAGTTGCCGAGCAAGTCGGAGCGGGGGTCAAGACTCTAAGAAAGACGTCTCTATTTTAAAGTCGTGGCTTCGTACAAATGGCGCATGGCTTTCGCAAAAGACTCAAGGGATTGGTCTGTTCATGGCTAGCGTAGCGCCCAAAACCCCGTATAGCGCCGTATCCCATGTCGAGAAAGTCGAGCCGTTGCCAGAGCTAACGCCGTTAAGCTTATGGTTGACTAGTCGGCCAGCTGAAGCAAAACGCCACCTGTACGGCTCAGACCTGAATCAATACAGCAAAAAGCCACCAGGGCAACTGTTGTATTGCTTCGCCTGCTCAGCCGTTGGCTCGGTCCTCTGTCCAGAAGGAGTGTGTGCGTTGCGTTCGGGAAAAGAACACATCAGCCCAGATTTCTGTGTTTCGAGGAGGGTTTGGTCTTTCGATCTTGCGGCCGTGATTGCTGGACACGTGTACACAACAACGATTGGACCAACGTCGATCGCCCCTGACATGACCATTTACAGCCCTTTTTTCGCGTTTTGTCTCTTCTCGGAAACTGATGCTCTGGTTTGCTGCGCTTCTGGCGCGGGCTGTTCACTACAAATTAGGTAGTTAGTTAAATGCACTTTAATTATTGTATACACGGCGGCGCCCGGTCTCATTGGTAAAACACTCAACGTTGAAAAGAGAGCCCCGTGTTGTGTGGCAACCTGCCCTGAATCCTTCTTTTCGTCTCTCATTTGGACACCGACTTTCCGACCTACACAAGATTAATTCTGTCCTCGTATTCAATCGCGCTTCTTGGTTGGCATCGGTTTGTCTTTCAATTCGGCCCGCACAGCTCATGTTGGCCGCGACTTAGACGTCTGCGCATCCACCGCAGTGAATCCTCGCCTTTGTTGTCCTCCAACTTCTTTCTCGTCTTACCAACTTTCCATCATGGACTTTTACCAATTATCGCTCGGCATCTTGGTCGCCGCCAATACCGCTCTACTCTGGACACAGCACCGCAGCGCGGCCAAGACCTGGCTCTCCTCCTCCTCCTCACCCTCCTCCTCGGCGCGCCGCTTCCAGCTCACCTTTTTCCTGCCCTACACAATCGCCGTCGCCGCCGACTGGCTGCAAGGCCCGCACATCTACGCCATCTACAAGTACGAAAAGGCCCTCCCCGAAAGAACCGTCGCCGCGCTCTACGCCACGGGCTTCGCTGCCGGCGGTCTCAGCGCCTCCTTCGCCGGCTCCCTCGCCGACCGCTTCGGCCGCAAGCGCGCCTGCCTACTCTATTGCGCCTTGTACGCCCTCACCTGCCTGTCCATGTTGAGCGAGGATCTGCGCTTGCTATTTGCCGGCCGCGTTGCCGGCGGCGTGAGCACCACCCTGTTATTTAGCGTCTTCGAGGCCTGGATGATCTCCGACTACCACCGCCGTGGGCTTGGGGGGCCGACGCCACCGGCGCTGGATGATGAGGAGGAAGAGCATGTGTATGAAGAAAAGGGTACGGCGAGAGCACGCGATGTGAGACGGCAAGGTGACGAGGATGACGGTGCGGCTGGGCCCATATCGCTGGATGCAGTCTTTAGCACCATGACGACCCTGAGCTGCATCGTGGCCATCGTATCAGGCATTATTGGAGATGTCCTCGTCTCGATTTCGGGGACGAGGACGTGGCCGTTCATGGCAGCAATGGTCTGCAGCATCGTCGCCGCTGCCATCATCTCATCCACCTGGGTAAGTTTGCGCCCAGCAGCCTGCCTGCCACTTGCAGCGTCAACAGACTAACCCACGAACCAGCGCGAAAATTACGGCCGCGAGCCCAACAGCGACCGCGAGGCAAACCAAGTACATACCGACAGCCGTTTCGCGTTCCTCGGCGACCCCAAGATCCTCGCCCTCGGCCTCACCACCTGCATCTTCGAGGGCACCATGTATCTCTTCATCTTCTTCTGGACCGCCGCCCTCCAGTCGGCCCGCGACACCAGCCTCAGCAGCGCCGCCGTTGCCCCCGCATCCCGCGAGTTGCCGTTTGGCCTCGTCTTCTCCAGCTTCATGTGCACCATGCTGGTGGGCTCGGCCCTCTTTTCGCATCTGCGCGCCGGGAGCGCCAGCAACTCGGATATCCTGCTCAGCATCCTCGTCATCGTTGGCGGCTGCCTGGGCATCGTTGTCAATGTGCGCGACGAGCGGGTGCTGTTTTTGCTGTTTTGCATCATAGAAGGCTGTATCGGGGCTTACCTCCCCGCCATGGCCAGTCTTAAAAGCCAGCTGGTCGACGATGGCATCCGCGGGCGGGTGTATAGTGTACTCCGAGCGCCGCTCAACGTCTTTGTCGTTGTTGCGCATTGCCTAGATGAGGAAGGTAAGGATATGGCCACATGTCACCCCCGAAACTACTATCCATTAACAATATATAGGGAGCCAGCATCGTAACAATGTCTTCTTGGCCTGCGCAGGGCTTCTTCTAGTTGCATACTCTGTTGCGCAACGCCACTTTCCAAAATAGCACAGCTAGTCACACCATGCAGCAGCCTTCCGATGACAAGGCGATTATCGTGTAAAATCATGAAATCCATCATCTTTCAACTCGGCGCTTTCGACGCCCCGTGCCATGTATGCAACCTAATGCGCGTTGCAGGCATTAATTTTCTTAGCCCAAGGAGCACCCGGCTTGTGCGTGTTTGTATCATACGTCAGCTTCCTCGGCATCACCGTCCACTGCACCGTGCTGTTGCCCTGCCGAAACGTGCTTTCCGGGGTGCCAACGCTGCGGTACGCGCACTGGCTCGCGACGTCGACCCTACCCGTTGCAATGTCCCTACCACTAATAACGCGCTCAAAGTACTCGAGGGACGCGAGCGGCTGGTAAAAGGGCGTCTCGTGGCCGGCCCAGAAGAAGCGCGTAAAGCTAAACTTGTGGCTCTGCTTGACTTGCGCGTTGACCTGGCCGTCGCTCGTCGCCAGGTCCGCGTAGCCGGCCTCACCCCAGCCTGGGGCCTTGACCATCCGCGCGGTCTCTTGGTTGCCCATCCAGTTGCAGTTGAAGTCGGCGTCGCCGGACCACAGGGCTACGTTGATGTCGTGCTTGACAAGATTCCGGAGGGCCTCGATGACGCCCACGCTGCGGGCGGCATCGCCCGTGGTCTGAAATGCGTCGAAAACGGTGGTGCTTGAGGGTGTAAAGTTGGTGAAGGCGCCAATGGCAGCTTGGATGTCGGCTCTGTTGAGGTAGTCACGATAGAATCCATACGGAAAAGCGTCGGGGATACGCTGGCGGATATCATACCCGTTCCGCTTGGCGTGCGTTGCTGGAAAATCCTTAATATTCCTAACACAAAAACGCTCCGCACTGTTGCACTGCTTATCGTCGCCGTTCTTGTCGCATTCCTTTAGCATGTCGAGGCACTTGCCCGGGCCGTACAGGTTATCATACATCAATTTCTGGGTGGATGTGTTAAATGGAGAAAAGTCGTACGTGTGACCTGGTGCGACGGTAAAGTTGTACAGAAATTGAAACTGGGTAATGGGATGGTAGACTCCGTTGCCGATGAGGACGCTCTTGAGGTCAATGTGCGCGGCCCCCGGGATGCTCTTTTCATTCTGCTTGACGAAATAGTCGGCGAAGACGGGTGCGTAGTGGCCACCGTAGGACTGGCTGACGAGATGGACGCCGCGGCGCGAGTACTGCGGAAACGCGCCCATGAAGCCCTGCAAGGTCCTCCACATGCTCGGCGCCGCATTGACCGTCGAGTTGGCCGTCATGTTGAAGTATGGGAGCGAGTACGTCCCGCAGGTCCCTTTGGCGTTATCCGGGCAGGTCTTGTTAGGCAGCACATGAATGGCCTGCGTCTCGGCGCTCACCATGCCCGGCACCGGCACCGAGTACGAGAAGCCGACCTGCGTGGGCTGGTCGATGAAGAGGAGGTTGCTTCTGCGGGACCAGGCGTACGGGTTGTTGTACACCTCGCCAAAATAGTCGACACGGCACGGTCCAATCTCCTTCCAGAGACCGTTCATGGACGAGGAGCCTGGGCCGCCGCTGATCCAGATGGTGAGGGGCGCCGCAAGCGGGTCGACCTCGCGGGCCTCGAAGAACCAGAAAAACGTGTGCTGGTCGGCAGCGATGTCGGCGTAGCCGGAATAGCTCTTGACGTTAGGGTTGAGCTCGCAGATGCCGTTGGGTACCTGCTTGTAGCGCACAGGGACGTTGGCGTAGCCGGTGACATTGGTGAAGCTGGTGGGCGCGGTGACGAATTGGGCGGCTGTGTTGGTGCTCAAGCTCAGTCCAACGAGCAAATTGGATATCCAATGCAAAGCGACCATGTTGAACTGCAGACCTCTTGTCAGTGCTGGTCAGGAAAGTACTATTGAGGATAGGATTCAGTCCTTACTTGTTGATCACGTACTTCCTCCGATAGTTGCTGGTGCCCTCGTTGTTGGTCTGACCAAGAGCGCTGATACTAGGTATGCATGCCGTTTGACGGTGCTCTTCAGGAGAAGGAGAGAATGAATGAATATGGCAAAGCAAGCAATTTAAAATGATTCCGTTTCCAGAGTATTGACAACCACCAGTTCATCAACATCGCGCGGCAGGCAGACATGCGGGGCTAAACTACGTAGGTGGTAGGAAATAGCCAACGTCGAGTTCCTCAAACAGGCAGGTCGACAATGAGGAAGGGCGTCGCGGAGGGGGTGGAGAGTCCGGTCCGGAGCCGTTGGGCGAGGCGAATTGAGAGGGTAGTGGATGTGGTGGAAGCCATGGTTGTTGCAAGGGGTTCGGCAATATGGGACCATGTCCAAGTGTTGGTGGTTTCCGTATCCGCGAGGCGGTGTTTGTTTTGAGGCTATCACGGCATGTGCAGTGTGTCACGTGTGCCAAGTCCCCGTGCAGGGGTGGGTCTAGCAGGGTACTGGCCAATCAGGACCCTGCACGTGTTGAGCGGAAGGCAAGCAGAGGCATGCAAAAGAAAAGGCTACATGATTCTGTTGGCCGACATCACAATGGTGGTGTGGTGGTGTACAAGGGGAAGCGGATGAAAGAGTGAACACAATGCTACAGCTAGGCCCCACTTGATTGAGCCCGCGGCCGAGTGACCCGCTTTTCCACGACGGCTCCGATCTCACAGGCCCGGTGTTGAACAGTACTTAAGGTCAAATTCATGCCAGCAAGGTGTGGATCCCGCTTTTGCTGCAACGCGACACCCGGCGCACCAAATACAAATCAGCCAATCACAGTGCAGCATAGGGTAAAGTCGCTCTGTACTTGCATACAAACATGGTCTCTTTGGACAATGACGGAGATCGGTCGCTACCATGCTCCGACATTGACCAGACGTTGCCTCCGGTGTTAGGGCTGACGAGGGCATCACGCACGCAGGTCGGCGGCGTCTTCTACCATCGACGCTTATTTTGATGCTAAAAGTAGAGTTTAGCGTGTTTGGAATCAAACTACCTAGTCATCGGAAGGAGAGAAAAACGGGCGCGCCTCACCACCGATCGGAAGCAATTGGTAAAAGACGAGCGCATCGGCCTGCGTCATTCACTCTGGAAAGAATGTACAGCAGAGCCTACACGACCACATATCGGAACAGTGTCCCCTTTATCCTTGTCATTTATTCTTTATTAAAAGTCTCCATTTCCCTGCATCACCTTCATATATTTCTCTTAGCGTTTAAGCAGCCCAAGTTCCACAATGAGCCAACCTCAGCCAAGTAAACCAAACCCTCTCCATCCCGCCTCGTCTCGCTCACCACCACTAACACGTCCTACATACAGCCAGCCACCCCAACGGCTACGTTGACCCCAACTTCCCCAACCCCAATGGCCCCGAGGACGTGTCCATCATCATCTACGGCTTCACGCCCTCCATCATCCTTGCCGCCTTGGCTGCCGCCTGGTTCGCCGTGCACCTCGTCCTGCACACCGCCCAGACAGTCCGCTACCGGTCCTGGTGGTTCCTCACCTTCTCCGTCGGCCTCGTCTTTGAGATTGTCGGCTACTGCGCACGCGCCCTGTCGGCGAAAAAGGACCCGTACCACCTCATATACTTTGTGCTCAACTACTTCTTCATCGTCACCGCGCCCGTGTTCCTCGCCGCCGGCCTCTACACGATCCTGTCCGTGCTTATCGGCCGCCTAGGCCGCCGGCATTCGGTCCTAGCGCCCAAGGTCATTCTGTGGTTCTTCATCGTGTCCGATGTCGTGGCCACGATTACGCAGGTGGCGGGCGCGGCCCTTGTCGGCTCGCGCGAGTCGAACCGCCAGGATCCCACAACGGCCAATAATATTTTGCTGGGGGGGGTGGCGTACCAGGTCTTTTCCATGGGTGTCTACGTCCTTGTCACAGCGGCGTTTCTGGGGCGCGCGCGCCACGACCTGCGACGCGACGGCCTGACTGGCTTTGCGTGGTCGTTTGCGGCGGCGACTCTCCTCGTCTATCTGCGCACCACCTTTCGTCTGGCGGAGACTGCCGAGGGCCTCTTTGGAAACCTGCAGACTCACGAGGTGTATTTTGCTTGCCTGGAATTTGCGCCAGTCGCCTTGGCTGTTTTGCTTGTTGGTTGCTTCCATCCTGGTCGCTGCATCAACACAATCAACACGATGACTTCCACCACAAAATCAGCACCGGAAGATGTGCGCGATCATCATGGGACCAATCTCCAGACCTTTGCAAACGAAAGGCCGCGGCGTCTGATGCAGGTACTAGCACAACGCTAAAATACCACCGCGCAAGGGACATGCAACGCAGGGACGGTCTAACGCACTTGTGCATATGTCTCTTAATGTTGCTATGCGAGCCGAGTCTGAATCTCGTCTCTATGTGCACACGATCGCTTGGACGGAACGGTACTTGCAGTCCGATTAGATGGCGACTTGCATGGCCCAGTTTTCATATTCTGCCAACTAGCCCCCCTATGTTTATGCTTCATTCATGTACATCTTCGGCTACTGCGCTTGAAAGCGTTGACTTTGAGGTTTAGGCTTCTTCCGATCGATGCTGACAATAGAACGACCAGATTGTACAAAGGTAGCTAAGCTGCGTCGGAATACTTGTTAGTCCCGTCGTGCCTTAGGCGCTCCTCTCGGTATTGGGGCTAAATAGGCACCGACACGACAGATTTTATCAAGGCTGTCTTCATTCAAGCTTGTCAGGTACAGTGAAGTTGTCTTGTACTAAGAATAAAATGCATGTACACTACCTCGCAAATATCACAGAGTTCCAGGGCTGAACGAGCTCTCCCTCACCATGGCAAAGCTCGGGTGGAAATCGACACATCACATACATGTACATCGACGTTAAAACACGCTCCTTCGACAGTTCCTTAGTCCCTGGTCAAAAAGGTTTCTGTCCAAAGCTGCCGTTTGTTAGTGGAGAGCTTTCTGGATTCCTTCTCATCCTCGTCAACTTACACATTGCCTTCTGGGGTGAACCGGCAGACGACATAGACCTTGTAAGCATCCGAGATGCTGTAGGCGCGTGCACATCCGATTTCCATCGATTGCGACCACATGCACTGCGCTGCGTTTTTTTCAGTCAGCATTGACTTCGTCCCCTCCGCCCTCTCCAACATGAACTTACACCAATGAAGCCAAGGCTCGTGGCCCGTCGTGATGGGCTTGTTGTCATACAGCGGCGCCTGTGCGAGCCAAGCGTGCATGGCCGACTGGAACGGCGCATCATACGAAGGGTGGCAGCCCGAGGCCTCCTGAACGTAGAGGACCTCGCCCTGCGACGGGCGGTACGCCCCGGCGGCATGCTGAAAGGGCACCTGGTTGCTGGCCAAGAGGTTGGCCCAGAGCTGAGAGTAGGCAGCCAGGTCTGCGTTCCACGACAGCGGCGGGACGAAGCGCTCGATGCGGGCTTGATTGACCATGTTGAACGCGGCGACGAGGTCGTCGGTCTGCGCGGAGATGGTGAGCGCCAGGCCGGCCATGGCGGCCGTAACCTTGCCGAGATGCATTTCGAATGGGTATAGACGAGAGTGAGGTGCTCAGAATACCGACAAGCAGCTGTAGAAGTGTCACGCGGAATTTGGGGCAAACTCAATACGGCAATTTTGAAGCCATCCAATCGTGATTCTATTTTTTTCCTTTTTGAAAAGTGAACGAATAAGTTCACAGTGTTGCGTTTGCTCGCTTCTTCAGACACATCTGCCAGCTGGCAGCACCTGGCAGTATAGTACCCTCGAATGGAAAGTGCAAACATTGACAAAGTGTTGGGAATCTACTCGAAATTTATTTTTATCAATGCACATCGTTTTCTCTTTTCTCTGTTCTTGAGTCTCTGCAGTTGGCTTCAATTCCTGGTTGTCGACACTTCTAGAAAATCGCCCCCAAGCTATGACGCCGAACCATCCAAATTATTTCTGGACCGCCAACTTTTCCCACCTGCGCCCAGTCTCCTAAATCCAACCAACCTCCATCCATTAACTACCTCGACAGTCTCCGCGCACCAGCACAAGTCTATCGCGCGCACCATGGCATCCCGTACCGCATCCTCTCTCTTGCGCCAGCTGCGTCCGAGTGCTTTGCGACTCCAACCCTACGGCGCCGCCAACCGCCTCCTGCGCCAACCGCCGCCCATCAGCGCACGACCATCCGCGCTCCTCGTGCGCGCCGCGCACACCATCCCCCGTCCGCCGCCCCCGTCCGAACCAGTCAAGACCGAACCTACGGCGAGTGCTGCTGCCGACGCGTGGCAGCCCGCCGACGCGCCGGCCAGCGAGGGCGAGCGCCCCGAGGCCAAAAACCCAGCCTACTACCAGCTCTCCTTTACCTGCGTGCCGTGCAGCCACCGCTCGCACCACAACATCTCCAAGCAGGGCTACCACGCCGGCTCCGTCCTCATCACCTGCCCGAGCTGCCGCAACCGGCACGTCATCAGCGATCACCTCAACATCTTTGGCGACCGCAAGGTGACGGTCGAGGACCTGATGCGCGAACAGGGTCGTCTGGTCAAGCGCGGCAGCCTTGGTGAGGATGGCGATATTGAGTTCTGGCCGGACGAGGAGCAAGGGACCGAGACCAAGGCGGGCAGTTCATAAATGAAAGCGACGATGACTCTGGCAACCAGTGACATCCTGTATTATATTGCATCAAGGGAACATACGGCGTTGTTGGTTAGAATACCCTCCACTTTGGGAAAACGTTTAGGAAAAGCATATCTCTCTACAAGATAGAATTTGGCAGAGTTCAAATGTACATACTTTATTTGCATCTCACCATCACTCCTTCAAACCAGAAAACGGATTGTCAATAATGAAATGTACATTCAAATTATCATCTAAATCTTGATATAAAAACGTCTTGGACGTGACAAACCAACTCCAAAACTCCACGAATGCATAATGCAAAAATGCCATCCCATCTACCACGTCTTGTACGTCTGCCGCATCGTCTTTTGCTCACTGGACCGCACTTTTCTTCTCTCCTTGTTGCGGTCCAGCTTCTTCCGCTTATCCCGGCTGTACTTTTCCGGCTGCGCGAGCGCCTCAATCTTGCGCTTGCTCGATCGCAGCTGGCGCCGCTTGCGCACCGCCTCCCGCACCTCCATCAGCAGGCGCGTGTACTCTGCCGTGCCAAACTTCTTCTGCATCGCGTCCAGCATGATTTGCGCGCGCGTCTTGATGGCATCGAGGCGGGCGCGGAACTCATCATCGGCGCTAAAGGGCACGGGGATGGACGGGTCCGTCAGGTGGTGCAGCGGCTCGAGCACCTTGCGCAAGGAGGGGCGCAGGCGCGCGACGGGAATGCGCCGCGCAATCGTCTCGAGGGCCTCCATGGCGTGCGTCTTGGGCACGAGGGCGTAGGAGCGCGGGCGAATCTCTTTGCGCAGGATGTGGGATAGGCGCCAGAAGAGGTAGCCAATGTCGCGGGGCCGTTGGGTGACCTCTTCCTCGTCTTGGTCGGCTGCCTCCTCCTCTTCTTCATCGTTGCCGCCAGCCTCGTCTTCTGCGGTCTTCTTAGGTACGTCGGCAAGGCGCGGTCCAAGGAAGATGATGACCTGCGTGACCTCCTTGGCCAGTGCCTCGTCAACTTGGGTGCCGCCCAGCACGTTCAAGCTTAGGCGCACGTAGTCTTGCAGCTTCTCCACGGGCAGCGTGAGACCGTAGGATCCCTTGAGGGCTTGTCCTGGAGGCGTGCTGCCAATTTGCTTGGCGAAATCGGCAAGATACACAGCAATCAAGCGAATTGTGACCAGGCGCACATTAGCGTCCTCGTGCTGCAGACAGAGCGCAACATTAATCCACAGCGGCTCGTCGTCGGGCGTGAGGATGCGCTCAGGGTACTGTACAGTGAACAGCTGCACCGTGCTAATAATGGTGCTAACGAGATCGGCATCCAGCTCTGCAATATCCTGAGCCAGTAGTTCTCCCACTGTAGACAGCACAAGCTTGTAGTCCTTTTGGTTCTTGACGGCATCTTCGTTGGCTTCGAAGTAGTATCCAAACACCGTTAAGCCCAGTCGTAGCACCGGCAGGTTATCCTTCTTGTCAAGCCATGAGCGCAGCAACGTGAGAAACTGTTGTATGCGCTCCCTATCCGCCTTTTGGAAGATCTCCTTGATCAGTTCGCCCGCCGACGCCTGGCACTTTTCGCTATCGTCGTTGGCGAGCACAAAGAAGAGCGGAAGGAAGCACGTCGACGCCACCTGCTGCACAAACTCGTCCGACGCCTTCATCAGAAGCAGGTGCAGCATCTCCATGACGGACAGGCGACCGCCCTCGCGGTCGTACTTGAGGTTGGCGACAATAAAGTCGAGCTGCTTCGCCCAGCGGGCCTTTTTCTGGGGATACTCGCGGATGAACTGGAAAAAGGCGCCGCGGGCCAGGTCGCGCGTGTCCTTGTCGTCGTTGGTGATCATGACGGTGCCGGCGTGGTCGAGGGTGTCGTACACGGTGGCCGTCTCGACGTGGCGCTCGAGGACGGAGCGCAAAAAGTTAAAGGTGATGTGGCGGTACAGCGGCTCGGTAAAGTCATTCTTGAGCTTGCCGAGGAGCAAGTCAATCGCGGCGTCCTTGACAACCACTTCGCGGCGGTCGCGCAGCAAGACGGACAGCAGCTTCAGGGCGGCCTGTGCCAGGTCGGTGGTGGTAGATGTCGACATTGAAATGCTCTTGGTAGCCTCTCTGACAGTAACCTTGAAGAGATTGGCCCCGTCCTCGCCCATAGGAACCTTGACGATGACGGCCAGCAAACGGAAGGCAGAAATCTTGACCTCGTCCTCACCATCCACAATGGCGTCACCAATAATGGGCAGGAAGCCAGCAATGTTCTCCGTCGTCCGCAGACTATCGTGCTTCTTGAACATGGCGCGCAGAATTTCGAATGCGAACCGCATGAGCTTGTAGGTGTGCTTGTCCCCCTTGCCTCGATCGCCACTCCTCTTGGCACCCTTCTGGACGAGGTACTTTCGTACTCTCGGGTCCATCTTTTGCACCTCCTGAGGCTTCCGGCTATTATACACTTCCTGGATGACCTCGTAGCAAAACACTAGAGTATCGCGGCTCTCAGCGGCCGGGTTCTGCAGTAGGCCAATGGTGATGCGCGACATGAGCGCGTCAATCTTGCGCACCATCTTGAGGTCAACCTTTTCCATGAGTAGGGCCCGGAGCGGCTTGACCAGGTGAATGAGGTGCGTCACTGTGGCCGTCTTGGCAACCAGCTCCATCGAGTCCTGGCTCTTGCTGCCCTTGATTTCCTTGGTCTGCGTGGTGTAGCCGTCGGCGTCTTTTTCTTGTCCGACAACGCCAAAGATGTCATCCATGATGATGTTGACGATGGAGGGAAGGCAGTGGTCGAGATCACCAGGGCCAAACGAGGGCACCGAGGCGACAAGGATAGAGTGCATGGTATACGATAAGACGTGCAACTGGTAACCGCGCGTCAGGGCACTTCGGAGCTCCTTGAGAAGGAAGCCAAAGTAGCCAGGGCCGAGGACAGCGGCAATCTGGACCAGCGTCTCGCGAGTCAAGTCTCGAGATTCGTCATTCTTACTGCGCAGAATGTGGCAAATGTCGGTCAGGACTCCAGCTAGCTTCTGGGTCATTTGCTGTTCCGGCAGGAGCTTGAGCAGCTTGACAATAATGACACCAACGGGCACACGGAAACTGACTTCAGACTCATCCTTTTCGTGGAGGTATTTGGTAAGTGGCGGCAAAAAGTATTCAGAGACATCGACGGGGAGCTGGGTCTTGGAGGTGCTCGTAGCAAGGCGCTGCTTCTGTGCGGGAGCCTCCTCACCATCTACTTCCATAGCGTCTTCCTTGCTCCCACAAGAGGTATTGAGAGCATCAGCAAATCGACCAGCCAGGCGGATAGTCTGCTTCTGCAGCTCCGGCTTGGACCCGACGTAGCTAATATATCGCTGGAGAGTCGTGCGGTAGTGATTCCAGTGAAGAGACATGGCAAGGCTTCCGATCGTTGTGGTAGCCTGCGCACCGAGACCATGGTCATCTACGCCGTCTTCGCGCCCAAAGATGAAATGCTCCAGCAGCGGGATGAAGAATTGCGCCAAATTCTGGCTAGCCATCTCATGGGCGAGGTTGGCCGCTTCGAGAGCCTTGAGGGCCTCGAGCTGGCGCGCAACGGCCGGACTCAGCAAATTGAAGAAGAAGGCCGGCTCGGCCGACTCTTCATGCTGTTCCGCCAGCAAGCCCTTGAGGTCGGCCACAGGCGCCCAGTCGGGCATGGTCGAGATCAGGAAGCCGAATACGCGGAGAGTCTGGCGGCGCACCGTCTCGGAAGGGTCTCGGGCGCACGCGTAAATAGCAGGCATGAGCACAGACTTGAGGGTCTCTTCAAAGACGGCCTTGATGTCGGCGGACTGCTCATCGGCGACGTTTTGGACAAACCGTCGCAGACCATCGGCAGCGTTGGTCGACAAAACACCAAATTCCTGGTCGTCGCGCATGAAGAAGATGAGGTTGTGCAGGACGGGCAGCCACTGCTTCGGGGTCCAAGTAATTTCGCGCTCAGCGGCAATAGTGGTAAATGCGCTCAGGCGTCGATCGTAGTCTGGCTCGTCCAGACGGCCCTTGTTGTAAGTGTTGAGCTCATTGCAGAGATTAGCGACCAGAACCACTTCAAGGTCTTGCTTCGATAGGGCAAGCAGGGCACGGGCCAGTGATTGTCTGTTTTCGCGGTCCTTGAAGTATCCAAAGAGCGAAGAGAGCGTATCATAGACTTGCTGCAGCAACTTAGCGTCTTGGCCAGCGTGGTCCATGGACACGAAGCTCTCCACGATGAGCAGGATGCGGCCCTTGGCCTTGGGGCTGACACGGCGTGGAGGCTGGTTCAGCAGGTAGCTCGAGATGCGTATAACGGACTGAATGTTCTCAATGTCCCGAACGACAACAGAGAATGCCAGGATAGTTTCAATGCACGCCTCCAGGAGCGAGTGGCTGACAGTTTGCTCCTCCAGAACCTTGGTAACGCTGGCTAGAACCTGCTTCACGTTGGCATCCAGCAATTCCACCTTGATTAGCTCATTGAATTGAGACTCGCTAGCGGGAGCAACGGCTAGCTTGACGAGGTTGCGCAGAATCTCGAGAGAGTGAATCTTGACCTCGTCCTTTGTCTTTTCCGCCGTGATGCAGTCGATGACGCTGGGTAAGACGCCAACGGGCAATGAAGTGTCGTGGGGGGCGAGGAATAGAGCCGACTTGGGCAGAACTGACCACGTAAAGAAGAGGTTCATCAGTCCAGATACGCCTTGTGTCGTCTCGGCAGCAAGATTTTCGATTCTCGGCGCCACAATCTCCTGGATAATGAGCTCGTGGTATGGCTCCCACTGAAAGTCCTGTGCGTTCTGGAAGAGTGAAATGAGACACTTGATGGCAGTCACGCGAACAACACGGAGCAGCGACGCGCTGCTCGCTTTGTCGCTTTCCTCGACCTCTAGAGCGACATCCCTCAGATTTCGGCCGGCATAGATTGCGCAGTACAAGACCGGGTTGAGCACTTTTTCAATGTATTGCGCGACATTGCTGCCCATTTCGGTAATCAGCGACGAGATCATGTTGAGGAAACCGACTTGCTGGCGGGGCGTGATGACGGGCTCGCTAAACGACGCCTTGGTCTGCACGGCCGACGGGCCGAGGACCTGCACGCCGCGGAGCTTGCTCATTGCAATGTCGAGAAAGTCGCCCATGTCCTGGAGGGTCAGGTTGCGGATGACGGCCAGACGCGTGGCCTGCAGGCCGTGGCGACCGCTCGCGGCGCCCTTTTTGGAAATGGTGCGGCCGTAGAGCAGGCGCAGGAGGACGGGCATCAGCTGCGGCCTATGCGCCGTCTTGATGAGCTCGTCGTTTTGCAGAAAAACGGCGAGCTCGTTCTTGAAGCGCGCCTCGTCCAGAAGAAACTCGAGGTTTTCTTGGTACTTCTTGACAGCCTCCTGCTTCCAGGCCAGGATGCCCTTGAGCGCGAGCCTCTGCACTTCAATATCACCATTCTCGAGGAGACGTAGCAGCGCATCATAGACTTTGTCGTGCTGGTACAGAACCTTCGGGTTGACGAATTGGGAAAATACGCCAATGATGCTCTTTCTGTCGGCCAGCGACCAGTTCTTATCCTCGTCATCTTCGGCATCCTCGTCAGTCGCGTCTTCCGCCGTGTTATTCGACTCGCTAGCCCAGCAGAGAAGGTGAGGCACCAGCTGCCGCGACCTCTTCTCGGCAATGGCGGGAAGTGCGCTGAATACCTTGAGAGCGCGGCTACGCGCAAACTCGGCAATGTTCTCCACGAGCTGCTGTTCTTGGTCAAATTTTTCTAGCATCTTGGTCGCTGCACCGACCGCATTCTCGCGAACGTCTTCTCCCGCTCTTGCGAGTGCCATGTACGCTGTGCAGTCGAAATCGGACAGAGCTGGTCTTTGGGTAACAGATGCGTCGCCCATCGCGGCCTTCCATCGCGGCGAGGGCACTTCAATCCATCGAAACGCAGTCTTGGCGATGGCCTCCTCGCCGGCCTTGGACAGCGCAACCTGTTTCAGTGCTTCGGTAGCATCGTCCCAGACGGGCGAGAGCTTCACGGTGAGCATGCCGAACAGGAATGACGGGACAGCTTTGCTAACCCAGCTGGCGCTGTCCACTTGCGTATAGTCTTGACCCAGTTTCCGCATGAGCATTCCAATGCTTCTCGTATTTTGTAGCTGAAGGGGAGTTTCTTCAATCTCCAGCATCGCGTCAATGACGGCAGCAGATTTATCCATATATTGTAGTAGTTGTAAAGAGGGGTGACGGAGTTCGTGGGAGGGAGAGCCCAGGTTTTCGATGAGGGATGCAATGGCGGGGTCAATTTCTGACGAGCTCTCTTCGGTAGTGGCGTGTTCCTCTGGTGATGCGCTGCCAGACACGGATGATACATAGGTGAGGTATGAGCGCAGGAATCCAACAGAGCGGGCAAATCGAGGGAGGGCAGCGCGCAGTAGTCGGCTCAGACTCGAGTCAATGACACCCGCGGCCTTGCTCATGCCCAGGTATGCGTGGAACCCGGGGCCCACGATGAACCTCACTTCATCGGAATCCAGTGTAGAAGAAGGGCGAAGCGCCAGCTTGAGCTTCTTCAGCAGCAGCTCGGCGATGCGGGCATTGGTAGAGGGGTGCACCGACGTCAGCTCCAGAATCTGCAGCAAGGCCGCGTACTTTGGCAGGCAGCGATCCCGCCACACCTGCGGGTCCTTGTTGTACGGTCCGCGCTCCGGAAACGGCGAGATTTCCAGATTCTCAAATTTCGACACGATCTGGTCCTGCCAGCTCTGCGGCAGGCGGCAGGCGTCCTTGTCGCCCGGTGGGGGGAACGCGCGGTGCGCCATCATACCGGGCAGCAGAGCGCACAGCGTCTCCTCGTTGGAGCCGTCGCGCGCGACGTGCGCCCAGTGCGCGGCGAGGAACTTTTGAAAGGGTCCCCGCAGCAGGCTGCCGAAGCGGCGGGGGTCCAGCTCGCAGAAGAGGGCGCAGAACGGAATGAACCAGCGCATGAGCGGCTCGCGGGTGAGGGACTGGGTGAGGGAGGCGAGGTGGGGGAGGAGGGCGTCGACGGGGGCGTGGTGCCAGGCGACGGCCACGCTGACGAGCACGTGCGACCAGAGCTGGTCGCTCTCGGCGCGGGTGAGCTCGTCGGCGGATGCGTACGGCACCATCTTGGCGAGTAGCGCGTCGAGGAGCCGGATCAGCCGGTTCCAGTTGCTGATGCGCGAGCCCTTGCGGACACCGGCCAGGATGCCCAGGATGCGGATATGCGGAATGATGGCCCACGCCGGCGGCGGCACGGAGACAGCCACGCCCTTTTTCTCAATGGCGTCGAATATGGCTTCAGCATACTCGTCAAAGTGCTCCGCGCGACAGTGGTGAATGGTGCTCGTGAGGACGCCGCAGATGACATCCGTCCAGACCTGCCGTGTGCCGAGTGTCTTTTCCTCATTAGGTATGGCTTCGATGAGTGTCGTCAGTATGGCGCCGCCCGTTGAGTGGATAGTCCCGTCGGTGCCCTTGATCGCTTCCGCAAACATGGTCATGACGCCGTCATTATACAGCGTAAACTGTCTGTCGTCGACCATGCCCGCCAGATCCGCGCGGATGTAGTCCACCAGCCCGACCAGCGCCGTCTCGCGGTGCGACGGCGCCGCCGCCTTCTTCACCAAGAAGCTGACAGCCTCGGCCGCGAAGCGGGCTATATGCCCCGGCAGGCGGTCCTTGCCGAGCAGCGCGGACACGGCCCGGTACGTCGGCCGTACGTCGGGCACGAGCAGCTTAGCGAGGTACTTGAACAGGAACGCGAGCGTGCCAAACGTCCACTCGAGCACATCCGCCGGCTGTGGGCGGCGTGCAATCGCGACAATCAGCACCAGGCTCCTCTCGTAGTACTTTTCAAAGCGCGCGCCGAGGTCGTGCGCAAACGCCGTCAGCAGGTCCAGCAGCGGCTCCAGTCCGTCCTTGTCCTGCTGCGCAATGTGCTCCTCCAACAGGTCCATGATGCGTGTCTCAAAGTGCAGAATCTGCGGCAGCGTCTCGCTAATCGGCAGCACCTTTTGCTTGAATGAGATGAAGCACCGGCTCAGGTTGAGCTCGTTCCATTTTTGCAGAGCCGTGTGGAAGTAGGACGTCGCGGCCGACAGGTCCTCGTCGTCGAGATCGTGGCGGCGCACGCGGCGCAGCGGCTGCAGCGCGTTGAATTGGGAAATTTTGTCGGTAAAGGACTGCCATCGGTGGTTCCTCTCGTGAGGCGTCGAGTACTTGTTCTTGCGCACCTTGGCGATGCGCCCTGATGATTTGGACGGCATGATGACGGGTGTGTACTGATTTGGCAAGAATGGGGAAATTCTTGCAAAAAGTACGCAACCCCGTCTGTGTATATGGTTATTTTACAAACGACGAAGAAAAGAAGAAAAGTCCAATTGGTGTGAGGCTAGAAAGTCGGTCCCCGCCAAAAAGTTCAAAAAATTTGGCTGGTTGATGGTCGGCAGAATTGATAAGGTAAGTGTGGATCCTTCACCGCGTGCATGCAGCCAATGGTCTTGCACGCGCATCTTTTATCAGCCGCCGCCATCTCCAAGCTTCAACTTAACTTCTGCACCACAACTCGCACGTGGCACGACCGCAACCTCAAGTTCCCAGCAGCCCGAATTTACAATGGCGGCGCCCAAGATGTAAGCATATATCTCACAACGAGCTCCAAAAACGCATCTCCAAAAACGCATCTCCAAACATGTATCCATGCTAATTGGCTCTTTTCCAGAATCGTGCTGGGCAGCCTCTACGGCAACCTCGAGCCCGCCTTCAAGAAGCTCGCCGCCCTGCATGCCAAAAATGCATTCTCCCTCGCCATCTTGACCGGCGACGTTTTCGGTCCCTCTCCCTCCCCCGATACCATCTCCGCCCTCCTCGCCGGCACCCTCCACCCCCCTCTCCCGACCTACTTTTCCGTCGGCTCACAGCCTCTCCCCGAGCGTATCGCGGCCCACCTCGCCGCCAGCGACGACGACATCGCCCCCAACCTGCACTTTCTCGGCCGCCGCAGCGTGACCAAGACGACCGAGGGCCTGCGCATCGTGAGCCTGGGCGGGGCCCTGCTCCAGGCCGATGCCGCGGCCCCCGGCAAGGAACAGCACCTCCCGTTTCACACGGAGCAAGATGCGCACAGCTTAAAAGGCGCCCACGGGGCGGATATCTTGCTGACTTCCACGTGGCCCGCGGGCATCTGGGCGGGCGGCTCCAAGGTGGCGCTCGACGAGGACTGCAGGCGCCAGGTGGCGGCGAGCGCATGCGTCGCGGAGCTGTGTGCCGCGCTCAAGCCGCGGTATCATCTGAGCGCGTCGCCGGGGGACTTCTTTTACGAGCGCGAGCCGTTTGTGCAGGCCGCCGAGGCCAACTCGGACGTGATCCCCGTGACCCGTTTCCTGTCCATGGCGCCGTACGGCAACGCGGCCAAGAAAAAGGCGCTCTACGCCTTCACGCTAAACAAGTCGGACGAGGCGGTCCCGCCTGGCACGACAGCCTCGCCGTTTCTCCCGCCGCGCGACAAAAAACGCCGACTAAACGAGGAGGACGCCGACGGCGCCTCGTACAACCGCTACGGCAACCACCACCAGCACGGGCGGCAGAAGCGCCACCGCGCGTCACAGCAGCCGCCGCCCGGCCCGGACCAGTGCTTCTTCTGCCTGTCCAACCCGCGCACCGCCACGCACATGATTTGCAGCATCGGCGAGGACGCCTACGTCACCACGGCCAAAGGCCCCCTCATCCCGTCCGCCGCCGACCTCGCCCTCCCGGGGCACTTCATCATCATCCCCCTCCCGCACGCCCCGACGCTGCACTCCCTCGGCACGTCCTCGCCCGAAGCCGCCCGCGCACGGCTCGAAATGGCGCGCTTCCGCGACTCTCTCCAGTCCATGCTCGCGCGCCGATCCGACCGCAACCTCGGCGTCGTCACCTGGGAGATTAGCCGGGACCGCAACGTGCACCTCATCTGGCAGGTCGTCGCCGTGCCGGCCGCGCGCATCGTCGACGGCCTCGCCGAGGCGGCGCTGCGCGTCGAGGCCGACCGTCACGGGTACCCGGCCTTCCAGACCAGGGAGCTCGCCTCGCTCGAGGACGAGGCCGCGTGCGGCGACTTTGTGCGCGTCTGGCTGTGGTGCGACAGCGACGGCAGCGACGCCATTCGCAGCAAAACCCTGGTGATGCCGCTGGACAGGGACATGCGGTTTGACCTGCAGATGCCGCGCCGGGCGCTGGCCAAGCTGCTGGAACTGGAAGACCGGAGCGTCTGGCAGGACTGTCAGCAGACCGAGGCAGAGGAGACCAAGGACGCCGACGCGTTTCGGGAGGCGTTCAAGGAGTGGGATTTCACCTTGGAATAGACTCGGCGTTTTTAGGCAGAAGAATTTTTCTCGATTATAATTAGCACCTGATTTACCTAGCATCAATGGGCGTTGGTTGGAAAGGGGCAAATCAGGCTCCCACGGAATCCCGGACAGATAAAAGATTCATATTTTGGCTTTTCATGTTAGCTTGTCCTCGAAAACAGCGAGGCAGCAGGATTCACAAGTCAAAAACACAAAACTTTTGAAATATTTTGTTTTCTTCATCTGTCTCTTCTCCTTCATCTGCTACATGTCTGAGACTGCGCTTCGGCACGCCGACAGTAGACTTTCTTATAAAAAGATTTGTGTCCTTCAACAGGAAGTGATTGCTGCAAAAAACAACAGCCAATGATACATCCAGCAAACTCCAATGTTTACTCTTTCCCACTCGCGCCTGCAATAGCGAAAACAACAATGCGCAAACCGGCACAATAGCTTTATAGAACCATGTTTCTTTATCGACAAAAAAAGGAAGAAAAAAAAAGTTTGACAAAAATTGGAACAAGTCCAAAGCGGGCAAGCCAACGAACACATCGAGTGCCAGGCGCCGCCAAGAAGGGCAAAAAGTGACAAGGGAGTGTTTTGGTCATAAAGAAAGGGGTATAGACAAATGCAAAAACAAAGGCATTTCAAATGCATGTCAAGTTGCGTGTCGCCGGGGGTAGGTAAATACTATGCGCAGCAAGTGCACCTGGCGCAGCTCTTGAAGCATAGCTTGTTCGTGACCGTCGGGTCGTGCGGATAACATGTTGAGTAAAGAGCGGGCAGCATGGGATCCAGAACGGGCGCTCCGTGGTGGAAAGTCAACGCCGGTGTTGTGTTACAAGTGGTTGATGAGGCACCAACAGGTGCTTGCTCGCAGTGAGGAAGGGGTAATAGGTGGTTGGTGCGTAGTAGAGTGCCAACATGGCAAAGACAAGAAACTTTTCACACAAAATTGCAGCGCAAAGCAGGCGCAATGCAAATGCGAGACAGCTATGCCGAAATGAAAAGCAGCAGCGCAAAGAGCACAGATGTGACGGTGCGTCGGAGTGATGATTAGTCAAAGCAAGGTGAGCTTGTTCGTGGCTCACGGCGGCCTGCGTCCAGTATGATGTGGGTTGGAACAGCCGCGTGAAATATTAGTCGTTTCATGTACAACGTGAGCCACGGTTGTATATAGATGGTTGCACCAGTAGTCGAGGTGCGGTGCCGTGGACTTGCAGAGCCAAGACAATGCACCGGGGATGTGTAGCACAGCAGGCAGGCCAAACATTAGTAGGAAGCCATGCGACGAGTGTGTGATCGCTCAGGGATAGGAGAAAAGCTGCCCATGATGGGGAATTGCCGCGACGTCGGTCGACCGGGCGCAGTAGGAGAGTCATTTATACAGTGGTCTTTCTGGCCAAAAGCAAAAGTCTGCGCGCGGTTGAGGCCGCCTTTGCGAGCCTTGAGTCTGCCCATCTCGCGCTCGCAAGTGCGCTGGTGCTTCTCGTCAGACATTTCCACGTACTCTGGAGGAAAACATCTGCCACGGAAAGTGCTAAAAAAGCCGCTGTAGCCTCCATCCAGAATGTAGACCTCGGGATACGTCAAGCGAGGGTAGAATTCAGCATTCACGGTACGATCCTCGGCACGAACATGTCTAGCCATCAGAGGAGCACGGTGAGCTGAATATTCACAGTGAAAGATGAGCAGGGATCTACCGCCAATTGGGGTCGTGAAGAGTTGAGAAGTGAGGAGCTCCTTATCGTTGTGGTTGACAGCACCCTCAATGTGGCCACCGTCGTACTCATACTCGAAGCGGCAGTCAATGACCATTTTGTGATCAAATTGGTCATTAAATTTGCCGTCGATAATGTCCAGCATGGTCTCATTGGTGATACGTGGAATGGTGTCAGTGGGGTCTTCTGACAGAAAGTGAGGGATGACAGCTTCGTAGGCTTCCTCGATATCCATGACAGACTTGAGAGGAGTTGAGATCAACTCGTGGGCCTGGGACTTGGCATTCATGACTTCATTGGGGTGCTCAAACATGCTCAGGGAGCGACGGACCTGCTTGCGAGCACGCAGGAATGGGTTCGACGAGCGTCTGCTGTGAGCTATGGGAGATCCAAGACGGGGACTGTTGTTGTTGGAAGAGACGAATTGGGGCCGGGAACGCAGGCCAATGGGGATGGGAGCGCATGGGCTGTTGCACGAGGAAGGTCTCGAATCCTGAGGGGGTGACTCAGACTGGAAGCACTCTCCAAGAGAGAGATTGGAGCTCGAGCGGGACATGGAATCGCCGCCAAAGCGGAACGGGGGAGCTGACCATCAGCTTCAGATTTGAAGCTGCTGCCAGCAAGGCTGTGGCCCTTCATTCGGCTCAAGGATGGACGGCGTGGAGCAGCAATTCTACGGCTACAGCATGTTAGCAGGCACTCGACACAAGACCACCGCTCCGTACGTACTCTGCAAACGACGGTAGCTTGGGAAAGTCCAGGGATGGGCGTAAGATGGGAGCCGGGGAGTCGAGTATCATGTCTTCGTCGCTTGACGAGGTATTGGGTGTAGGAGAAGCAAATTCGGACTGCAGGGAGAATGGCGTCTTGTGTGGGAGCGGAGAAAGCTCCATGTATTCGGTCAACTGGGCCGGGGAGGACGAAGGGAGCGGAGGGGTCGTGACATAGTCTGGAAGAGTCAGTATAGCAGGGCAATTCCATAGGAGCAGACGACTTTACCTCTGTTGTGAAAGCCGCCCATGACATTGGCAGTGAAGAGAGCACGGCGAGGAGTCGGGAAGTGAGGGCTGTGACACCAGTCAGTATCGAGATCGATCCGTGGTACTCGGGGGCGAGCTGTCCTACCTGGCTTCGCTGTCTAGACGAAAGTTCTGTGAGAGGTCGGCGGCCAAGCTGGCGGCGGGCGAGGAGCCACGGGGTTCATTGCAGGCAAAGTAGTCGGAGGTGCCTCTCTGCAGCTGCTCTCGCAAGCTCAGGGCGGCCGAGGCAACGGGCCCTACAAAGGAGTGGCTGCGGAAGATGTCCCGGCCTCCCCAACTGGGGGCGGGCATCGGGCGGTGCAGAGCCGCGAGTGGTGAGGAAGCCTCCATGGCGGGGGAGTTGAGGCAGAGGGCTCCGGGTGGTCAGTCAGAACTCGCAAAAGCTGCGAGAACTGAACAACCTTGGTGGTGGTTGTAGAGAGAGGAAGAAGAAGTAGGCCAAGGACAGAAAAGTCAAAGTAAACGGTCGTGAAAAAAAAGAGCTCCACTGGCCTAGCAACGGGGCAACAGCGTGGAGGCGGTATTCACAGCAGGGTGGGTGACGTCGTGGGACATGTATTTCGTGGGGGAGGTTTCAAAAATCGAGCATTGGCGGGCACATGGGCATGTGCATTGATTGCGTGGTATTTGTACAAGAAGCAAGAAACAAGAAATGATTGTTGTTCGTTGGAATCGTGTTTGGTCCGTTGGTGTCGGGATGTGCGTTGGTGGTCAAACGGGTGCTGACGTGGGTGGTCTGGTCAAAGGATGATTACCTAGGTAAGTAGGCCCAGGAACAATGAAGGAGAGGGCGAATTTGGCGAAACTTTTTCTTTCCAACGGCTTCCTTGTAGCTTCCGGGGAGATGCATAAGAGGACAAGAGCATGAACCAATTCGGCGAGCGGGAATTGTGCTTGCAAGGCGGCGAAGATGGCTTTGCGTTCTGACTGACTCTACACCCGGTCGATGGCGATGGGGGCTGTATCCGCAACAGCACAGCAGTCGTATTAGCGGTAGCTGTACTATTAAGGCTGAAGTAAGTAGCCGGGAAAAGCAGTAATCCGAGGTGGCAGAGGCGGCTTTGTTCTTTTTTGCCCTTTTTCCTTTCCGGTGGTCGGAGCGCAAGGAAAAGTAATAGAAGGGTCAAGTTGTCGTTGGAACAAAGCCAAAGCCGTGGCTGCTGGTCGTCGTTTGCCTCGGGGCGCGGGCGTTCTCTTACAAGAGAGGGGGGGGTGGAAGGAGGGCAGAAGCAGAAGATGGGTGCGGGAGGCAACGGCTTTTGAATATGTACCGCCACCAGTGAAGAGCGAAAAAAAGAGCCAGGCCTAGGATAAGGACGACGGGCTGGGAAGTTGTAAACGTTGTTAGGGGTGATGGTGGAGGGCGGATGCAACGCAACGCAGCCTTGCGAGGAGAGGTGTACGAAGTAATCACTAGTAGGTACCTACCTACCGACGAGTTAAGTAACAGGTAGGTAGGTGGTTTGATGGAGGAGACGTGAGGGGCGGCGGCGGGCGGGCACAGCGACGGAGGGAGAGAGAGGCAGAGCCGGAGGCTGAATTGAATTGAATTATGGCGTACCTTGCTGATCTACGGAGTCAAGGTACGGAGTACAGGTACCTCGATATGTACCTTGACTTGACTAATTCGTACAAGCAAAAGACCTTATTCGTGATAGCCGTGGTGAGCAGTTTTGGTTTGGTTCCCTTGCTAGTCGCTGTTAGTGCACTCCGTACGCGCTGGAGGCTTGCTGTCTTGCAGCACCAGCAGCACGACAATCACTCTGGCTGACCAGTAACGAGCGAGGAGACTCTAGTTCTTTAGTTACTTTAGTTGCTTCCAGCTTTACAAAGCTTCTTTTCCACCTCGTCCCCCTGCCCTGGTCCACGCTATGTTACCAAGGTCAGTCTTCAGCTGGATGCGAACCCCACTGGCAGGGATGGAGGGGGGAGCCAAGTGATGCGGGCGGCCAGACGACGACGTGGGCAGGGCATCCCATCTCCAGGGCAGCCAAGACAGACCAGACCCCTCGCAGAGCAACCAGGCAGGCAAGCAGAGCAACCAATTGAGACTTTATTTGCAGAGCGTCCGTCGGCCTTCTCTCCCGCGCCTGCATCATCTTCGTTCGGTATGTGGGTTTTGGTTGCTCCGTTGTTGCAGTGGACCGGTGGCGCGCACCAGCAGGGACTGTGACTCTGGAACTGCAAACTACATAATCTGTATTAGTTATTACAGGTATTAATGCTACTCTGTAGGTACAATTCTTTTCATAGCAGCAGTGCCCCGAATGGCCCGACTCCAGGGAGCCTGGCCTCAAAGCGCGCCTACGGAAACTCGCCGCCAGCTGACAGTCAGTACAGAGTACTCCGTAATCCGTACCTTATTATTAGTACCTACCAAAGTTCCAAGCTCAACACCCCCCAGCAACACCACGACAAATATCATCTCCATCTGCTCATAAATTTCAAATCCCCCTGTGACTGTGACAGGCTCCAGGTTTGCTTCTCAGTTGACCGGGCATTGGCAATAATTACTAATTCCTACTGCTGCCCTTGAGAAATAACCTACCTACCTCCTAATAATAGCTACCTAGCTACCTAGAATAACGGCCAGTGTCACCGCTGTCCAGCCGACCAAGTGCCACAGCATCAAACCCCGTCCTCGGTAACATGGCAACTGCATAATACTTTGCAACTACATACATAATCACTCTATTATTTCCCCGCCAACTCGTTGCTAGTATCATCGACACGGTAACCATGTACATGTCCGTCATACAGCAGAGCATCTTTGTTTCATTATTCACTGTTACCGGTTTGTACAAGATGACTTTATTGGTTTCCTCCCTCCTCGTCAAACTCTCCTCTCCCACACCTCGAATCACGCCTCATCCCAGCCCGCTGGGCCGCTGTGGACTCATGTCGCTCATGGAGTCCAAGACGGCCGCCCCGAGCCTCCCTCGAACAACCTTTTAGTCCGCCCGCCGCTCTCACACGACTTCTCAACGCTGTGTCTCTCTTTTCTGATACGAGCAGCCTCTACCCGCCCGCCGACACCAGGTCTCGGCTACCACCTACAATCTCGCTCAATGGAGCCCGTCGCTCGTCGCGGCATCCCAATATGTAACTACTTCGCCGCCCGCCTGCTCCATACTCCGTACCGCCTCACCTTGCTGCACGCGACAAGCCGCAAATGATCCGACGCCTTTTTTTCTTCCCTGACATGATTTCGCTCCCTGCCCCCAGAACCCCAGAACCTGATCTGCGACAGTCTGTGAATACCTCGGCATCCGACTGCTGAAACCCCTCGTCACCTCAAACATGATTTCGATCCATCACTCGCTGTCCTTGCTGTCCCCCGAATACGGCCTGCTGCTTGCGCAGTTCCAGGATTTCCGCAGATTCCTTTCCCTGCCGTCACACCACAGATTCCATATTGCTTCGCTCCGTCCATATTCCGCCAGACGGCCCGCCTAATCAATGCTTCATGCACATCACTACTGATATGTAGAGCGTACCTTCTTCGCCCTCACCGCCGGCATCAAACGCCGCTGTTGTATCCGTCCTCTGCATGTCTCTCATGGCGGACATTTCCAGACCGCATGCCAGTCGCTTATCACACTGCCGATCCAAGGAAGCATCGCACCGTAGTTAGAATACATACCACATCTACTTAGTAGTGCAGGGTAGTTTTTGATACTGCAGATTGTTCGCGGATTCAAGCGCCGAGACTGCTGGGTTTCTCCTCTAAAAATAAAATAAACTCATTCCTGACCTGGGTATGCTCTAGTTCGTTAGACTCTGTGAATCGCTGCGGCATTTTGTCTACTATGACTCGTGTATGAGTGTCATGGCGATTCTTTGCCAGGGTTGCTGAGCCAGACTAGTTGGGTTCTAATAAAGTCCAACCAACTAACTAACTGACATTGAAGTCGTCCAATTACACGCACCTGGCTTACAGTTAAATCCATGTCCAACTTGACACCCCAAGTCAATGCGCTTCCGTTCCTTTGACGGCAAGTATATACATGACCCGTGTGTTATCATCGAATCGCTCGGGTGTTGCATTGTATCACGCTTCACCATTCACGCGTGCAACACATCAAATCGCACAATCACCACTTCATGAAATGCATGTCCACCAGAGATGAACCTCCAACAGACTTCAATCTCGCAAGATGCCAACCAGCCCCACGAAATCTTTTTTCGCATACTCATTCCTACCAATAGTAGTACCCAATTCGTCTCTTCCCATCGAAAAACCCCAGAAGCAAGTCCTAATTGTGGGCTCGCTTTACTTATCAAGTATGAAAGAGTTGCGGTCTTACATGCCTTCATTATACCAGATTCCAGTGCATGTCACTGCAGAGCAAAGATTCCCACAAGCACTCGCGTACCGGAAATTATTATGCGGACCGTTCGAAGCGAGACGAGGGCCGCATTCTTTTCCAAGCCCCAAACGCGGCAATTATGATTAAGCTACCCACCTCGCTTGTCATTACAGTAACTACTCTACTCGCCCTCTGAGTCTCCTACCCGGAGGCTCTGCTCTCAGCCTGGTGTGACGCGATCAACCTCTTTCCAAACAGCGAACACCCGAGCTGAGACGCTAACTCGGTGTCGATCAACCTGTAATAATAGTTCCATGCGGCAATTTTTGTGGTACTAGTACAGTGTTCTCTGCTGCACCTTTTTACTGCAAGGCTAACTAACTAGTAACTAGTTGTCTGGCCGTGCCGTTGCGAGGCCCTCCCTGGTCAGTGGTTCCCCAACTCAGCTGTAATAACTTATCGGTTCTCTGGCCGGCATCTTGACTTCCCAGTGCAGTGCTAACATTCAACACTACTCCTCACCTTACGGCGTGCTGGCAAGGCCCAAGCGCCGCATTAACAAGAACCATTGCACAAGGACATCTCGTGTCGCCCGCAAAGCTCGTCCCGCGATCTGGCCAAGCCCAACACCGAGACACATTCAGGGCGGCTTTTCGCCCCCTTCCAAATTACAGCCTTCCATCTACGCCGCCCGCCCGCCCTTTGCTCGGAGCCCTCTCTCCCTCGTTCGGCCCCGGTGTTCCGGACTCTGCAGCTCACCACCCGAGCCTTGTATTAGTTACTGCAGGACATCTCTGAAGTCACCTTCCCCTCCCTCCCTTGCATTTCAGAAAGCCCGCCCCCGTTCTTGTGCAACGGGCACCGTGCCGTTTGCCCCAAGCCTCTCGGACCGAGCAAGGGACCCTGTGAGAGCGAAGGAATAATAAGACCTTTTTTAGGTAGCACGGTAACTGAGGGCGGGGTTCCATCCTGGTCCCAATCTGACGGGCTTTGTAGCCGCGTCCGTGATCACAAGTCGTCATTGTCGGGAACAAAGCTCAGATGGCACAAACCCCCTAGTACTTGTCAAACAGTCTTGGCCTCGTACAACCCATTCTGTAGTACAAAAATGACACACCAACCCTCGGCGTGGTAACAACAGAAAGGACCAAAGAACCAAAAAAAAAGGTAAGGCGATGTGCCATGAATACGATCCTGCATGGCGCAGGCACCCCCTCCCCCTGTTTACCGGCCAATGATTGGTTCTCGCCTGTGCGCCTCATGACAACTCAGGTTTACCAGAACCATCGTCATAACGTTACAGCTTTGTACCGGTACATGCACAATGTCCACTTAGAACCAAACAATTACTTTATTTTTCTGCTTCTCCGCGTTGCGGCCGTCAATGCATTTACAGACGTCCAGCGTTTCACGGCAATGAGTGGTGCAACACCGGCTGCTATGTGCACCATGGACATCATGAACGGTACTTGGAGAGGCACAAAAGTCAAATCTATAGAATAAAACTCAAACAAGGCAACCGTCGCAGCCGTATGTGGCGCGTTCGAGGAGCCGTCCTATTTGTTGATATCCGAAAAGGTAAGACTTCTGCATCAATTTGATGCATGTGTAACTAGTTAGTGCATGCAATAGGTATGAATAATACTTTGTACGGTACAAATTACATGTAGACTCTTGTGCTACGGCGGACATTTCCGTCGCCAAAGTCAGCCCGGTCTACTCCCGCATACAGCAGCTTGTTTCTTTTTCCCGTTCTCAGATGATCAGAAAAATCCCACTTGTTCCCCTCACTACTCACTGCGGTTTGCATAGTCAATCAATTTTACACTTGTTCGGTGTGTATTGACATATCACCACTATCGCACACTCGTATTCTTCGCACATCTCCATGTCCAACAACAAGTCTCCAACACGACCAACTCGCTAAGAACTCATTCTCCCCTGGCTACGGTGTAGCGTCATGGACGTTCCATCGTCGATTTGGCTAAACTTACGATCCAACATACTAGCCTCCGAAGGTTGTCACACTCTTACCCCGTTAAAAAATCCTTCGCCCACAACGGCGACTATCAACGTCATGGATGCAAGCTGTTCGGGGTGTTATGAATGCCCGTCCTGTCAACTATATCAGTAATAGCTTATCGATCGTCATGCGCGTTGCGCGAAAAAAATGAAGCAAAAAGCCACTGCTGATTACGGCGCCAAGCCAGGTGCTCGGATGATTGCGTCGCAGCTCTGGGCGCGCCGAAACGATACCACGCGGCCCATTTTCGTCCCGCAAGCTTCCCCAAACCGAGCATAATAATCCCGTTCAAGTCTAGTTCTTGATCCTGGGGCGGCATAACTGGAGTTCTTGTTCGACCAGGGTGCCATGGTGAGGACAGAGGCGAAGCCGTGGGGGCAGAGCAAAAAGCCTCTTCTCCACGTATCCAAGTTTAGCTTGTCATTGTCCTCCAACGAGAAGCTCGAAAGCCTTGCTCTTGACTCTACGAGGTTATCCCATCCCTGTCTCCCCCCTCTCTTGATTGTTTACTTTGGCGCGCCTACCCCTCCAGATGAATTTGGCTTCCAGAGTTCGACGTCTAACCCGTCGCAGAACATGCACATGACTGCGCACCTCACGCATGCATCTACCCAATCACATCTGCCGTACGCTGAGTTGAGGCTGTCCGCCTCGGTCACTGGGCCACACGCTTTTCGATACACCGCATGTCCGTTTTCAGCCGGCTTCAAAGTCCCCATCCGGCGCCCTGAAACCATTTACCTTTTTTCTTGGATCCTGTTGCTCCACTGGGGCGGCCAGGGCAACTTTTTTAGACAGGCCAATTGTCCGCGGGCCGGCACCAGGGTAGGGCAAGCAAATATTGGAACAATGGCCTCTGGTGTTGTCGAGGGAGAGCCATTGACACCCCAGTTGTGGCTTCATCTGCCCTTTTTTTCGTTTCTTTCTGTATTGGATTTATATCGCTCAGCAGCTCTCCCTTCGGGAACTGCGACCATGCCTTTGAAGTTGCGACCTTACAGCGTTGGCCAACGTGTTGATCCCAGCAAGTAAACAGTGTCAGCCAAGTCGCGCTACTCAAGTAAACAATGCGCAACGCGTCCGTTCTGCCCCGCCCGGCAACCGGCGCTGTCACGATTTCACGTGACTTAAGCCGAAGTGGGATGAGCTAGATTAGGCAGGCGGGAGTGACCGGCAGAATATAATTTCTTGGGACTTGATATCGTAGAATGTTGGCTTTATGAGCAGACCGAATGAGTGCGCTCTGCCATAATTTTGCCGGTACAATTTATTTCCAACATCATGGCAGGCAAAAGGAAGCGCGGAGCCAAAGAATCTGGCGCTGCTGCTACCAATGGTCATAAAAAGGCCAAGAACGCGACCAATGCAACGGCCAAGTCGACGACGGCCGCCCTCGAAAAACGCCCGTTTGTCGCGGCCCCGGTCGGCGAAGAAAGACTACGAGAGGCTACGCTGTATGATCTTTTGGCTAGCGAAGACGAAGATCAGAGAATATCTGCGGCCGACTGTATTATATCCAGCCTGGTCGGCAAAGAAAAGGTCCCCGAGGCCGTGCTCGAGCGCCATCTCGAGCGTCGCCTGTTCCGTGGACTCGCCAGTGGCCGCAATGCTGCCCGGCTGGGCTTCAGTCTCGTCATTACCGAGCTGATTACCCAGCTCTTTGGCGATGAAGCGCTGGCCGCCGCGCACTACCCCGGCCTCACCTTCCAGAAAGCAGTGCGCATCCTGATGGACAAAACACACCCCGTCGGCAACATCCCCGGCCAGGAGGAGCGAGACCACTACCTGGGTCAGCTCTTTGGCATCGAATGCTTCGTAAGCTCAGGCGTCATCTTTGCCGAGCCGGCGCGGTGGAACATGGTGCTGGACCTGCTGCTCAAGATTGCGCAAAAAAAGGTCTGGCTCCGCTCGCAGTGTGGTTGGGTTATTGTGCAAGCCCTACAGCAGATGGACCAGAAGTCGGCGGAGTCGACGCTGAAGCAGATTGTCGATGCCAACATGGCCAAGACGGCGGACGGCGTTGCTTTCTGGATCACCGCCACGAACAAGTACCCGGACATCAAGATCAAGCCGTGGCGGCACCCGCTGGCGGCCAAAACCCTCGGTGATCTCGCCTCAGTGCTGAAGGAGAGCTTCAACGAGTCGAGCAAGGATTCCAATGAGAAAAAGGGAAGTGCGCCCAAACAAGCCAATTGGACGGCCCAGCTGCACTTTGTCTGGGATATCATTCTGGCGCACTATGCCGGACAAGGCATCAAATCCGACGAGCTCGACCAATTCTGGCAGAGAGTTGTAGATGGTGAGTACAATTTGTCCCGTTATGTGCAGCTGCTTACCCGGGGCAGATGGCTTCTTCTCCAAGAATGCTAGCGATGGCCAAAAGTTCAAAGGCTTTATGGTCTTCCAGAAGATGCTCGAGGGACTGGTGGATCAAAAATCCAAGGTCGACAAGCTCTTTTCCAAAAATCTGCTGAGCTGCCTGATGAACCAAGCTGCGAAGGAGGACCGTTATTTGCATAGAGCCGCCGTCAAGGCACTCAAAGCTATCGAGAACACCGTTGCAGCACACCCCAAAATCCTGACAACAGTTCTTCAGAATTTGTTAACCGGCAATGGTGTCTACAGCTTTGACCAGCGCACATCTTCCAAGACAATTGACCGTCTACTGCAAAACTCCGGCACTATTAGCGATAAGAAACTTCTGGAGGTCTTGCAATTACCAATCCCATCTCTGGCAAGCCAAGAAGAGTCTCAAGCCATATCAACCCTGAGATCATATGTTGAATACTTGTCTAAGGTACTGAATGCATCTACCTCGACCTGTTCGGAGAAGAGCAGCGGAAAGGACTCGTTTGGAGTATACCTACAAGAACTCTCGCGACTGGCCTTTTCACAGCCCGACAGCATTCCCTCTGCGCTGTTGACAGAGCAGATTCGCGAGCTCTGCCGAACAAGACTGGAATCGTCTCTGTCCAAGCTCACCCGCCATGCTGATGACTTTTCCGGACTATGCAGCGCCATCGCAGCCATCGACCCTAGTTCGGTTGACATGGACGATGACATCAAGACTGCAGTGGACGAGGCCCTAAAGCGCATGCGTAGTCTGCTGAAGCGCAAGTCCAAAACTGAGGCTGCCAAGAGCGTCAACGAAGCCTTGGCCACACTTCACGCCATCTCAATATTCCAGCTATACAACGGAGACCCTGACGCCATGGAGTCGCTTAAAGACCTGACAGAGTACGACGAAAAGTTGAAAAAGGGCGACAAGACGGAAGGAAACTCGGAGCTCCTCGTGGAAACTTTACTGGCCATGGTTGCGCGACCGTCATCTCTGATGCGGCAGGTCTCGCAAAAAGTGTTTGAAGCCTTCAGCAGCCACATCACTGCTGGCGGCCTACAACTGCTCATAGACCCATTGGCGTCCAATGAGAGCACCAAGGGCCAGAAGGAACTTTTCAACACGGACGATGATGTCATGTTGGTCGACGAAGATGGCTCCGAAGATGGCTCCGTTGATTTGGACGACGTATCCGATGTCGAGCTTGGCTCCGACGTTGAATTTGTCAACCTGGGCGACAAGGACGACGCCAGCGACTCCTCCAGCGACTCCAGCGACGATGATGATGACGACGAGGATGACGACAAGGACGGCGACGAGCAAGGCGGCCCTATCGACCTTGATGTCCTCTGCGCCTCGATCCTCAAGAGCCACCGCCTTGACAAGGACATGGACGCCGCCTCCTCCGACTCGGACGGCGACATGTCTGACTCGGAGATGATGCAACTCGACGACAAGCTCGCCGAGGTCTTCAAGCAGCGCGTCCAAGCCAAGCCCGACTCGAAAAAGGACAAGAAAGACGCGCGACAGTCCGTCGTCCAGTTCAAGCACCGCATCCTCGACCTCGTCGAAATTTACGTCCGGGTCGAGGGCGGCCAGTGCCGCAACCCGCTCGCCTACGCGTTGCTCGCGCCGCTGCTGCACCTCGTGCGCACCACCAGTACCCGGCCGCTCGCCGCCCGCGCGTGCGAGATCATCCTCCTCTACCAAAAGGCTCTGAAAAAGGCCCGCGCCACCAAGACGGACGCCGACGCCGAGGACCGGGACCTGCTCCCGCTGCTGGCCGAGATCCACGAGGCTGCCGGGCAAGATAATGCGCACGCGTACAGCAAGGCGGCCAGCGCGGCAAGTCTCATCGTGGCCGGCTCCATGCTGGCGGCCGACCGCGCGAGCATCAGGCAGATTGCGGCCGTCTACGCGCAGACGCAGAGCCGCTGGGTGCTGGGCGAGGCGCGCCTGCAAACGTCCTTTTTCGCCGACTGGAACAATTGGTGCCAGAACCACGCGGCGCAGGCTCGGGACAAGAAGGAGGAAAAGCGAATTGAAACCCAGTGAGTGCAAGAATACAAAATCACTGCGCAACTACGAGGAAGAGTTAAAATAGTAAATAGAGTAAGGAACCTGTATATAACGAGGGTATTGAAAAGATGAGAGAAGAGAAGAGGAGTTGGAAAAGAAGTCTGCAACGGAATAGACTCATCTGGGAACACCTGCACACACAACGCTCAATCGTAACACTGTTCTTATGGACCCTGCTCTAATATATCATATTACATGCTTTATTTCCTCTTGGTTTGTGGAGACTATTCCTCCATCTTATCATCATCGTCTTTCTTATTGGTATCCTCATCGTCGTCGTACGACTCGTCCTCGGCCTTTGCTGCTAACCTCTCGGCCTCCTCGCGGAGCTCCTTGGGAACCTCGACGTGGCGGCCCTTGGTGGGCCCGTCGACGGTGCTGATCCAGGTCAGCTCGAGCTCAATGCCCTTTTCCTTGCTGTCCTTTTGCGCGACGTAGATGATGCGTACGGCCTCCTTGACAGCCTGCAGGAGCGTCATCTTGTCGCCGCCCTCGAGGTCGAGCTTCTCGAGCTCCGCCTTGGCGGTCTGGCGGCCCCTGCCCGCTGCAGTGCCCCAGTAGCCCAAACACTGGCCACTCGGCTCGGCCATGTACAAAAAGGTCCCGCCATGCTTCTTGCCCGTGACCTTGCCGCCAGCGCCGCACGCGGGGCCCGACCCAACCTCGCCGTCGACGCCAATCTCCTCGGATGTATCGACGCCGCCAATGATGGCCATGACGCCAAAAGGTCGCAAAGAGCTGGACATGGTGAACACTTGCATGTGGTTGCCCAGGCGCGAAGCCAGGTCCGTTGTCGGAATAGGTGCCTTGAAGGTTTGTCGCCACGAATGCGACTCGTCGCGGGCTCGTTCAACGAGTGAGGAGCCATCTGGGATCAGGCCAGAGCAGACCTAGACGATTGTGTTAGCGTAAACAAAAAAAGACGCAAATGTAGCGGTCTTAGGTATGCTTAGGGAGTACGCACGACTCCAATGTGGCCATCAACGCTCCCGATGCGCTTGTTCGCGCCAGGCTTCGACAGCTTCGACACAGCAACCTTCTCGAGGGCCAGAACTACACCCTCGTTGCAGCGGATACCGATGGACGTGCCGCCATTCTCCGACGCCTTGACGGCGTAGTCGACCTGGAAGTTGTGTCCATCGGGCGAGTAGATGGAGTTGAGTAAATCGTACCCTGTTCCTATCGAGGTCTAGCAAAAGGTAAACGAGGTTAGCTCGAGACTCGCGCACGACAGAGGAGGGAATTGGGTTCGTTTCGGGGAGGAATCGAGGGCGCTCACCATCTTGGCGTCAAATGAGGAAGCGCAGGGTTGATAATCAGATGTGGTGTTGATGCGGAGGGTCGAATAGTTGATGAGGATGGGGAGCTTGGCTGTAGGTTGACAAGGAAAGCTTACGAGGGAGCTTCTGCCTGAGGTGGCGGGGGCCCGTTGATTGGCCAGTGTGATTAGCGGCCAGCAGGGTGTGGGTGCTTCACCAGCAACGTTGACAGGCAAGTCAATTTCACAAAAGATTAATTCAGCTCGGATATTATTTACTCCCTCACGAACTCCCCCACGGGATCCTCTCGAACCCTAGATTTATCAACATGTTTGCAAATCGGCGCTGCCTGCCAAATTTCACAAGCCCAGCAGCTTCTTGAAGTTCAGTGTGGCTGATATTGGCACTAGCCACACTGCTCTTGTACTGTGAATCCACAGGGAGTAATTTGTACGGATATAACAGGAGTATATCTCGAAGTAATATAAGACTTGATGAAGCTTGGAAGTTGTTGCTAAGTTCATTTTTAGGCTATTTCATAATTCTTCTAGCTCGTTCCTAAGATGGCTGCGCCCCTACCTTTAGGTTGGGACGGCTCATCCTTTGGTTGATACGATGTACCAACGAGCTTGTCGAAGTATTCTAGTAACAACACGCTAAATCTTCTGGAAAGTAACCTTCAATGTCGGTAAGCTTGGTGGATGTACTGACATGAACGGAGACGAAACCTACAATATCAGACGACTGAACATATTTCTCAAAGCTTTCAATCTCATCTTGGATGTCCTGAGTCGAGATCTTGTCATCCTCGACGACCAAGTTGACCTGTAGCTTAGTGATACCATAGCCGATCGCAATCAATTTGGATGTGCCCCAGACCAGGCCGTCTCTCTGGATGCCGCGAACGGCAGCTTCAAGGGCCACCATGTCTGTCTGATCATCTGGTCTGTGTCAGTTCCCATAAAGGCATACAGGCAGGCCTGAAGAAAGACCCACCCCATGGCTTGACGTCAAGGATAAGTACTGATTTGGCGATGGCCTTTGGCTTGGCTGCCTTGCGCATCTTGTAGTCAGCCAGACGCTGCTCACGAATGCGTGCTGCCTCAGCATCGTCTTCGTTGTCGCTTCCAAAAAGATCCACATCGTTGTCATCATTCTCTGACGGCCCGAATGAGGGACGCTCAATCAATTCTGGACCATAGTCTTGGTATGTCTTGGACGTATCGCCAGGAATATCGGAAAACACGGGCTCGTGGGAGGAGATGTGGTTGTACCACCGGGCAGCGTGGGGATACTGAGCTGCGCTAGGGGCAGATTCGAGGGCCCTGTAGCAGGAGATGTCGGCTTGAGACAGAGAATAGCTATTGTTGATGTAAGTATGCGGGGAAGTAGATATAGCCGATCGGATCACCCATTCGCGACGACTTCCCAACGTTACGGGAGAGACAACTGAAAGAACAACTAACAATTCAATGTAGGATCGAGTGGCCAGCCAGCTGTTGAGTGCTGAGGTTATTTTAGTTATTTTTCGCAATTGCGCCATCCAGGTAGAGCCTCAGGTTAGCCTACCGTCGATGCCAGTTTCTTCGTTGAGCTTTGGGAATCCCATCTTATCCCCTGAACTGTAAACTGTAAACTGCCAATGTCCGATGCTGGAATTAAAGTTGGCCACAAGCAAACAAGTGTAGAAAAGGTATTAAATACAAAGTTGTAGGTCGCGCAGGTGGTACCCGGTAGCCTTACGGTGTCGTAGAGGAAAGCAATGAGTCACAGCGACAGCAACAGGATGCAGATGACGCTGAACGGAGCGCATTGAAATTGACGACCAATCAGACAGGGAAATTAAAAGAAACCATACCAAAATGAGGCCCGATGAGCTAGTGTTGCATATACTTGGTCGAGTGTGTGAGAGAAGTGACGCATCGCGAATAAGTCCCTTCGTGTGGCTTTTCAATCAAGTCACATCAACATGAAAACTGCGCTCATCACTAGCCCTGCGAATAGTTTCTTCTTGATAACCTTGGAATCTTGCAATCTTGACAGTCAACAATCCTCGGCCGAGACGGACATGGCCCCATCGGCACCGGATCCCGGAGGCCCGTTCATACCTTCGGGTTACGGAGTGGTGGTTTGTGAGATTGAAGCGGGTGTTGAGGGAGCACTGGGGCGACAAAATAAGCCGCTTGTTCTTTTATTTTCTTCAGTATTATTTTATTTTTGTTTCTATATTTGCCGTTCTCGCTTCATATACACCTTTTCATATAATGTGTTTGTTCCTGCTTCTCTATATTGCCGCGGGCATGCCTGGGAGTCAAATGTTTGGAATGGATTAGAGGCCTATAATTTTGTGGAGAATTTAAAAAAAGTGTATGTTCTCCGTATTCTCAATTTATGTGCATGTGAAAGTGTCCGCGGCCTGTGAGTGTTATTACTGCCGAGTCCTTATTATGCGTCTGCTCGCATATCTTGTCTGCCTAGTAATATACATGGGACCTTGGCTAATGAGATTTAGGCAACTCTGTAACTGCTAGTGTATGAATAGGCTCCAGTCTTGTGGTAATTTTATTTTGCAAACACCACGAGTCACACACATAAACAGAAAATATCTTTCAATTCATGACAACTTGCCGTGCAAACTGAGGCAGAGTACGTACGTCTACTTCTCCGGGGTAGTTGTGCTTGGCGGCGGCGCGGTTCCGCCCATCCGGTTCCGCTGCGCAGAGATCCCGCCGCCAGCTGGCTCCGCCGGTTGTCCGTGGTGCCTGGCAGTTCCCTGTTCCTTGCTTTATTATTGTACATGCCTAATACTGCTGGTACTTGCTGGCGGCAGGACCAGGCATGACAGTCGCCACAGTCGCCCCCCCCCAACAAATATCGTCACCGACTTCTCCATGACATATCATCCGTGTCATCTTCGTTACGTCTGATAATTTTCCCCCTGACCATAGCGACAGACAAAACAAGAAACACACTCTACGTCCTCTTTTTTCTGCATTCCCGACTCGTCGACTTTTCAACTCTTCTTCACTTTTCTCGTCAAACTCACCTCGTTCTGCTGCTTGCATCGGTGCCTCACCATTCCCCCTCCTGTGCCCCGCCAGTCCGCTTGTGACCACGCTTGCTGCCCAACGCACGCCAACCCGTGATACAAAGTCGCTGCGTCTCGCTGATTTTTTCTTCTCCTTCATCTCGCTCACGATTCTTGCCATCGTCTTCTATTATTATCCTGCTCTCGAGAATACCCCAGCCGACTCTTCTTTACCCCTCGTAGACTTTGAATCAAGTGCCACCACGCACTGCCCCCCCCGCCTGTGGCTGACGCACAAGATACTCACTTTCTGTCCACTCGTGATCACGGTACCCGACTTTCATTTTCCGGGCCATTTGCAGTTTTCTTATCCGATATTTGTGAGACAGGAAAAATTATTCATGGAGGTAGCTTGGCACTGTGTGCTCCTGCGACGGCCAGCGGCTAATTATTAGTACTTAGACCATGATGCCTACCCAGGCTCACATGCAGAGCAATATGCAAGTCCCCGACGAACTGCTTGCTCTTTTTTCGCGTAACCTCACGTTCAATCCTGAGCTACAGGCTGCCATGGCCAACGAGCAAGCGCAACAGCAGCAGCAGCAGCAGCAGCAGCAGCAAGAGGCTGCACCCGCCCCGTCCCAACCAGTCTATTCAGCCTCGCAGCACTACACGCACTCATACCACGTCTCCAAGCCTCGCAGTCAAGATATAGAGACGGAAGCTCAACAGGCCTTTCAGAGACCCTCCTCGGCACCCCTCGAAAACCATGTTGCTCAAGCGGAAGCTCTTCTTCGTAACCATGGCGTCGAAGCCTCTCTCCTGACACCATCACAGCTTCAGCTCTTCACGACGGCCGACGACGGTCAGAAGCTCCGCCTCTTGGAACTCTGGAGCATCTGTCCCCCAAACGGTGCTCAGAATATACCCGCACTGGCTTGGAGCAGCACATCGCTTGAGCAAGAGGAGCATCTCGCCCGAGTTCGCTACACCCGCGAGCAGCAGATGAATACCGTCATAGAGGAGCCGTCAATGGAACAGATTGCCAGCGGGCAGTGGACACAACCAGCGGAACCCGAGCCCTACATGTCCTCTGGCTATGAGGAACTCATGCGCCGGGAGAACGAGCGCAACGCTGACAAGCGGGCTTCCAACGCCTACTGCCACTTTGGCTCGGCTGCTACGTACAACAAGGCCACGGACCCCATCTATATTGGCCCTGACTTTGTTCGCGAGCAGCAACATATGGAAATGGCATCGCAATATGGCGCTTTTGAGCAGTTCCGTGGCGCCGAGGCCATGGATGTCATGATGTAATGCAACAACTAGTTTGTTCTTTTTCTCTCCTTGTTTTTACGACTATGTTCTGGCCAGATGGCCTGGCTTTGCAACGACAAGATAGGAAAGCCGCAGATACCCAGATAGAAGCTTTTGCTTTGGCAATGGAGGACGATAATGACAGCAGGGAAAGATGACATTGTGGGACCTTTGTTTGTTTCAAGTTGTTGAAGAACAAGACGGATCCGGCACCAACAAGATACCCTTTTCTTGCTTATTTACTGTTGTCTCGCTTTGTTTTTACGTGTTGCTTTTCTTGTAACAGTGATTTCGGTTATAGCGCTAACTTGCTTTTAGAGGTGTAGCTTGCCTTGCGCAGATAGAGGTACGTCTCAATACACCCCTCGATCCCATCATATTGCATAATCCAGTTGAGTGTATATTCTTTCTTCTCAAATTTGTATCGTCATCATGATTTGAATTTTCAAGCGCTGGTATGTAGTCTATATAAAGCCTTAAAAAAGTCATTGAATGCCTTAAATGCCCGTCTTTTCCAGCTTCTTGGCCAGCTCGTCCACGTTCTTGTCCTGCAGCTGCACCGTGGGTTCCTCTTGTGCTTCCTCAGCCTCCTTGATGAGCTTCTCGGCACGCTCGTCGGGCGTGACCTCTTCCTCTTCCTCTTCTTCATCGCTGTCGAAGCCTTCGAGCTCGTCGAGCTCATCCACGCCCCACTCATCCTCGACGATCAAGTCGCCGCCGACAGCCTCCTTGCGCTCCTCCAAAAGCTCCTGCAGCACCGTCACGCTCGCGTCCTCCTCCTCAAACTTGTTGCCGTTGAGCTCGATGCGCTTGAGAGCGGGCAAGTTCTTGGCGGCCTTGGCGAAGCCCTCGACACCGGCGGGCGTCATGTCGTTGAACTGCAGACGCAGTGTCTCCAGCTTGGCATTCTTGCCCTGGGCGAGCGCAGCGGCGACCAGCACGGCGCCCTTGCCGCCGAGAAGGCAGTCACCGACGGCGAGCTCACGCAGTGATGCCCATTTGGGGGCGACGGCTGCTAGGGCCTGAGAGCCGCGGAGCGTGAACGTATTGTCCTGGAGGTCGAGCGCCTGCAGGTCGGTGGCGTGCAGGAGACCCTCGCGGAGGAGGTGGCTGATTCCTTCCTGGCGGATGCCGTTTTGGACCATCTTGACGACGCGCAGCTTGCTGTGCAGGCGGTACGTCTTGGCCCACGCCGTCATGCTGCCGTTCTCCAGCCGGTTGCGGCCGCAGATGACGGTCTCGAGGTCGGGCACCGTCTGGCCGGCTGCGCGGGCCGCCTCCTTCTTGGCATGTAGCGAGGATAGGGCGTCGGCGATGAGGATGCCGGCGTGCGGCCCGAGGCCGTTGTTGTTGAGGTACAGGTGCTGCAGCGGCACGTGGGCGGCGAGGAAGGCGACGAGGGGCGCTTGCGTGTTGAGGCCAAAGGCGTTGTCGTTGACGTTGAGGGTGTGGAGCTTGGGCAGGTTCAGGATCGAGGTGAGGAGGTGCGAGAGCGCGTCGGGGATCTCGGACAGGAGGCGGGCGGTGAAGATGTCGGCGAGATTGGCGACCTAGGGTACTGTTAGGTTTCGTGTACGGGCGGCGCTTGGCTTCTGGAGTGCGCTTCATACCTGGAGATTCTTCTTGGTAGCAAGGACCTCACCGAGGACCTTGCAGGCCTCGATACCCAAGCTGTTGCCGAGCAGGTGCACCTCTTCGACATCGTTGGCACGAAGGGCTGCGATGTGCGGCTCGACGTCGGCGGCGGTGGTCAGTTTCAGACCCTTGCCCTCGAGGGAAAATATTTTCTTTGAGTCGACCATGTTGGAGAAGTAGTATGTTTCAGAAGAAACCACACGAGCTGCTAAAAAGACAAACAAGAGCAAAGACGCTGCGGAATTTATCCCAAACCTTTTGTGGTTCGTAGTTGGGTTTGGCGGGGGAGGGGCAGAAGAACTGTGACTACCTGGTGCTGCAACCTACGTGCATGGCATCAGCCACAAAGACAGGACGAGCTTACGGGAAGGCGCAAAACGGATGGTAGGTGTTGTGGCTGGTGCCATCTACGAATACGCCGAGCCGGGCCATTTTCTTTTTGCCTAGGCGGTCAGGCAGCTCGCGTGAACGGTGAGCCACAGTGGTCATAATACAGTGGTCAGTGGCGGCAGTGGCTAGTAAAATACCGGGCAGCTCTGCCAGCAAGTGGAGCTTTTTTTGGTGCGAGAGTTCCCGACACGTGACCTGAGCCAATCAGCGTCGGCCCATTTCGGAAACGCTGGATTTTCTCGAGCCTCATGATCCTCTCCTGCTGAGCCCTTTCGACCGTTCCCGACCCCCGAGACCGAATCGCCCTTCCACACCTCGACCCTGATCGCGGTTCCTCCTGCGGCTACGATCCAACTTGCCAACCATGCTGGCGAGATCCTGCTTCCGCGCCCCGCGCGCCCTCAATGGGCTGCGCAATGGCGCCGTCAACATCACAAAGGTACGGATTACCTCGACACACATCCACCCATAGCAGCTGGTGCTGCTCAGCCCATTGCCGAGGGACCAACAACAACATCGCCGGGGCATCGAGCCCATCTCTTCAAACCGATAAACAACCAATTGTAAAGAAGCTGAGGGCTAACATGATTTTTTTTTTCGCAGCGTGCTGCTTCCACGAGCGCGGGTGCTGGCGAAGGCTCCGCCAGCCGCTTCAACGTGTCCGCCATTGCCTCGACCACCATCGCCGCCGGTTCCATTGCCTGGTACTATCACCTCTACGGTCCCGTGGCCCACGCCATGACTCCTGCTGAGGAAGGGTACGTCATGTCTCTCAATCCGACGACCTCGATGCGCCCGATGACGCCTCGGCTATGCTGTGCGGCATAAACCGCCACGCCGAATTATCATCGACTACTCGATCTCGCGGCTAACATGGACAATAGTCTTCACCCTACCAAGTACCCTTGGGTCCACGAGCAGTGGTTCAAGACTTTTGACCACCAGGCGTAAGCCTGTCCCACAACTTCCCGCACCCTTTGACAATGCTGACCCCGTTCCCAGTCTCCGCCGTGGTTTCCAGGTCTACCAGGAAGTCTGCGCCAGCTGCCACTCGCTGAGCCGTCTACCCTACCGCGCCCTTGTCGGCACCGTCCTCACCGTCGACGAGGCCAAGGCTCTCGCCGAAGAGAACGAGTACCCTGGCGAGCCCAACGAGCAGGGCGAAATCGAGATGCGCCCGGGCAAAATTGCCGACTACATTCCTGCGCCGTACCCGAACGAGGAGGCTGCCCGTTTCGCCAACAACGGTGCCCTCCCTCCCGATCTGAGCCTGATTATCAAGGGTCGCCACGGCGGCTGCAATTACATCTTCTCGCTTCTTACTGGTTACCCTGATGAGCCCCCTGCCGGCGCCGCCGTCGCCCCCGGCATGAACTTCAACCCCTACTTCCCCGGTACCGGCATCGCCATGGCCCGTGTCCTCTACGACGGCCTCGTCGAGTACGAGGACGAGACCCCCGCCTCCACCTCGCAGATGGCCAAGGACGTGGTCGAGTTTCTCAACTTTGCCGCCGAGCCCGAGATGGACGACCGTAAGAAGATGGGCATGAAGGTTCTGGTTGTCACCGCCTCCCTGTGGGCTATCAGTGTCTGGGTCAAGCGCTACAAGTGGGCTTGGCTCAAGTCGAGAAAGCTCGCCTACGACCCCCCAGCCGCGAGCAAGGTCCGCCGATAGAGGAGTCGCGCTTCATTTTTGAGCGTCGTTTGTATTACTAGTCGCCCCGCTAGAGCATGTATTTCTGGGTGGAGGCGGGTAGAAAATGAGTTGGGGAGTACAGTGATGGGAAATCCAGGAGCTGAGGCTTAGAGTGTAAATCAGATGAACCCCATTTTCAATATTTACTTTGTCCTTATTAGTTGACATGGCGCGACCCGACCAACAGTGGCTGATTATGTCGGTAGTTCTATCTACCTGCTTAGGGTTGGCGGGCATTTAATTTTTATACAGTGGCAGCAACAGGACGAATCTGCATGGTACCGGTTCTCCGTTTGCATCTCCGTTTGCATCTTCGTTTGCAGTCCGACATACAACCTCAGCATTCTGCAGATACTGACAAATCATCCGCCACACATCGACACTTCATCGGCCGATATGCGCCTCAAATCGCCCTGGGCGCTGATAAAACGGACCAAATCTTCTGTCCATGGCGGAAAGAAGGCAGGCACCTCCAAGCCGGCCTCCTTGGAGAGTCGACTTCTGAACCTGCCGGTCGAGGTAATTCTCGCAATCCTGCGCTTCCTCAATCATCGCGACCGAGTCCTTCTGTCGCTCACTTGCATCGACCTGCGTGAAATTATCCGCTCATTCCCCGCCTCCGATCAGCAGGAAACCCGAACGAGGTACATCGAATATCTCTTCTGCGTGGCACGGGACCTTCCGGGCCGTTGGGTCTGCGAGAAGTGCCTGTCTCTGTGCTCGCTGATTTTCAACGACCCGACGCAGCACCAGAGTGAAAGAGAGGTGGATTGCTTCGTACTGCACCACTGGGCTCTCCATGGCCCATTTGTTCATAGCTCCCGCTACGCGGCGCATCGCGACGTGCAGCTCGAGATCGACCGCGTCAAAGAACCCTCTGGAGAGTACTGGTATAATCTCAAGGCCGCCACAGTTGCCCACCGAGAGGTCCTGCGCGTTGCTGTGCCGAAGGGGTCCCGTCCGAGCCTGCCGCACCGCCGCCACACTGTGCGGCCTAAGACTGTCAATGGCCGGCTCCTAACACTATCCACCTTGACATTCCCGCCCAAAAGAAAATATGCCATCAACATGGACTCGCTCCGGGGGGTCGCCATCTGCAAACACGAGGCGTGCCGTGCATACGACAAGATGCAGGCCAACCTCCCCACGGCGCTGACCCAGGCGCTAGAAATAGCCCTGCGGTCTCCTGAGCTCGCGGTAACAGGCTTCTGCACACAGTGCCCTGCCGACTTTGAGGTGCGTTGGGAGCGCGGCTCGCTGGTGATCAGCGCATGGTACGACTTTGGCAGCGACGAGTGCGTCGACAGGAGCAGTTACGGGCAGGTTTTGCAGTGCCGTCGGTTCGACTTGGAGCATGCAAAGATGTCATTTGGGGGCGTTGTTCGGACGAGATATGAGACGGCAGAAGGTCTGAGACCTGTCACTGGGAAAGTGAAGACCCGGGTGGTTATTGTAGCGTATGCAGATACGTCTGCATCAGAGGCTAAGTTGTGTTGTTTCTGAAGCAAGCGAGTGACAAACACCCGGTCATCGTACTGCACTTGATTGCATCCCCCCCACTCAGTTGGTAATCTCTTTGTACAAACTTCATGGAATCGGTATTTGTTATGGACTATGTCGGTTGGCGTACCCGCGTCCTCAGGGAATTGTAACCGGCCAAGAGGCGACCAACAAGCAAGTGAGATATTCGAACAAAAACTATGAGGATGTCGAGACTGCCAAGTGCAGATATATTTTTAGTTTCAAAAAAGTCGATATAATTCTAGCTATCGTTTATTATTGCCATGAGCTCTTCGCACCCGATTTCCCGAGTATCAGGAGGCACAGCAACTTTCGGTATGCCCGCTCTGCGGCAGCTTGTTCACGACCCGAGTCATCGGATATAGAAGGCACGGTTGACTGAATGATTGCGCTCTACGTTTCTGTTATCTCTTTAATTTGAAGAGTTATAACCCAGACCGTCATTCCTTTCACAATTGCGCACCTTGCAGAGGACGGGGCGCGTCTGCCGCTCTCGGGCACCCAGATTTACTCATAAAAGCCACTTCCCGCCAATAAAAGAACATGATCTGAGAGTAATGAGCGACACAGCTGGACGACGGGACTCTTGGGAGGCGCGACAAGAAGAATGTAGTCGCCGACGGCGCTGCCACGAACAAGACAGCAGCCGCTATGGCTACTAATAATGATGCCTGCGGAGATCATCGGCCCAATTGCTGAAGATTTGCTCAGAGACGACGGTTTTCACCATGATGCCGCCGTCTATGTCGCCACTGTCGTCGGCGCTGGACTCAACTTGAATCTCCTGGAGGGCACCAGACAGGTTATTGTTTGAACTGCCCGCCCGATTGGCTACGAGGTCCACAGTCCAGATACGGCACGGCGAGATTCACACCTGGTTCAATTTTGACGGCGAGTGCGTCGGCGATGTGAAAAAGAGTTGGGAGGCTCCTTTCGTGGACTTGCGGCTTCACATATCCTAGGAACCGTGCGGGTGCAGTATAACTTCCATTTGGAGCTGGACAGAAAGACTGCCTTTTTGGAGGTGTCAAGTTGCCCAGCCGGTGGCAATATGTGGTATCCCGATATTATCGAGGTACGGAATAATAAACGGTCGGCAAGCATGATTGGAAATCGTATCACTGGCAATTATAAATTGTGAGGTTGAGACAAGAAGACAGATCTGACGCTCGCCAAGGGATGCGAAGAACAGTGCGCATCTTGCACATCACACTGTGGACGGACGGCCTGGGGAAGGTGGCGAACTCCGGCTCCACGGTCTCAACCACCGAACTTGCACATCTCGATCTAACCGTTCCCTGGATTCTGGCCGTTCTGATTAGGAATCTACTGAATATGTATGATCCTACCTAAAGCGACACTTAAAGCTCATTTTAGAGCGCAGAGGGACGCTGTCCACCACAATCCTTTACATCGGAGCCTGCCGACACCCACGCTTAATCAGCTCGCGAGCTTCGCCAACGTTGGCCTAGTATTTCTCCATGTCCCTTTGTCGATACAATCATGGAGCCTCGTACAAATTGTTACAATGAAGCTGTTGACAGGCTACGAGAGGCCCAATTTCCGATGCTCAAGGGTACGTAGCCCTGGCGACCGGACAACCGGATGACTGTTAACCAAACTTAGATTCGATATATCTTGACCATGCAGGAACAACTTTGCCATCGAAAGCGCTACTGGATGAGTTTGCAGCAGAGTTGACATCAGTGCTGTACGGGAACCCGCATTCCGGCTCGCTTCCGTCCCAGCTCTCCACAGACAAGGTTGACGATGTAAGGCTCCGCCTGTTGGAATTCTTCAATGCGGACCCGGATGACTACGACCTTGTCTTTGTTGCAAATGCTACCGCCGGAATCAAATTGGTACTGGATGGTTTGCGAAATGCACCAGATGGTTTCAATTATGTCTATCACCAAGCATGCCACACGAGTCTCGTCGGCATGCGTGAAGAGGCAAAGCACAGCCTATGCGTCACGGATGAGCAAGTTGACCGCTGGATTCATGGAGACATGCCGATCAAAGATGAAAGGTCAACTACTACGCTCTTTTCCTACACGGCGCAATCTCACATGAATGGTCGGCGCTACCCCACCTCATGGGCCCGAGACATCAAGGCCGCGCATCCGATTTACACCCTCCTAGATGCTGCGTCTTTTGGAGCGACATCTCAGCTTAACCTGTCAGATCCGAATTTTCTTGCCGACTTCGTGGTACTGAGTTTATACAAAATTTTCGGGTTTCCGGATCTCGGTATTTTGCTTGTCCGCAAGTCAGCTGAGCGAGTATTTGACCAACGACAATACTTTGGAGGTGGCACCGTCGACATGGTTGTTGTTGGAAGAGAGCAATGGCACGCGCGAAAGACTAGCTCTTTACACGAGCGTCTAGAGGATGGCACGCTGCCATTTCACAACATCATCGCCGCCGGGATAGCGCTGAAAACCCACATGTCGTTATTCGGATCGATGGACCAAGTCTCAAGACATACGGCATATTTGACGCATCTCTTATATACGGGGCTCGAAAAGCTGCGGCATGGGAATGGTCATGCGGTCTGCACCTTGTATACACCAAATCCCGCGTCAGAATCCACAGGGTCGGTGGTGGCTTTCAATATGAAAAACAGCCTATGTGCTTGGATTACGCTGGGCGAGTTTGAGAAACTTGCCATCATCAACAAAGTCCATGTCCGAACAGGAGGGCTCTGCAGCCCCGGCGACATCGCAGCGACCCTTGATCTACAGCCCTGGGAGATGAGGAAGAATTTCTCCGCAGGATTTCGCTGCGGATTGGACAATGATGTCATGAACGGCAAACCCGTAGGAGTTATTCGGGCCAGCTTTGGAGCCATGAGCGTCAAGGCTGATGTGGATGGTTTCTTGGCCTTCATACGGGAGTTCTTTGTTGAAGTCAACCCACCTCAGCTCCCAGAAGAGCTACCAATACCCGCCAATCTGACCGGAAAGCCCTCACTTCGTGTCAGGGCTATTACAGTCTATCCGATAAAAAGCTGTGGAGGGTTAACTGTCCCGGCAGGGATGGACTGGCCTATAAGATCCGAAGGACTGGCGTGGGATAGAGAGTGGTGTCTATTGCACAAGGGTTCCGGGCTGGCACTCAGTCAAAAGAGATACCCGCGAATGGTTCTCCTTAGACCAACTCTGGATTTTGAGAATGGAGTCTTGCGCATACACTCTCAAGGAGGCCTAAAGTCGATTTCTATACCGTTGTCAGCAGATCCGTCGTACCTCGATATCAGTGTTCGGCAAACCAAGTCGAGAGTCTGTGGCGAAGAAATTACGGCGCAAATGTACAAGTCCGAGGAGCTTAATGATTTCTTTTCACAAGCCCTCGGAGTGCCTTGTGTCCTAGCGAGATTCCCTCCTGGTGGGAGAGGGCTTGCGAGCCGTCTGAATAAGGCAAAGATGCAAAAACACCAACAAGCGGACAAAGCTCAACGTTTGTTGCCCGGGTCGTTTCCGGCCGATGTGCCATCGCCCCCCGATTCCGACTCTGAGCTGACAAAAGCGCCGGCAAAAATTCTGTTGTCCAATGAAAGTCCGATCCTCATGATTCACTCAGCCAGCCTCGATGCGTTAAACGAGGCCATTGCACAGCACGGCGGCCCGCCCGCTACTGAGGCTGCATTTAGGGCCAACATTATATTGGAAGGCCCACGAGACACCGAGGGCTGGGACGAACGACCGGCATATTCCGAAGACACTTGGCGCAGGCTACGCATTGGTACCCAATCCTTTTCACTATTGGGTGCATGCAGGCGCTGCCAGATGGTCTGTGTCGACCAGGAGACTGGAGCGCGAAAACAAGAGCCGCTGGCTACGTTGTCCAAGACGAGACGATTTGACGGAAAAATCTACTTTGGAGCACATATGAAGCACGACGAGGTAGACAGTTCATCGCAAGCGAACCAGCACCCGACCATCCGCGTTGGAGAGCCTGTAGTGGTGGATGGATAGCGTATACATTGTATACAATGAGCATAATGCGGCAGCAGTGACATATTTTATATCTTGGAGCGAGTGGGTATATATAACGAATCAAGCGGCTACCAGCCGCTGCTCTAGTGAGAAACCGTGATTTAATACCTGTGAATGTTAGCGACGAACATGGAATTTGGCGGCGTCAACTTACGAGAAAGCTTCCTTGTGTAGGTATAGCTCTGCGGCGCCAGGTCGACCTCGGACAATGCGCAGTTGTGCCTCGGCAGCAGCAACCCCAACATCATGGACCATACCTGCTGGACCGCAAACAGTCACGCCAACAGTGACACCATTTACTGAAGCCAGGCGGTTGACTGCAGCCCTGGTGTCGGGGCGGCCATGTGAAAAGCAAACACCAAACAACGACGCAGCAGTGCTTGAGCTATCTGTTTGTTGCACATTCTTGACGGCCACTCTCTTCTCCTCATCGCCAGAGGACGAACCCGGGTCCGGGCTGCTCACGGCACCTTGATTGTGCGTCTCGCAAAAGGAAACTGACACGCCCGGCAGCTCCGTCTTGCCCTGCACAGACTGGCGCTCGGCGAGGCGCTGTAGCTCCTCCATGTACCAGATGCGCATTTCCGGGTCGCGCGTCGCCAAAACAACCTCTAGATGGCGCTCGCCCTTTTCGGCCGCCGCGCCCGCGCGCAGCCACGATTCAATCAGGGCCAGGGTGAAGCCGCAGCCCGAGCCGCCCGCCACTAGCAGCGTGCGATCAAAGCCCTGGTGCCACCGCCTGGGCAGCCCCCCATACGGGCCCTCGAGCAGAACCGGGACGCTCTTGTCCGGCTGTGCGCGGGCCAGCGCGGCAAGCCGCCCTGTGAGGCCGCCCCGCGGCTGTACGAAGAATACCATCTCGCCGCCCAGGCGCGCTGGCTCAGGCAGGGAGCAGACGGTCAGTGGATGCGCTGTCAGCGCGTGGGCGCCGCAGGTAAGGAAGCGGAGGAAGACGTGCTGACCGGGCTTCCAGTCGGCCTGCGTGGCGACGGCGATGCGGAGCGAGTGCGGCGTGTCGCAGCGAATCTGAGCGGCGTGGCGGACGCCGAGCTCGAAGTACGTCTTGACCCACGCAAACACCAAGGAGGCGATGTACAGCGACACGGCCGCGATGAAATAGTCCCATGACGTCAGTCGGAAGCCGCAGTGGATGAAGAAGAAGATGACGAAGACGACTGCGAAGAACAAGTGCGTGGCCTTGAAGAATTCGTAAAATTTGTTTCTGTTTGCGCTGTTAGTGGTTTCACGGTAAGGTGACGTTACGAGTCGCCACGTACCGGATCCACGAAATGGACATGAATGTGAGCCAGGTCTGCGCAACCAAGGCAATGACGCCTGTGAGCCACACACCACCGGTCACCCACTGCTGTTGTAGCTGGTGTGTGACGTTTTGGTGGTAGATGATGAAAGGAAAGGTGTGGATGAGGGCCAGCACAAACATGGCCCAGCTCACCCAAGCGTGCCACTGGTTGAGTTTCTCATGCGAGATGCCCGTCAGTGCTGTAATCATGTTTGCCTTTGCACTCAACAACAAGATGAAGGGCATGCAGGCGAGCGCCATCCAGCCGGTGCGCGTGGCTATGGGCGGCGAGCTGCCGTATTTGGCGTCGGTGGGCCAGTAGTAAGGTCGGGGGCCGAGAGTCATGGCCGCGAAGAAGACGATGCCGACGCCGAGCAGCAGGTACGCGCCAAGGGACTGCGAGTTGTGGCGGCCGGCGACGCGCCATGCCTTGTAGGCGCAGAAGCGGAGGCCGGCGACGGCGCGGCGCCACGCCGACTTCCGGGTTATGCGTGCGGGCGCCCAGGCGCTGGCAAAGTGGCCGATGGCGAAGACGGCAATGGAGGCGAGGAAGAAGTACACGGTGGGCAGGGCAAAGACGTGGTCGGCCTCGTACCTAGATGTGTGTGTCAGACGGTGGGTGTGGTGACTTGCACAAGTCGGGTGCGCATCGAGGAGGCAACGTACCAGAATACCCAGTATCTCGTCTTATAGGCGCACCGCTCAGGAGTCAGTGTGCAATTTCCAGGATCGCGCGAGCTGTGAAGCAAAACAGGCAGCTTCAGGATCGGCGCATACCACGCCGTGGGCGCAGCGTGATCCATGTGCATCGCTGCAGATTTTCAGCGCAATAACGTTACTTGTTGACGCAACGAAGAAAGGAAAAAAGGCTGTGAAATACAAGCAAAATAGAAATGCCCCGGCCATGTCTCATCCTATATATTCGCATGCGGACCATTCCCACAAACGGCAACCCGCGCAACGCAAACTAGCGCCAAGCACTAAGTGAGCAAGTTTTCCTCCTTGTCGACGCCCCTCAGGTCGAGCCAAGTCGTTTTATTGTTTGGTGAAGGGAAGGGCGAGCACGAATTTACTGGGTCGCAGTCATCGTTGGAATTGAGCAGGTTTCGACTGGTCAACATGAAAGGATCGACAACTGGAGGCGGGAGCTGAGAAGGTGAGGGGCAAAAATGGAAAGAAAAGAAAAGGTTACAAGCGACGGTACAGAAACAGGAAGCCACACAGCGCCTTGATTGTGGAAATGCTCGGGAACAGACGCGGAACATCTGGCACAGGTTCTAAAAGTCTGATCGCAAGACAGGTGGTGCCCGATCAGGCTCAGGGCCCAGAGATGCAAGTGGCAGTTGAAACCGAACCACTACCGAGAGAATACGGAAAGGATCGTCTCGCCCGGTAACGATGCTCTGGTGCCTGGCAGAAAGAATCGTTTCTTGTCGCAACTCACACGGAGATTGGAAATCCGTCGCTCAAGATTGATGCGCGGTGCCACACCCTAACCTAACTACTGGTACAGCCTCAGCCTATTACAACAGTTTCCCCATCGCAGACTGGGGTGAGATTGTTTCGGTGTGACCATCCAGGTTGCTTGGAAACTTGCTCACCCTTCCACGAGTACCAGGGGAATGCAGGGTATGCAACGTTAAGGTTAATTCATGCAGATGCAGCAGATCACAACACCAGTTTGCAGTCAGGCTGGCAGTGCGCGGCACTTTTTCTTTTGTCAAGATTTCACAATCTGGGGTACAGGATGCGACCGTGTCATCAATATTACGGTAACGCACGGTTTGCGACCTTTTGCGCTCATTCAGCCATCGATTGGCGCAGACAGAATGGGGCCCCGACTCTCGACCTTTCTCGAATACCGCTTCATGACCGTCCCATGTACGTCCATCTCCATCACTTGTCCTATTTCTTGAGCTCGGCAAATCCCATCTCCAGGTTGTGGCCATCCCAGACCGTGTAGTACTGCTTCAACAGAGGCGCACCGAGCAAGAAGCTCCCACCCAGATCGTCGATGCTGCTGAAGACGGTCTGGCAGATGCCCGGCTTGCCCTCGTACGGCCCCAGGTTGAACGCTTCCTTGGGCATGGTGGCATTGAACGTGTCCGCACCCGAGCCAAACGTGAAGGTAATGTCCACCGCCAGCGATTCGATAATGTCGCACCCGACGCCCCAGGCCTCGTGGTTGAGCTGCTTGATCTTGGGCGAGACGGCTCGGTACAAGGCCGCGACCGTCTTGTTGGGCCCCGCAAAGTATGCCGTACCCGAGTCGAGAATGGCCTGCTGGTTGGCCGCCGCGGCGAGGGGCTTCCCGTTGATGGCCAGCGCCGGCTGGTCGACGACAAAGTTGCTCGTCTGGTAGAGCTTTACCTTGTGAACCGCGCCCGAGTAGCGGTCCGGGTTAGTGCCGCCGAGCGTCATCTCGGCGCCGTCCTGCTTGCCGGCGGGATAGTACAGGGAGAACTCGGGCCCGTCGAGCTGGCCGCTGGCATACAGGGCCCAGTACCATGGGCTGCCGCTGGGCAGGCCGGTCGCGCCCTCGACGCCGATGCCCATGACGCCGTCAAATGGCACGTCGGCCATGAATTCGGGGTACTCGTCGCAGAGGAGGAACTGCTGCTCGGCGACGGCGTGGCCGGCGACGGCGACCGTGTCCGTCACGATGACGCCGCCGACGCCCTCGCCACTGTACTGCAGAGGCGTCGAGTCGACGCCGGTGCCGTAGCCGAACCGCTGCCGCTGGTCTGGCTGCTGGTCAAAGGTGGTTGACTGGGAGGCATCGAACAGGCGCGAGTGGCCGGGGCTGGTGCAGTTTTTGTTGGCGATGAACATGTCGAATGAGCCAGTGTCGAAAATGACGTTGCTGAATGGTCAGTTTCGAAGGTTTGGCCAACCTTGTCTTCGTTGACTTACAACTTTTGAGGAGGGGATCCAACCTCGACCTCGGTGTACCACTTGTGCCCCAACGTTAGCCACCACTCATTGCAGAATCGAAACGTGAGCATACCTGGAGATCCGCCGTATGCTTGATCCAGTCCTTGACAGGCACAGTGATGGTGCCCTGTCTATCGGCCTTTGTCTTGGCGGACTGCTTGATCATGGAGGCAATCTTCTCATCCAACGGCTTGAGCGGCAGTGTAATAACCGCCGACTGGACATGGTTGACCAGCGCCAGGAGCGAAACAGCAGCAAGTGAGCTAGGAACCTTCATTTTTCACAGATGCGCGTTTGTAATTGCCCACTATTCATTTTTTTTAAACCGAAAACAGCGCAACTCCGCCCTTATAAGTGTCCGGCTTGGTATCACAGGATACCCCAACCAACTGCCTGATGCAGCAGAGATCTGCCACTAAGCTTCGAGGCACTACGGATACTACATTGCGTCGCATCGGCATCAAGAAACTTGGAAGTCGTCCTCGTAATGGGCCCTGGCGACTGCCTGATTAGTGCCAATGGTAGCCGTCCCGAGAATCTCGCCGGCAAATCTGAGCCGGCCTCATGGCACCTGCCGATTTGGGCTGGCACTGGCTGGCAATGAATGGTCAACCGAACATGGCGATGATGATAATTCCGCCTGCATAAATCCCGTGGGTCTCGAGTTGTCAATGACATAGCATTGTTGGCAAGTACTCAGCCTCCCAGGGCTAGAAAGGAATAAGTAAGCCGTCACGGTAAGTCAGCAGGGAATCACTTGTTGCAATGGAAGCCTCTTTGTTTGACAGGATTTTATTCTCAAGCTTGAGCAACTCTCGGAAGATATCTAGCTAACTACCGAACTTGGTATTAGCGGCCGGGGCTCTGTTGTACCGTGACCGCCAGACTTACACCCTGAGATGTTTTTTTTTCCTATCCACGGGGTAGCTGTGAAAGAGGGCTGTCTTTGGCGCCGCAGCTGGTGCAGGAAAAGGCAAAGATGAGGTTGGCGTCTTGCTCGGGCACGTTGAGAAAGGAGCAGACGTGGCAGAGCCAGCCCTCCTCGCGAAAGGCCTTGCGCCGGCAATGAGACAGAACCCGGCCACGCTTGCTGGACCGATCGTCGGTGCTGCAGTACGAGTACACGGCCCGGGTGCGAACACGCGGGCGCTTACAGCGCGTCGTCGTTCCGGATGTCAGCGGGCAGGCGGCGGCCTCTTTGGGTGACCACTCGGTATACCCGGTTTCATGACCGCAGAGATGAAGATATTTCGTAAGGACGCACATTGTTGCTTGTTGCTTGTTGCTTGTTGCTTGTTGCTTGTTGCTCATGATCTATGGGCTCCTGGACCAGACAGACGATCCAACGCTTTTATACTTGTGCTTCTACTCCCCTCCACCCCAATCCCCCCTCCCAGTGACACGATTCACTGCCTTGTCGTTTCTGATAAGATCAATGTGGAATAGAAGCTGCCTGGAACACTGCTGTGTAACCTGCCCTGCCTGCGGCTTGTGGTACGACATGATCAGCCTGATCATTCGCTGCCCAACTGTGCTGAATAAAAATCGAGGCCATGCTACAAAGGACCCGAGATGCAAGCATTTTGAAACGAACAATCAAAGCTCAAACTTGCAAAGAAACTCGGCTCTCGCCAAAAGAAAAAATGAAACCCCGAGCGCAAATCGTCACCATCGTCATCGTCGCGCACACCACACACCTCTCAGACACCACGACGCACCACATCTTTCTGCGCATCACATCCTGCAAAGAAACTTGGCCGCCGGGCGGTGGTGATGTGCTCGACAGGTCACCGTCCATTTTCTCACAGCTTGAGCTAGAGTGGAGGGGACGGGGACGGCGGCCAAGAAACTGGGAGGCATCAGTTGCTGCGTAAAGACACATGATGCAGCTGACAGACATAGGACACAGGACACAGGCAACAGGGCCGTGATCGGTTTCAACGGCACATAGTGTGCCCCTGCCGGCGGCACGGCTAGTATGGCAACCAGGCACCAGCATTTCTGTGCTCACACATCACTGCTGCGAAGACAGATGGATGGGTGTCGAAGCACTTTACCGAAGGGATAGATGGGTGTCGAAGCACTTTACCGAAGGGGCATGAGAAAATTGACAGCCTGGCAGCCTGGCAGTCATGGCACGGCTCAGCAGATGGTCTTATCGCCGAGTTCCGCCACCTGTGGCTTACGAGCAATATATCCGAATGTACCGACTCTATCGGGAAGTTGGTGCGCTACGTCACAACAAATCAAACCCCGGCGACGATGTAAACAGGGCATGTATCTACCTACTATCCGGATCTGGGGCCCAAGAGGCTGCTCCCGTCGTCGATATATGGAGGGAACGTCGCGGAATCTCTCCTCGACAGACGTTTAAATGCCAACAATGCGACTTGCAGTGGTTCGACTAGCCTCAGACGTTGGCGCCCGTACCACCTCTGCAGCGACAACTGGGGATTTTTACTTTTTGTCACCTCATCACCGGAACACGGGCGCTTCCACCTGTCTCGCCACTATGCTGAGGCACCCAAGGTCCAATTTCCGCCTCGCTCTAGTGAGGCGACAATACCGCGGCCCATGTCCTGGCACCGGTATTGCAGCAACGTTTTATTCCTGGCCAGCCATTTGAGCTTGGATTTGGAATTCACGCAGACGCACGGCAGGCCAACCTGGGAACGTTGCCAGCTCGGTTCAGCCTACGTGGCTGGCCCAGGTGGACAAGGAGACACAAGACGCCCAGAGGCAAAAAGCCCGAGGGCCGCTTAGATTCGCTACATGCTCACAAGTAACTACCAATCTCGTCCATCTACCCCGGAAACAGCAAGAGGACGACTCCCGACGAGTTGACGCCACAAAACCAACCCACCTTGCTGCAGTGGCGACTTGGCCATGTCTCTCCCACGCCACCCCTACGAAAACGGGCGTGGTTTTTTTTCTTTCTTGAAATGCCGGTAGCTGTGTTTGTCTTCTGGGGGCAGCAATGGCGTCACAGATGGACCGAAAAAAAAAACCCTCAGCTTGGTCGGGGAAAGAAGCATTCTCGGCACGCGGCGTGCTGGCACTGGCGCTTCTGGCATACCTGAGGCCCTTGAGGCGGGGTGATGCCGCCGCACCGGTGGCAGCGCCAGCCGTGCTTGTCGCAGGCCAGGGCGAGGCATGTCTGGTTGGGACAGATGGTCGGGATCTGCGAACCCAGCGGGTTGTCCCTTTCGCACGCCGTGGGGAAGCCGTGCTGGCGGCTCGCGTACGGGCAAAACTCCCAGCGACCCATGTCGGCGAACCGCTGCACGTGGGTCGGGTCGCAAAGGGTGTCGTACATGTGGTAGATGCACATCTTTTTTTGTTGGTGATGAAGTTTGAGGCAGGCGAGGGGAGTTGATTCCTTCACGGACCCGGGTTGGGGCTGGGGGGCGGCGGGGAGATTTAAATACTGAGCAGGTTCAAGTGTTTCTTCTATCACGAACCAGAGCTACCGCATCACTTTATGCCCGGAATAGAACCAGTCACGGGGGAAGGAGAGGGGGGGGGGGGACTGTTGACCCTTCTACTGCGTTCTACACACATGTTGCAGCCAAATCGAGTGACTAGCCCCTGGGAGATTGGGCAGCGAAACGAACAGGCCAAGATTTGCATCGATATTCTGAGTGACGGCCGAGAATCTTCTACACGACTGTCCAATTACACTCTGTCCATGGGGAGTACGAGAACTTGCTCTGCCCATCCACCAATACCGTCTTGAAAACCAAGTCGACGTGTGTACATACCCTCGCGTAAAGTGCGGTAAAACGTACCGACGGCGCATCTCCTTGAGAGTTCAAACATGTTCAGGCAGGTCGGTCGATGCTCAGCACGTCGTGGCATCTTTGGGACTTTTTCTCCCTGGGACGATTCGGTCGTTTCTGGGAAGGTTGAGGGTCTGGCTTCCATGGTCTTGCGTAATGTGAGCATAATCTGCCCGGGAGCCTAGCTCTTGCGCCAGCTCACTCATTGTGCTCGAGGTCGAGATCGAGCAACCGGAAGAAAGAGCAGACTTCGATGATCAAGCTCATCATGTCATGCGGGATTGTGGCGGTTTCTTTCAAGAACAATGATTCGATCGATCAAGACATTTTATATTATCTCGCGATCATGGCTCAACAACCGACGCGAAAAGCTGATGCGAGAAGAGGAAGATGCGTTGTGATGGATGAGAACTCACTGAGAGTTGTGCGTCTTATCGACTTGCCCGTTTGCACGGTTCCGGTTCGCACTTGTCGCCAAGGTAAGCCTGATCAGGCTTGGCTTTAGCTTTCAGCAAAGAGACATGAAAATAGATCCAGCTGAATTTTGAGCTTGCTCAATCGCCGTCCTGAAGATCTTCGTAGGAGTTCTGCGCGGTGACTGAGGTTGGCCACCTCGTCTACTCAGCAATCAGAACACTGGCTCATTTTCGCTGGAGTTTCCAAGATCCTCGGATTTTTATTTCATTCTATCGCTACTATTTCTCTATATAATTGTTCAAGTATTCCTTGGTAGCTTTTATGAAAAGCCTGGGATTGCCATACGTCCTTCCATGTTTACTAGTCATTATTAAAGCCTGGTATTGTAATTCATCTTGCTCTCCACTCACCACGTAAAACACCAGATATCTATTCTTGGCTCGGAGGTATACGAGCAAAGTAGTCATGGTGGGACGATTCATGAATGAAGAATGGCGGCCGCTTATGGAAACCGCCAGCTGTCAAGGGGATCTGTAATTAAATAGTGCACCGTTATCACATGAAAACGGTTGGTCGCGTGGCCAAATGGCAAGGCGTCTGGCTACGAACCAGAAGATTGTGGGTTCGATCCCCACCGTGACCTTTCTTTTTTTATTGCGATCTCTTTTTATCTCTGTATAACAGTTTCATATTTTTTTTTGCTGTTCCATTCTCCTGGTTAGTTTCTTTCGCACAAGTATAAAATCTCGGCGCTAATACCTCTGAGTTTACAGGGCAGCGCTCTGGTCTCCCTTCAAATGCCGTCTTGGCCGTGTCGTGAGACACTCCTTTCTCCACAGCACTACATTCCACTTGAGCCAATATAATGCCTTTTATTGAAGATGCTAGTAGTCTCACATAGCTAATCACTGTCAATTGTCAAGCGGCTCGCGAGTGGTGATTCTCTCGCTGACACGACAAAAAACGGCAGGCAGCCGAGCAATGCTGCCATGTACAATTTACAACAAAATCATAAAATAATAAAAATGTATAGCAATCACTTACTTGTTGTGGAAAGAGGGAATACAAGACTCTGATACTCTGATACTCTAATACTCAAACAAGAGAGGTGAAGATCAGCCCCGAAATTGGCGAGGTGGAGAGATATTCTCCGACAGTCAAAAAAGAATTCCATCAAAGGCTCCGATGCAAAGGATGCGGGACGACTTTAATAGAGTTGCCCAACCAGACAGCTTAGATTTATTGCCAACTACACTCTTGCCATTCCTTGCCTCATTCGGGTGTGATGCCAGTCTCACTGCCCATCGCCCTACTGTACTACAATTAAAAGGAGGCGGTCGCCCTTTCAATGTTGCGAAACTATCCTCTACTCTAAGTAACTATCACCCACACACAAAGATGGTACACGCAGCAATAATCCTGGCCCTCTTCGCCCTCGCTGTGCACGGTGCACCGGGCAAAGTTCGAACGGTTCCCCCAGCCGCAGAGACGACGGTCGCCGCGCCCAGCCCGACCAACACATTACCAGCATCCGTGTCCAGCGTTCGCAGAGCCGCGCTGGGCTATGCCGGAAGAGACGACAAGACGGCGATACGGGCGCACGAAGGCGACGCAAGCTCCACATACGCCGCGGCAGTTGTCCCATCTGCGTTGACGACAATGAGCAGGCCTTCCAAAGTCACTTTGGCGGCCGTCAGAACAGCCTCGTCCAACAAATTGAGCCCCACGGGAACCAGCACCACAGTTTTGGCGACCACGGCGACCATGTCCAGCAAAGGGCCGTTTTACACGCCAGCGAGCGTGCGTCACGCCCAGGATCGCAAAACTGTCGTCGACTTGACAAACTAGTCAGTATCCCGATTCTTGCAGCCAAAAGAAACGGGACAAAGCTAACAGCATCCCACAGTAGTGCTTGTAGTGGCAAATGTATCCGAGAGGAACACGCCGCCGCTCGGGGATGCGACCACCGAGCCCGCGGCAACAGCAGCCGGGAGAGAGAGAATCGCAACATCGGGGCCCTGGTTTCCAGAGACCGAGTTGTAAGCTCTGAAACGGCCAATTCTACGCTCGCGGTCGGCGCAGTGGACGGCCGGCGACGCTTTGCAAGCTACGCGGTCAAACTCGTTGCCAACTGGGAGTTCCCCAGCGTCGACATACGCTGGGACTACCCGAAACAGCAACCCAAAGCCGCCCATCTCATTTCTCTTTTCTGAGACGATATACAGGCCTTGAGAGGAACGTGTACATTGAAGACGTTCAGTCGCCCCCCGCATTGCATATACATAGCTGCCAGCGTTGCGTTTTCATTTACAAGAGGAACCTCTTTACTAAACATAGCATCTAAAACCACTATAGCTCCATACTTTTTACATTAGCACATATGCAACCAATACAGTTGGAATCATTCAATTTGCCCTTAAGCTATCTATTGCCACGTCAGGGCTAGTCATCAAATCATATCTACAGCAACAACCCAACAACCACCGCCGCACCCAGCAGCCCCAGTACCAGACTAGGCTCCCGTCGCTGCCCGCCATTCTTCTCCGCCTTGATGGTCGGCTTGGCGTCCACAGCGCCCTGCAAGCCGCTCCCCGTCTCCGACGCGGCGGCCGCCCGGGCCTCGCTCGAAACCACGCTCGCAGGGCGGGGCGTAATGGCCGTCGTGATGGTCTTCTGGCCCTCCAGCGACGGCAGGGGCAGCAGCGTGGGGGCCGGGGCCCAGGTGTCGCTCGTCTGCTCGCGGAAGGATCCGCCGGCGACGACGACGGCGGCGTTTTGTAAGCCCTTGGGCGCGGCGGCTGCTTCGACTTCGGGCGCGGGCGTGAGAGCCGGGGTCTCCGAGGCTGACGGCGGCTGCACGGTTGCGAAGCCGATGGGGGCCGGTGGCGGCGGCGGTGGTGGTGCGGCGGCGTCGGCGGCGGGTTCCTCGGGGGCTGTGGGGGTGGTGGACGCGGGGGCTGCTGGTGCAACTTCCTTGGGGACCGCCTCTGGTGCCGGTTTCGGGGCCTCTGGAGCGGCGGCCTTGGGAGTGTCCGGCTCGGCCTTCGGTGCGGCTGGGGCTGGGGCCTCTGGTGCAGCAACCTCCGGGGCGGCAGGCGCCGCTTTCTGCGCCTCTTCTCCCTCAACCGGAGCGGCGGGCGCCGCTTTCTTCGCCTCATCTCCCGCAGCGGGAGCGGCAGGTTCCTGGTCGGGCTTGGGCTTCTCCGGAGTGGCTGTCTGTGTCGGGGCCTGCGTCGAAGTGGACGATGATGTCGCGGGATTGGGGAGCGGCTTCAACGAGACGGGCGGTGCGTCGCCGTCCGGCAGCCCAGGCAGGGGAAGCAAGCCGCCCTTGTTCTGGTCCTTGCCCTTGGCCTGTTCCTTTTGCCCATTTCCGCCAGCACTGTCCTTTTTGCCGTCCTTGTTGGCGCCCTTGTCCGCGCCCTTGTTGTTGTTGTTGTTGCTGCTGCTGTCCTTGTTGTTCTTGTTGTCGTCGCCGCTGCTGTTCTTGGCCTTTTCCTTGTCGGCGTTTTGCTTGCTGCCCGTTTTGCCCGCCGCGCTGCCGCTCTTGCTCAGGTCAATCTGCTGCGTCGGCTGCCTCGTGAGCGACTGGATCAGGAACGGCTGCGAGACCACGACCTGGGAGCGCGCGTCGATGATGACCATGGCGAACTTTGGAAAGGCGGTAATGGTCTCGTCGGCCGTCCATTGCAGGACGCCAACGTTTCCAATGTTGACTGCAATACCCCGGCATGGTTAGCAAGGAGGTAAAAGAGGCCGTGTGTGAGGAGACAAGTTTACCTGCAACCTGTTGCAAGACGACGTCTTGTCGGATCGCGGCGCCAGCGGGAACGAGGTTAATTGAAATGGGCGCTTGCAGCCCAGACTTGCTCCACTGGATTTGAATCGCCCGGTTGAGCTGCAGACTGGCTGACGAGTTGGGAAAGAGAAACTGCGCGGTGGCAGCGCCGGCCAAGGCGACGCCCGCCCATAACGTCTGAAATCGCATCTTTCAAAAGAGGTGTGTGTGGTATAATGATCGATCTCTGTATGTACCGTGTCAATCAAGGAAAGTAGTTGATATTGTTTAATGAGTGTGTGGGATTGTGAGTGTGTGAGATGCAGTAAAGAGTGCAAGAGTTGTCAAAGGAGCAGAGGAGAAACGATCAGACAAAGAAGGGATGCGGCTGATGTTTTCTTTAAAAAACCATCTCAACTCTTCAGCCGACCTTTAGACAGTAGCTAGCCAAGTAAAATTAAAAAGAAAGAAAAATGTTGGTCTGACCTGGCTTTCACCTTGTTCTCGCAGTGTTTGATCTGCGTCGCGACCCGCCAAGCAGGCGTCTCAGCGCAACGTCTCACAATTCTCAGACAAGAAGGAACCAGGAACCACGATTTCTGGCCGCTACAGGCAGGCAAACAAGGTTTTGTCTCGGGGGCCGCGGTACCGTTCGTCAGACTTGGCTACTGCGCCGCCCATCATTTGTTATGCTTAACTGGTCAAGCCCGCGACGCAACATGAAACCGCATCGGCCAGACGCCGGACCCCTGCCACGGCAGCCACGGCGAGCAGAAAAAGGAACCACGGGAAATCGCTATTTGACATGGTGCATCGAGATGCCAAATACATCCATACCATTTCAGGGACTAGCGTACACGAGAGCAAGATAAATTAGTAAAAAAAAAAGGGAAAAAAAAAAGTACAAAACGCAAGCAAAGCCCATAAACTGCCGAAACCAGCAGCAAGCACGCCATCAGCGCCCAGTATACACCGTAATTTTTTCTGCTTTCCGTCAAAAAACCGTAGATTGCATCATGGAATTCTATCAGTCATAGTCGGTCCCGACTTAGTCCTGTCCCTCGCCCGGCGTGCCTGTCGCACCCACCCCGTGGAAAGCATCGCCAAACGCAGAGTCTTCCAGCTCCATATGAAGGTCCATGTCCTCGTCCAAACCACCGGCGCCACCATCCATCTCGGGCGCGTCAAATCCAGACAGCGCATCGCCGGCCGTGTCCAGGTCGCCCAGCGAGCTAAAGTCGTTCTGATCAAAGCTGTTGGAACCGGCCGGCGTGCCTTCCGCCGACGCTTTTGTGACGTGCAAAGGCTTGGCCTCGTCAGTCGCTGGCTTGGCGGCCGAGGGGGCGTCTACATTAGGGTCTGAGGTGCCATCCTTGGCTACGACGACCCAGTCACCCTCCTGCTCGCCCGCCGCATTGGCCGGCCCTCCCTTGGAAGCACCCGTGCCGTCAGTAGCTGGCCCAGCCTGGCCAGGAGCCGGCGAAGGCGCGTTGATGTTAGCTGGCGTCGCAGCCGTCGACTGGCCAGCCGACAGATGAGCTTGTGGTGTGGGAAAGTTGTTGGCAGGTGTAGATGCCGTCGACAGCCCAGTATGCATCTGGTCAAGCAGACCAGCCGCAGTGTCTCCCATATCCATGTCTTCGTCGTCCATCATCGACGCGCTGATCTGCGATCCAGCTTCCGAACCTTGGAGATTTATTTGCTGACCAGTAGGCCCCGCACCAGCTAACGCTTGTGGCGCAAGCTCCGGCTCGGGAGGAGGGATCTGATAGCCTCCCTCCTGCACCCGGGCGAGAGCGGGCTTGCGCTCGATCTTGCGGCCGAGAGATTGCTCTACCTGTCGCACAATTTCCTCCAGGCTGTGCTTGCTAGTAGCACGCGGATGGTCGTCGTCATTGTCCGTAGTTTCCACCCGACCCTCGATTCTCCATGCTTCAGGGCCAGTCTGTTCAACTAGCGATTTGAGTTCACGCTCTTTAGTACGAATGAAAGAGCCCTCCTTGAAACTAGCTAGCTTTTTCGCTTGCTCCTCCTTCATCTTGGCAATGTCGCTTTCCGTCGATGCAATGTACTCGTTGACCCGGTTGCGGAACTCGTCCGCCAGACCAGGTTCCAGCTTGCCAACGTAAGTCTTTGGAGGCATCTGGCTAAACGCGTCTCCACCTTGGGCTGCAAAGATGCCTTCTGTCAGCGAGGCAAGCTCGCCCTTGAGGCCCAGGCCAAGGTCGGCCGGGGTGATCTGTCCCATGCGATACGGCGAGGAGAGGATTTCCTCCATCCACTCATGGTTTTGCTGGTAGCGTCCGAGCGATAACTCTCTAGGTGTCAAGTGATCGAACATGTCGCCCCTGGAAATATCCTCGTCGTCATCCATGACCTCAATTGTCGGCATCTGTGGCATGGCCGCCTGCTGACCCTGACCGTGGCGGGCTCGCTTCGCGGGAGGTCCAGCGACAGGCTGCGGCGGGTATGCCATCTGCTGCGGCACACCGCGGGGGTTTTGCGGACCGCCCATCTGCTGGCGCGTGAGGTCGGGCATCGTGGGCCAGTTGACGCGGTCGGACAACATAAAGTCCTTACGTCGGAGCATGCCGCGGCTGAGGAGGAACGCGCGCTGCTGCATAATGGCAGCGACTCGGTCATCGTAGGGGATGACGTTGAAAGGCATGCGGTTTTCGGGTTCCGACTGGCCATAGTGGACAATGAACAAGTTCTGGTCGACGGGAGGAGGGCTCGGGTGGCCAGGCGCCGGCACCAGGCGAAAGCGTCGTCGGGCGTGCGCGGCCAGCTGCTCGCCGGGGATATAGCCAGCCTTTAAAAAGTAGATTTCCATAATCTAGCCGTGTTAGCCAAGATCGAGACGTGTTTGGGGTTTGACATACGGCGCCATTGCGAAGGTCATGCTTATAGATCTCCTCAGGAGGCGACCACACGAAGCCATCCGTGGCAAAGTTGGTACCGAGGCGCTGCAAGGACTGCCACGTCAGGAGAGTCGTGCCGTCGGCAGGCTTGTCGAGATAGCCCCAGAAGAAAGGAGCCTTGTCACGCGCGATTTGCGGCGCGGCCATCAGCCACTTGGCAACTTCGTTGATGTCCAAGCGCGGCGATGCTGGGTATCGGAACGAGGACATGAGATGGATGTGTGGAATCTGTGCGGCATTAGAGAGTACACATAACCAAGAGCAGGCTCAGTGCAGCAGGATGCGGATTTGCCTACCAACTCCCCCGGGACATTGTGGCTGGGGTCGGGTTGTTGCGCCATGGTGAAATGTACGGCGCACGTCAGGCGCGGTCGCGAGGTCGATCAAGCGTTCTCTTGTCGGGCAAATCAATCGCAGAATATCAGAAAGGTGGGTGATGGGAGCTTCTGTCCGAAATTCGGATGACAATGGCCAGGATCGCGCGCGGCGCAACAGCAATCGCGATCTAGTTGATGGCACTTGTTGGTGTTGAAGGAAGCTTGACACCCTTGGGTCGCGCGGCGGACCCAAATTTCCTCGCGACGCCGGGGCAGCCAATGATATCGACGCGCCCGCGCAAAGCGATGACAACGAAAGCTCCAACTTTGACGTTGGAAGGACATCTCCGATCTCAGATTCCAAGAGTATATCAATCAACATTTAATACAAAATCCACTTTTTCCTCATCCCTCAAAGGCGAAGCCAGGGTAGAGGTGAGGTGGCAGACAGTCGCATCACGTGATCCACTTGCCAAAGAAATCGCAACCTCATGTGGCAAGAACAGCGACTGCACTTTCACCTAAACAACCACAAGCCACACATCAATTAATTCCGACCTTGCCAACTAGACGCAAGCTGCCAGATCCAACTTTGAGCGCCAGAGAGCTCAAAGGTACGTCCCTGCACTTTGCTGCAACATCACCGTCTCCGCTCGGCATTTTTTGTTCATCATGTCGTACCCTCTCCCTCCAGGCACGAGCTCGCTCCCCGCGCGACCACCGCCCAGCAAGACGCTCCCTGCGCGGCCGCCGCCCAGCACCAGCGGCTTCAAGCCGGCCTTTACGCCCTCGAGCGTGCAAAAGAGCCAGAAGCCCGCGTCGGCCCCTCCCATTACATATGCGTCGTACCCGCACCGAGCGGCCCCCGGCGGCGCGCAACCCCAGTATGGCGCGGCAGCGTCCCAGTACAGCGCCGCGCCCAGCGTGAGCGCCGCGCCCTACTCGTACGGAGCCCAGCCGACCAGCTACGGCCAGCAATCCTACGGCCAGAACGGATACGGCGCCGCCAGCAGCAGCAGCAGTAATGCCGGACCGCACATACGAAACCCATTCCCGGAGCCCGGCAGCGCAGCAGCAGCCGCCGCCGCGCCCATGACCGCCGGCGGCGCTCCCACCGCCGAGTACGACGCCGAGATGGCAGCGCAGATTGCGCAGTGGCAGAGCGCATACCTTCCGCGCGACCCCAACGCCAAGGACGCCAAGGGCAACCCGGTCGAGCCGCTCGTCAAGGCGCCGGAGATCTCGGTCGCGCAGGCCCACCCGGACAAGACGGTCGTCCGGCACGGCGGCGGCACCAAATGGACCGACGAGACGCTGCTCGAGTGGGACCCGTCGCACCTCCGCCTCTTTGTCGGCAACCTCGGCGGCGAGACGACCGACGATGCCCTGCTCAAGGCGTTTGCCCGCTGGCCGTCGGTGCAAAGGGCGCGCGTCATCCGCGACAAGCGCACCACCAAGTCCAAGGGCTACGGCTTCGTCAGCTTCAGCGACGCCGACGATTTTTTCCAGGCCGCCAAGGAGATGAACAACAAGTACATCCAGAACCGGCCCGTTGTCGTGCGCAAGGCCAACACGGAGATCAAAGTCACCAGCGCAAAGGACAAGAACAGGAACCATAAGAACAGGAATAAGAGCGGCTCGGGCGGCCACGGCCACGCTCAGCAGGGCTACGAGGCAAACTTGGGCGCCAAGTCGGCGGCCGGTGTGGTCAAACCCGGTCAGAAAACCAAGAATGGTCTGCGACTACTCGGATGATTTGCTTTCGCTCCGCTGTACATAGATTAGACACATGATTTTCAGGCGTTGGGGACTGCATGTGTGAAAGCACGGTAGGGCGCATGGCAAGGCTGCTTCAAACAAAATATATACCATTATAATTTGGGTATCTTTGTGCTCTTGTATCTTGTAATAACGCGCCAAATGCGGCGTACATGATGTCCACTGTGCCATGTGTAGTATAAAACCCCAGACGCCATACCAAATGCAAAGCCTGTACAATGCTAGTATACATTAGAGTGCAAGTCTTACATCTTGCGTGTGCAAAAAAAATCAAGGAAAGGTGAAGCGGCAAACGCTATTTTGTTTGCTCGTACTCTGCAACAGCAGGAAGTGGTGCGTTTTGTTCGCCTTGCTGTAGCAGCCCGGCAGACTCTTCATTGATATCATCATTGTCAATGTCGCTGCTTGTGTGGCTGGAAAACGTCTTGTCGCTTTCGACAGGGTCTTGGACCGCTTCTTGGGCGTCGGCGCGCATCTTGGAAATCTTGACATAGTTGTATGCGCCAATGGCGACAATCGTCGTGAGCAGGCCGATAAAATTGACAAGGCTCAGTTCGTCGTGGAAGATGACGGATGCGGCAGAGATGGTGACGACCTCCTTGAAGATGCCCGCAATCGAGAGCGTGACGACCGACGTTCGCTGTAGCAAGGCAAATTCCGACGCTATCATGAGGAATGCAATGCAGCCGGGGAAGAGCAAGAAAATGGGCGTCATAACGGTGCCGAATTCTTGGCTAATGCGGTCGAGGCCTTCGAATAGTTCACTGAAGCCTTCCATGGGTATCGCCATGGCAAAGAGGGTGATGAACATGATGGGAGAAAGAAAAAAGATGCTGGAAAACGGGTTTGATGTGGCGGGATTGCGGAGAAGCAGTAGCTGTGTCAGACCCCAGCGGAAGCCGGAGAAGAAGGCGGCAGAGATGACGAGTAGAAACCCGGAGAGCTTGAACTCGACCTCACCAGAGACCATGAGAATAACACCGACAGTCATGATAGCAATGATGGCGACCAGACGCCAGGTCGGCTTTTCGAGACGAAAAACGAAGGCGAAAATCAAGACGAAGGCTAGCGAGGAAGATTTGCACATGGCTGGGTGGCGTTAGCTGCGTAACGGTTAACAAAAAAACAATTCGGAAAAGCTTACTGTAAAATGTGAGTGTGATGGACTTGAGCGACATGTTGCCGAGTCCGATATCCAAACTAGTCGCGGCACCACACGGGCCAACCCTTGTGAGGTAGTACAGCTTGGACATTTTGGACGAGTTTGGTCCGTCTTCGTGTCGCGAGCGTCCGAGATCGGAAGTGTGTTTGTGATATGGTCGCAATGAAGGAACAAAGTACAAGACGAGAGAGGCGAGAGAGAATTGCACAATCATGTGCATGGCTGTCGTAAACAGGGGAAAGGCAAAGTTGAGTCGGTCCTTGTCAAACATCCATTTGTTGTACTACAACAGTGTCAGTTCAAAGTCCCGATGTTGCACAAAACGGAGACTTACCAATGATATGGATAGCGAAAAGATGTACCAAAGCAGAATAAGTCCTCCATTGATCAACAAGCGTCGGATGACGCTCCTATCTGCCAGTTGCTGCTCGTCCACCGAGAGGTTCTTCTCCTTGGCAATGCGCTGATCTAGTCGCGTGAGCCTGCGCCGCTGCTTCTGCTTGCGCGTCCGGTCCTGGGCCGTGAGACCAAGCTCCTCGTCATCATGCACGTCGTCGTCGCTGAAGCTCTCCAGGCTCCAGTCGTCCCGGTCGACGGGCGCCGGCCCTGGCGCCGGGGCCGGGGTTCGCTCGCCGCTGTGGCCAGAGAAGCTCCCCGACGGGCGCCGCGTGTGTAGGCTGTGCGGCGAGGTGCGGTCGCTGCCGCCGCCGGCGACGGCCGGGTTCATCAGACTGCTCTTGCGCCGTCGGTGGCTAGCCATGGGGGCCATCTCGAAGCCGTTGGTGTCGTCGGACGCTGCGGCGGATGGCTGCAGGGATGTGCCGGGTAGCGCGGGAAAGGCAATCGAGGACGACGAGGATGCGGGCGATACTGTCGAGGTGCGGAGATCTTGGTGTCGAGGGGGTTGAGAAGATGATCGGGCAGTGGAAGAGGCCGCTGGGTGCAAAGGCGTGTTTGTGGGAGACATGGTGGGCTAGGATGGTCCGTCGGTTTGCTGGAGGGCCAGCTACCCGTCGTTTGCTCGCGTGATGACTGCTGAGCTTGCTCCTTCCTTACCCCGGGTAGCAGAGTCGTGTGGGTAAAACGGGTAAGCAGCAAAGGAGCGGCAAGATAGGTGATAGGTGGCTAGGGAAGTTCTCCTTGCTCTTGTGCTTGCCCATTACTTTGGCTGGCGCGCGCGAGATGAAATGTGGAGCTGGAGCATGGACGGCACTTGGCGGGGTTGACTAATTGACAGACTCGCATCTCAAGCTGTACAATTGATTGATTGAGCTGGAAAAAAAAACTTATTTTTGATCAATTTACGGGTTATAATAGAGTTGAACTATTATACTACTTTATCGTGGGGTAATAGACTGCTACCCATGTACCTACCTACTTACTCGGTGTGTACAGTCGTATAGTCAGTCAATGGCTTGTGACGGTTTTAGCGGTACGATACCACCACCCCCAGCCGCTGAAGAAGAACGGTCCTCTTTTCAGGGGGTTCCCGTCCGTGGCCAGGGGTCGAGTCAAGGCCGGATACAAATGGCATTGCCGTTGACCTTGCAACATAATGTCATTGAGTCATGCGGATGAGTGGTGCCCTGTAACAGCTTCTGTGGCAAGTCCTTTGGTTTCGCATGTCTGAACTGGCCATCTCAATTGATTCGTCGGCCCCCACAACATTGTACCGACAGACTACCTATCTGGTACCTAACTGGTAGTGCAACGACCTCTACCAACGTACAACGAATAATGTAGGTCTGTAGGTACATATGTTACGCATCTCGGTCTCATGATGTGGGCCCTCGTGTCCAGCCTGACAAATGCCATTTCAGATGACACCGATTAACTAGGTAAAAAACAACGCCTCCTCCGTTATATAGTCTGTCTAAAAGACTAATTTCCACATGACACAACACCAGTTCAACGAACAGCCAAAGTTCCCCCCGCGCAGCAGCCTATAAGAGGTCTACTATTCCGTCTCTACCAGGCCTTCTACTCATGGCCCTCTTTGTCGGCGCGCCTGATGCAAAGGACACAAGATCACGCCCGTCTCTCGCCGCTAACTAGGTGTAGCGCTGTTTGGCTCCTATCATGCCGACTCTTCAGGTCATGGCCGAACTCAATCAGCAGCCTCGCAACAGCCATGGCAGCCGTGTGCAACGGCGTATCCGCTGGCATGCTAGCGCCGGCCTAATGAGCATACTCTCTCGCGCCCTGTCTAATAAAGCGACGCTGTAGAATGTACTATGTATCTGAGGCCTCTAACGCCTGACTCAATAAGCAACCTCACGACCGGCGCTCTTAATACTTAGTAAGATACTACTACTTAAATTAAGAGGTTAGTATAAAATATTAGGGCTGCACAGTGTATGGATGGCGCATGGCGGTAATCGTGCTGGGACGCTGCGCCAGCGCCTAGCGAGGCGAGGCGCCTTGTGAGTGTGGTGTCTTCTTGCTGGTATCACCAAGACTCTATATTGGCGCCTCCCTCACGCAAGAGCCCCGCGACTTGCTCATACCGTTTGTAGCCGCCAAGCGTCCTGGGAGGTACTCTGCCCTTATTACTCGGTAGACATTCCCGAATTGACAAAGGGGGCATAACTTATGGTCAAAGTAAGGCTGCTAGCTACGGAGCTAGTGGTAATAACAAGGCTTAGAACAGACAAACAAATTGGCGGGGCTTCCAGCCAGGCGGCCATCCGCTAACCACGGGCGCATGTCAGTTCACCTCCTGACTCTTCATTATCTCGATTCTTGCCAAATTGCGCCGTGTCCGCCAAACACTTGCTCATGGATTCGACTCTGCTGCCGTGACAATGATGCGAATGCATCCGGCTCTGGCGCTGTCCATCGGCTTCTCTGTCTTGGTACGCTGTCGTGTGCTGCACGTCCCTTCTGCCCTTTCGGCTGCCCTTTGAGCTCCTCACTCATCGTTCAATCTGTAGTATCTGCTGCTTTTCAGCTACGCTCGATCGACATGCTGGCGAGACCCGACCTCCAAGTTCTACCGCCAAGACCGCGCCCACACCCCCGCCTACTCGACGTATCGTGTAAAGCAGGGCGTCCAGTTTGCCGACACTTGGTCGACGCAGGAGGCGACTCCCAACCTTGCCTCGGGCCAACCCAAGCTCTGCGTCGGTGTCGCTTCCGTATCGCGCAATGGCACATCGTACCTCAAGGCCACCTTGGGGTCGATGCAACAGGGGCTTAGCCCGGCTGAGCGGGAGAGCCTGTATTTCGTCGCTCTGCTCGCCCATGTCGATCAGAAGAAGCACCCGGATCACGGACAAGCATGGCTGGCCAACATGGTAGACAAGCTACCTTCCTACGACCAGGATCCTGCCCGAAAGGCTGTCGCTGAGGACATGGAGGCCAAAGGCGTGTCGCATTGGATAAAGTCGAAATTCGACTACTCTTTTGTCTTGGACGAGTGCAAGAGGACGGGCGCACCATACATATTAATGAGTGAAGACGACGTCGTTTTTCTCGACGGCTGGTATCACCGAACTCTAAAAGCTCTCGGCGGAGTGGAAGAAAAGTCGAAAAAGGCAAACGAGGATTGTAGGTCGACGGCACTCGGTACTGACTGGCACGCCTTATACTGACTACGGCCAGGGCTATACCTACGACTCTTCTACTACGAAGGCCTGCGAGGCTTTAATGCCGATTATTGGCGCAAATACGCCCGCACAGTCTTCTTTGTCGAATGTGCCGTCATCTCGGTGCTCATCATCTTGCAACGCTTCGTCCCCGGCGGCCCTCGCTTCGTCACCCGATGGACCGCGCTCCTCACCGTCGGCGTCTACGTGCCGCTACTCATCGTTCTGGCCATTGTCGCCGGCGGCAACTGCGTCGCACCCCAACCGCGTGGTCTGCAGGTCATTGCTGACAATATTTGCTGCGGCCAGGGCCTCGTGTTTCCCAGCTCCGTAGTCGACCCGCTGCTGACGGCGTTTGAAGGCGCGAGATGGGCCCAGACGCCGACGGACACGTTCATCGAGGACCACGCAGCCGCCACTGGTACATTACGCTGGGTGCTGACGCCAGTGGTCATGCAGCATGTCGGCGGGCTGAGCAGCTACGGTGAACCGGGCATTGTTCCCATGTCGCCGAGTGACACGTGGAACCATGCATTTGAGCTGAACAACCCAGACGATCTTGCCAAGGAGCACTTTAACGCCCTCGAATTGGGTGTGTCATGACTGTAATATGTAATTCTGATGTACCCCATCTCATTTAACGCCCATTTTTAACACTTATCTCAGGCATCCTTCGAGCCGTATCACTGTGACCTTTCCAGCTGGCTATTTTCATCACACGCAATATATTTCTCGTCTATTGTCTGCCATATCGAGTGCATAACTATGCGCTTGTTTTGTTCGACCGACTGCGTCAAATTCGCAGATCCGAAATTGATCCGCCGACGCATCGCGGCACATGCACCCGTCTCCCTCTACCAAGCGCATGGAACTTCGGCTGTAGGCCAAGCCTCCCAGTAGCTCTTCTCGGCGCAGACGTAGCCGTCGTCAATCGAGTAGCACGTTCTATGGCCGCTGGGGTCAACCCAGGCGGCGCGGCCGCGGACGAAGTCGATGCACAGCTTCTCCTTCCCAGTGCAAATGTCGAGCTCGACGCAGGCGTCTCTGTTGGTTTTCACCTCGGTGCAGCCGCAGCGGCCCTTCCAGCGGATCTTGTACTTCCAGCGGCCGGACTCGTAGTATCCAAAGAGGTCAAATCCGAGCGCATTGTCCGGGCACTTGCCCTGGTCGCAGCCGCTGAGGGTCTCGACGTCCGTCCCGGCGTCGGCGGCGGGGGCGACGGACTCGAGCGGGGAGCTCATGCCCAGGCCGGTGAGGACAAGGGCGGCAGCGGTGATGGCTTGGATGAACTTCACGTTGAGCTCTGCGAACAGTTGCTGCAAATTTTCATGTCAGAACGACGACGTGTGAGTGAGGCGAGGGGCGGAAATAGCTACCTCAGCTGGAGGGTCGACGAGCGGAGATTGTTTTTGGAAGCAGTGTGTGGTTGAATCCCCTCCGAAAGAAACAGGAAAACCTTGGCTTTATATATTCATCATTTTATATGCAACTGATGTATTTTTTTGTCTTTTGCAGCCGTCGCATATGTTGGCTCCTCCAGAATTGCACCAGGCTGGGATGCCAAGAACTGGATGTGCAGGGATCCCCCGCGCGGTACTGAAGAACAGACTCGGGTATGTCGTAAAACAAGGCAAAATCACTTCGTAATATTGCAGTTGCTGTCATATCTTTTCAATCACCTTCGAGATAGCGGCGAGACCTGACATCTACAAGATACAATATTCGCAGTTCTCCTAGCTGGTGAGGACCGTATGCGCATATACCGAAGTGTACTGTCGACGGGATGTCGGATGAAACGGGCTATGTATTGACGCAGCTGCGCACCGTATTATTCGAAAGGGTCTGTAATAAACTGACATGTCTGGGCGCAACCCTTGTGCGCCACGGATCATCTGTTGATGCACCTGCACGCAGCAGGGTCGTCGCATATCAGGACCAACGGCGGGATTGTTTGCCCATGCAGCAGCATACCACGGAACTAAAGAGGACCAAGGCTCTGGCTGCTACAATCATGCATCACCATGTTAGACATGGCTGAGGGATGTGGCGTTGATAGTACAGCAACAGGGCCAACGGATTATTCGCCAACGCAGGGCGCACCATGGTGCTCAGGATGGGTAAACAAGCGTCAACGGCTGTAGTATACTGTGACTCGTGATAAATATTAGTTTTTAACCGGCTAAGGTTTGCCTTTCAAGTCTCGTTCCCACGTCGGGGCCAGAAAGCAGATGAACTCCGTACTCGGCGCTGAACCCATACACTTGACAACCTCATGGCCATTCCAAAGCCCAAGGGTTCACAAACTTCTTTCCAAGTGGACGACTTGAGCTCCACTTCAGAGACCGCGAGGCTCTTAACCCTCTCCCGATGATGGCCTTGAGCCACGATTAGATGAGAGTAGTACTCGTCACTTGCATTGAGCGCACTTTCCTCAGCCTGATTCCGCTGCAGGCTGACACGCCAGGCGATGTGATGCCTTTCACATTGGCGGCAGCAGGAATCACCTCGCAGAAGCAGTGTTCTGCCGATCGAGACTCATTGGTCGTTGTAGGGGATGCAACGTAGTCTCAGCCGACAATGTTGCGCTTCACTGTTGCAACTCAGCTCCGCTCCTCGATCAGCCGACGGCGATAAGTACGGCCCCCAGCGTCGCCATCATGCATCATGGCATAGTGCGCACCGCTCCGTCTTTCTCTCCACTTTTCCAAGAAGCCCGGTGTCTTCATGTTACTCGTGGAGATCGGCCAGCCGAGCGCCCCAGTATGGGTATTTAGGCGACGTTCTTCGTTCTTCTCGTCAGATCGTCGGGAGGGTCGAGCGTCAACGCAAAGGCAGTCGGGCTCAAACGACTTGTTTGCCACTAGTGTGCGAAGCAACACTTGGGATTCAGAGTCGAGAGGAAAAGGGACCTCTTTTCTCTGCAAAAAGGGGTACAAGTTCGCCCGCCGGTCCGGTGGCGACGGTCGTGCCAGGCACTTTCTCTGAGACGCCATGAGTCGCTCAAGCTTGTCGCCTCGCTGCGCCAAAGGCCCGCCTCGCCAAAAACTACTCTCACGTTGCTGAATAAAGGCCGGTATTGGTGTGTTGGTTCAATCAGCTCCCGCCCTCGGTTCTCATCACCGAATATCATCCAAACACTCCGTACCTCTGCGGAACCAGCATTCCATCAAAGGGAGCAACTTGAACCTCAGATGTTTGTATGGGGTTAGCTAAATGACTGGTACATACGGCCATAGATAGGCAGTAGAAAATAACTATCGCGTCCCGTCTCGTTCTTGATTGTGGTTATTTGGCAGAAAATGCCGAGCCTGACTTTGAGGTGCTGCGACCAAAAGCCCGCCACTAGTCCTATCTAAGCATAGTGCTTGGGACACAGACCCACCAGTTTACAGATGCAGACACCGTTTTGGACGGAGCCAAGCCGGTCTATCCCGTTTTAGCCTTAGGTACCTATCAAGGCCGTCAAGGCCCAGCTGTTACTTGCTGAAACGGGTGAGCCCCTTGGCGACGTAAATTCGACGGCATCGGAACTCGGAGAAAGCGTGGGTGCTCAGGCTCTCTACAATCTAATTTGCCAATAGCTGAACCCTTATAAAAAACATACACAGCTGATAGAATGGCTCGCCTGAGTGCATATGTGTAGTGAGTGTAGCGTTTTAGGTCTGCATGATGCCTAGTCGTAGGAATACTGCATGAGTGAGCGTCTTGGATAGTAGGCCGTTCAAGGATTATTTTTCGAGTCAAGAACATGTTGGACGGCGGTTATGCATGATTTCGTCTCCTCTAACTTATTTCTTTGGATACCCTTCCTGGCATGGATATGGATAGCTGTTCTATAATCTGTACCCAATTAATTCACGTATATAAGTCAGTGAGTGCTCACAATCAGAGAGCTACTAAATTCCCATTCTCTCCAACTTTATCAACATCTCCTCAACATCTCCAACAAGCTACCTTTTCAACTGTATACAATGCTCACCATTAAGCTCTCTCTGCTCTCGCTCGCTTGCGGCCTCGCCGCCGCTTCCAGGACGGGAGCCGCGGCCCGAGACACCGCCATCATCTCTGAGGCGGGCGATCTCGGTGCCATTGTCAACGGCAACGGACCTGATTGCGTCCAGATCGGCAAAAGCATTACCTGCGACGGCGGTGCCAACGCAGTCGCAGTCGCAAGCGGAGGCGAAGACGCAGTCTCAGTCGCAAGCGCAGGCACAGGCGCAGGCAAAGACGCAGTCGCAGGCGCAGGCGCAGGCGCCGGTGGCGTCAAGACCAGCGACGGGCTGATCTGCTCTCGAGTTGGAGACATCCTCACCTGCACCACCGAAGATGGCAGTGCCAGCGCAAGTACTAGCGGCGGCCCCGGCTTTACTTGCGTCAAAATTAAGAACGGGATTAAATGTGGAAAGAATGGAGGCCAGAACGACAATGATGACGATGCCGACGATGTTGACGATGCTGACTTTGATGACGAAGAATAGGGCAATTAGTAGATACATCTATTTTGGTGTATTTTACATATAAAATATAAGTACCTTTAAACACGCACACATAAAGCCTCTACTATGTACTATATAAAACTTGCAAGTTTGCCAAGACCACCACAGCATAGCCTTTGTATCGGTCTGCGACGCAACATGACGCCTGCAGCGACGTCAATGGTGACACGGCCTTGCCCGGCTACTTTTGAAATGTGGACGCGAATAGCTTTTCCAGCTACGACTCGTGGACCGGTCAGCCTCTGGCCGATGCCTTTGGTCGCCAGCCCCATCGAGTATGCAGAGCCCTGGCTATTCAGCAGTTTGAGCGCCGTCGCGATGCCGCTCCGTATGCGTTGAGGAGGCCTCCTGGCCAGAAGAGTTGGCTGGAGACAATGTTGCTATATGGAACCCAATCAATAACGCACAAAGTGGAGGTGCACTTTCCTTTTGTTTGCGTGAGAGATTCTCGCGACGAATCCCATCAACTATGGAAGCATTCGGCAACGCCTCAAACGACCCGCAACGACAATTCCTCCCGGCAACGCGATTCGTTTTGGGCGGGAAGCTCCCCTGAATAACTATCGCTTGAATCGTGCAAGGACGATAGACCGTCACTCATTATACGGCGTGACTGCTGTCGTCACAGACGAGAGCCTTTAGGATGCAGTAGTGAGGCGTGTTGTTGATGGTCGATACTTTATTGAAAAGTCGATTGAGAATGAGATAGTGAATTATGAGTAGGATATAATTTTAGAAGTAGTGGGACTACTAGGGGAGGACTTCCCTCTTCTAGTAATTAATAAAGTTATTTTTAGGAACTATCTACTATTATGCTATAATATTCTTACTATCTCTCCTGCTACCTTCTTTATGCTAGCTACCTCTTTCTTTAACACTAACCTGCCCATAACGACACATGTGTATACGCCAACGCCAGGTTAGCCAATCAAAACGAGGACGTTCAATTTCATCCGCAATAATTGACCTTCTATCTGCAGTACACACCTACCTACCCACCCACATACTACGTTGTGTCTACTAGTTAAATTTAAAAGTTTAGTATGTATTTTGTTCTAAGGTCCCCGCAGGCGTCATTTGCCCTTTTCAGGGATGTCACGACGATAAATAGTAATACCAATACCAATACCAATACTAGGTACCTAGGTGGCTGTTACCCCGCGTCTTGGTGCGGGAGCCCACTGGATCCATCCACTAAAAACCCACCTTACGGATCGCCCTATAGCGGACTTGGCGCCATTTTACATTTCACCCGCTAAGATGTTTGCTAGCGCAAGCCCATTTACGCCTTCATCACCAAACCTTGCAGCGCTAACCGCTAACCGTGGGGAATTCTTGTTCCCACCAATCGTCAACGAGCTCCCCTTCCAGCTCTTCTATCGGCAGCTTCAATCATGAGCGATTCCGGGATTGATTGCTCCATACCGCGGAACATGCTTACCCCAACCTACAATTCCGGTCTGCGGCTGAGAACTTTGGACACACGTCGTCCCCGCCCACGATGGTCGCAATAAATACTCGGCGCAAGCCCCTTGGCGCCGTGGTCGGCCACGCGGCGCTGCCGAATCCCTCTCATCATCTTGGCTGAACGCCTCCCGTACTCGATCGAAAAAGTCATCGCCAAGCAAACACGAGATGATGGGTCCCTCGACGTTGGACTCGTCGGAGAAAAACGAGGTACACGTCGAGCGCGTCCCCGACGCCGCTGACAATGCCGTGCTAGGATCGTCGCCTGGGGTGGGAATGCCCGCCGAGTTCGCCCACCTCGATGAGAAGAAGATTCTGCGCAAGGTAGTTGATTATACACGAGCTGTATGGAACAAGGGCTGCTTTGCTGACGCTGCTCGACGCAGATGGACGTGCGATTGATTCCTGTTCTAGCGCTCCTCTACCTGCTCTCGTTTCTCGATCGTACGCACCCCTCGCTGCTCTATACAGTTCACCACCTTGCGCTAACTGTCTGGAGGCGGCAACATTGGCAATGCCAACATTGAAGGCCTCTCCGATGACCTGCACCTCACCCCCGACCAGTACAACTGGTGCCTCACCGTCTTCTTCTTCACCTACGCCGCCTTTGAAGTTCCCAGCAACCTTATGCTCAAGAAACTACGCCCCAGCCGCTGGCTGCCCACCATCATGGTCGCCTGGGGCGTCGTCATGACGCTTATGGGCATCGTGCGCAGCTATCACGGCCTCTTGGCCACGCGCATCTTTCTAGGCGTTGCCGAAGCTGGCTTGTTTCCCGGTGTCGCTGTAAGCCGCCTTTGCACCTCGATACCCCATACACACCAATTGACCGTTTTTGTGCCCAGTATTACTTGACCATGTGGTACTGCCGCCACGAGATTCAGCTCCGCCAGGCCATGTTCTTCTCTGCCGCTTCCGTCGCCGGCGCTTTTAGCGGCCTCCTCGCCTTTGCCATTAGCAAGATGCACGGCGTCGGCGGCCTCGAGGGCTGGCGATGGATCTTTATCCTCGAGGGCCTCCTGACCGTCCTTGTTGCTCTGCTGTCCTTTTTCCTTCTCTACGACTTTCCCGAGACGGCAAGTTTCCTCACTGAAGAAGAGCGCGCGTTTGTCATGTACAGGCTCAAGTACCAGGGTCAGGTGGCCAGCAAGACGACCTCGGATGGCGCCGTCCGCGCCAAAATCGCACAGTCGGAAGAGTTTCAATGGAAGTACGTCTGGCAAGCATTTACCGACTGGCAGATTTACGTCAACATTTTTGTGTACTGGGGAGTAAGTCTTGTCTTTCGTGCAACTAACACGGTTGTGTTACTGACCGACGTACTTAGGTGGTGTGCCCGTTGTATGGCATCAGCTTGTTCCTCCCCACCATCATCAAGGACCTCAACTATACCAACAGCACCGCCCAGCTCATGACTGTTCCGATTTACATTACCGCATCAGTTCTTGCCGTTTTTGGAGCTTTCCTCTCCGACAGAGCAGGCATACGAAGTCCCTTTATTATTTCGCTGCTCTGCGTCATGGCCGCCGGCTTTGGCATGTAAGAAACCTCCCCTACTTAAAGCGAGCCAGAAAAAAAAAATTTACTAACACACGAAACTAGGTGCATTGGCTCTGATAACCCAAGAGTCGTCTACGGTGGTGTCTTTATCGCCGCTTGCTGCATTTACCCGGCTTTTCCTGGCGTCATCGCCTGGCTGTCCAACAACCTCGCTGGCAGCTACAAACGAGGTGTCGGCATGGCCTTGCAAATCGGCATCGGCAATCTCGGTGGCGTACGTTTACCTGGCACAATTACCCCACGCAGACACCAATTCGTTTTATCTTGATTTTTATTTTTATTTTCCTCCTTTACTAATCCTTACGTAGGCCATGGCGTCCAACTTTTACCGCAAAAAAGACAAGCCCAGGTTCATCCTGGGGCATGCACTCGAGCTGGGCTTCATCGGGGTAGGCATCATTGCTGCCATCCTCCTCATTCTGTCGTACCGCCGAATCAACCACAAGCGCGACAGGCAGATGCGCGACGGTGCCGACCGGCTGCACACGGAGGAGGAACTGGCCGCTATGGGCGACAAGGCGGTTACATTCCGATACATGTATTAGTACAGTTTGCAAATCAATTATGTATATATTGATATGGGTAATGAGAGAGCAAAACGAAGTGCATATTAAGTTCCAAAGACATGGCAAACATGGCGCAGATGGTCCCAGACAAGATTTCTACGGCTGAAATGACAGCATCGATATCAATCGCGCAAAATCTCGTGGTGAATCGAAGCTATAACCACCACAAGAATCTCCCAGGGAGTGGTGGCTACAACTTGTTCTACATCCTGCAAACAGGCTTTCTCGACTACCGTCCTTGCCATGTCTGATGAAAAAGTCTGTATCACTCAGGGCTAGTTTGACCTAGAAGTAAATTTTGGCTCTGAAAGTCTCACGCATTCTAGATTCTTCGACTTTCCTCTTGTCACCCGATAGACGCCCGACTTCTCCGGATGGTTCACGGGCGAAGCCGGCAGAGAAACAACCTAGGTATCATGTATCATGCACGAGCTTTTGTTAGAATACACTCTCCTAGGGTTTCTAGTCCTTCAATATCTCTCCATTTTTCATCCTCCTACAGTCACATTGGCGAAGACGTATGGAAGGATGGTGGCGATATACGCCAACTTCTGGGCCCTGTTGGACGTGTGCCCAGTCTCGGCGTATGTTGTGGTTTTCCTGCCGAATCTGCCATGCACTTGAGTCCCCACAGCAATATACTCGTCGTCGAGGGAGTTTTAACTTTTCAGAACATGTAGTAGGGGATGATGCAAACTCAGAAAAACAAAATTTGTAGGAGAGAAAGTATCGTTCAAGTGGCTCGGTGTAAGTGGCGGAAAGGGCTGGAACGCGGGAGCCAAAATAGAATAGGAAGAAAGTAATAAAATGCAATGTAAAAAGGGTTTATTAGTACCTGGTTTAGCAGCGAAGTAATCTTTTTGCATAGCGATATATACACTTTCTCCAGCCCATCATGAAAAGTTTCCGCTTGGCTTTGTAAACCATAAAAAGACTCGTCAATGTTGTAAACCTTGATGCAGTCTGCCCTATGCTCTTTTATTACTTAAAGCCCCCGTCCTCTGTTCTTCTTTTCTTTTCTGCAGGTTCATCATCCTATCATCTCAGATTCTCACCTTACCTTTGCATCCACCAACAACAACGAACAAGACACAAGAGAGTTCACACACACACAGACACACACACACACACACACATCACACATCACACATCACCTCACACATCAGAACCACCTTTGCTCAACGCCAGGGATCCCCCAAACCCACTAGCTGTTCCTTTTGAACACCATCCATACAACAAACCCCTCCAAAACACTCACTACACGTCCCCACCCCCCAAACCACTGTCAAGATGATGGCCAAAGAGGAATGCATGGGTCTCCTCAACGAGATGAACATGGCGCACCTTCGGGGTTGTGTTGAGCTAGCCAGAGTCTGGCAGAACACGTGCCTGTCGATCGTGCACGACTCAGACTGGGAGCTGCGAAAGCTGATTCGGCAGCCCGGCTGGGATCATGCCACTGTCGATGAGATCATTCGGCAGACGCACTTGGCATTGAGGGCCGAGGTGGAACGTCTCGAAAACCTCATGATGGAGTCGCATCGTGAATTGGAGACGCGCATGAACGGTCTGCTGCGGCACGTCCCCAGTAGAAATGAAAGAAGGGAGCTTCAGGAGGCTATAGAGGAGATTCTAGTGGCTTCTCTAGTGAGTATCGAGAGGGATAAAGAGGAAGCTTAGGCTTCGCGAGCAGTGGGTGGCCGGGGTGCCTTTGTAGGCCATGTTCAGGCTGTTTAGCCCTCTTTTTTCAAATGTCTTGCATTTTCATATCAGCATTCAGTCATTTTTATCAATATACCACTGTTCAAGCTGCATACAATATAAAAGTGATGATAGGCTAATTACTCCTTCCAACCAGCCGCTGCTCTGTCTAGATTAAACGCGGCGCTGATCAGAGCCAGATGGCTGAACGCCTGCGGGGTGTTTCCCAGCTGCTCTCCGCTGCGCGCAATCTCTTCCGAAAACATGGATAGGTGATTTGAAAAGCTCAACATGTTTTGGAACAAATTCAGGGCAAGTCCACGGTACTTGGGTTCGTAGACACTGGCGCGCGTCATGGCCTCAACGAGCCAAAATGTACACATGCTAAAGGCCCCTTCGCGGCCTCCGACACCATCATCCGACAATTCAGTATCGTAGCGGTAAACCAGTCCAGTGCTGGTGAGACCCCCCTGCTCGGGCGGGAGCAGGATTTTGTCGAGGGTTTTGATGAAGCGGGGGTCGCACGGCGAGATGAAGAAGACAAGTGGCGCGATGAGGATCGACGAGTCGAGCATGGTGTTGTTTTCGTAGCTCTGAACAAAGCACTCGAGCTCTTTGTTGTAGCCTTTGGCCATGATTTCTTCGCAGAGGTCATCTCGTGCTTCCATCCACTTGGCGCGGTTGGGGCACGGAAAGCAGCGCTTCTCGGCTAAGCGCAAGCCACGGTCAAAAGCCACCCATAGCATGATTTTGGAATATGTAAAGTGCTGGCGCTGGTTGCGTACTTCCCAGATGGAATTATCTGGCTCGTCCTTGATGGTCAAGACATAATCCAGCAACTCGCGCACGGCAACCCAGAGGTCCCACGGCACGGGCTTTCCGTATTTATTGTACAGATAAATGCCGTCCATCAGCTCGCCGTAAATGTCAAATTGCTTGTGGAACGCAGCACCGTTGCCGATTCGAACAGGGCGACTGTTTCGATATCCGTCAAGATGGTCTAGTGTGGACTCGGGAATGTCCGTCGCACCGCGAATCGTAAACATGATGGGCAGCGCATCATCGAGGCCCCGACTCTGGAGGCGCTCCATGATAAAGTTCATATATGCATCCGCTTCGGCCTTGAATCCGAGGCGTAGCAAGATATAAATGGTGAAGCTCGAGTCGCGGACCCAGCAGTAGCGATAGTCCCAGTTTCTAGAGCCTCCGATATGCTCAGGTACGGAGAAGGTGGGTGCAGCAACAATTGCGCCGGTTGGTTCTAATTCAAGTTAGCGGAATAAGAGCAAGATTTGGCCAAATATTGTACCAAAGGTGAGCATCTTCAGAATCATCAAGCTGCGGGAAACCACCTCCACCCACCGGCCGGTATACTTGGACTGTGCAATAAAGTCCTGCCAAAAGACCTGTGTATCGTGCTGCTGCATATCCAGCAATTCAGTAGTGATGAATTCGTCAACATGATTATCGATGTCGTTGCGGACTACAAATGAAAGAGCCTCGCCTGCTCGAATTTCAACACGAGCAACAAGACCCTCGCCGAGCATTCCGTCGCGTCGCTGCTTGGTGAAGCTGATACTGGGGCGTGTTGCGCCGTTGACACTCTCGGCAACAACATCGAGCTGCAATTTGACATCTTTGCTGTGAAATGTAGCGACCTTGCTCTCCTCAGCGGCCGGGCTCTGCGTCCCCCTGTGGACAGTGGTGACGTGGACCTCTTGGCCGTAGCCAAACGCGGGGAAGATTTCCACATCTATAGCAACATTAGATTGACTATGCATGTGGCTTGTGCAGAAACCAGGAACGCACCAATAGTGAGAAATCCGCGAACGCACTCCACTCGGCGGACCAGCCACTTCTTCAGTTCGGCCTGGACGCTCGCCGCTTCCCGAAACAAGCCTTGATCGCTGCTGCTGCGGGAGACGACCTTGGTGCTCTTGGGGCGAGGAAAGAAATCGATGAGGTCCACAACGCCGTCTTCGTGGATGTAGCGCGTCTGCAAGAGGCACGACGAAGGTAGGTATTGCTGTTTCGTGGTGCACCCGAGCTCGGGCGGCGGCGAAATGTTGAAATGGCCGCCCTTGTCCTTGTCTAAGAGGCGGCAGAAGACGGATGGCGAGTCAAAGTCGGGCCTGTGCCACGGGTCAGCAAACGACACTTTGAGAGCAGATGGTGCTCGAGTAAACAACTTGCCAGCACATGAAGTCAATGCTGCCATCGATGCCAACCAAAGCGCAGGTGTGCATGTTTCCGATCATTCCGTAGTCCTCGATGGGCAGATACCCACCAGTGTGCTCACGACGGGAGTGGCCCGCGTGGGATGTATGGGACGATTCCTCCATGGCGCAACTATCTTTCAACAGGCTAGTTATAGTAGCAGGAGGGGTTGATGATGATTTTTTTCCGTTTGGATGATGTAGGTGTTCGGAGGACTCTTGTTTATGAAAGGGCGAGGTGGAAGGAGGGTGCGGGGCATCATCGTGAGAAGCAAGCTACCCGTTGGTCACTAACACGCTATACCTCGATTATACGCCGCTGTATCAATATAGCTGTTATTGTCTCCTTGTTCTTTTTATCTTTACTTCCTCCTTTATTATCTTCGTTTTCACTTTACTTTTCTTGTATAGTTTCTCTTCCTTTTTGTCATCGAGCAAGCTGCCGATCGTGTTACCCAGTATAACGACTCTTGTCACCTCGATGCGGGGGAGGGGCTGAAAGTCGAGACATTTCGGGCGGCGAGGTCGGGACCCAAAGGAAAACGGTTGCTTTTTTTGCGATCCAGGTTCGTTGCTTTCATTTTAAAATCCGAGACAATGGCTTCTTTCCTATCAATATTCTTCTTTCCCAAACTGCAAGAGCCACTTATAACCTCCAGTACCGACCCGAGGCGTCTAACATAGTCGTCAGCCTTGTTCTATATCTCAAGCATCATCACCTGCTAGCGGACCAGAAATTCTATATTCGACCCGAGTTTTCAGACCAAAACTTCCTCCAGCGCGGGTCGGCGCGGTAATGAAGCTAGCCTCGCTCGTCCAATGCCACATGCCACCACTCGAAGTCACCGTTCGTTGAGAGCGAAGGACTAAAAAACAAATACAATCGCTGCGCTGCGATTAGTCTTCATATCAACCTAAAGAAACCCATACAACGCCACGAAACGACTCCCATTCACCAGTGAATTTGCCCAAGCAAAACACTGCAAATACTTCACAGCCCCGTGCTGCGGGGCCGCCCATTCAGCTCCGGTCCCCGGTCCGTCTCTCATATATTATATCCTCCGACTCACCCCATTTAGTAATCTTGCATCAATCGTGCTCCAGCCATCTCTAACCACTCCAACCTGACAGCGTACACTTTTTCCACGATGCCGCGCACCGCCCTCTTCGTCATTGACATTCAAAACGAGCTCGCCGGGCATCCGCCGACCCAAGTCCCCAGCGCCGCGCGGATCCGCGCCGCCGGCGAGCGCATCCTCGCCGCCAGCCGGGCCCTCGGTTCTACGAATACGCCCAACGGCGGCGAGCAGCAGCCCGCGCTGACCGTCTTTGTGCAGCACGAGGAGAGCCCCGAGAGCGGTGGCTCGCTCGTGCGCGGCGCGGAGCTGTGGAAGCTCGTCTTTCCGCCCCGCGACGGCGCCGCCGACGAGATTCTCATCGCCAAGACGACCCGTACGTTGTTATTATTGTTTTTTCATCCAGGAAAAAATACTTCAGATGAGGACTGACACAATGCAGAAAACACGTTCGAGTCAAACCCGGACCTGGCAGACAGGCTCAAGGGCGCGGGCGTGGACCACATCGTCGCCTTTGGCCTGCAGAGCGAGTGCTGCGTAGGGGAGACGTGCAAGGGCGCGCTCGCAGCGGGCTTTCGCGTGTCGCTGCTGCAGGGCGCGCACTCGACGTACGACAGCCAGGGCAAGACGGCCGCCGAGATTGAGAAGGAGGTGGAAGAGATGCTGGTAAGCCGCGGCGCAAAGGTGGTGCCGTGGGAGCTTGCCGTGTCGCAGTGGCAAACGGCTGGCGTGGTGTGCTGATTTTTTTGCGTGGCCTATTCGATTTCTTTCTTGCTTTCTTTCTTTCTTTTTCTCAACGTGCCGAACTGGCCTGTCGGCTCCCGCGTTTGTCGTCGACTGTAGTTGCCGTCGTCGAGTCAAAGAACCGACTATGAAGCGCTGCGCCTCGGACATTGGTACAATAAAAATCTAAGCGGCAAAGAAATAGATCATGCAAGTGTCCGTACGCTTTCAAGGACTATACGGAACGCGGAAGATAGTTTCTTTGTGCCCTCGCCGGGCGGAATGCACAGCCATCATTACCCGCACCATCACATCAAAGACGACTTCCTCAACAGTGTCATTCCAAGTTCGGATAGTGCTTTGATACTATGAACAAGACAAAAAACAGCTGTACTCGCAAATTCAATGCTATTCGATTCGATATAAATTGGAATGATTCCTCCGAATAGAATTCACCTCTTCATGCCAGCATCCTCATCATCCGCAATCATGTGTTTCCAGACCATCCAGTACAAATGCGGCCACGAAGAAAAGAACTTCCTTCACTGCCGCAACCGCTCCGGTATTCGAGGCTTCTTCAAGCGCGTCAAAGACCTTCTACACCACCACCAAGTCAGGACCCTGAACTGCGACCACTTCCCGCGCGTCCATGTGCGCCGCGACCACAACTGCCATCCGTGTCTGACACGGCAGATTCCCGACCTTCTCAAGCGCGAGCACAGACGCCTCTGCACCATGAGGGGCGACTTTTCAAGCGAATTCGCTGACAATGGCCTGTCCCGGAGTCGACTGCTGAATGCCCGTCCTAGGTGTGTGATCGCCACTCTGCCCTCCTGGGCCAAGATTTCATCCTCGCTAACGTTGCTTTCATAATAGTCTCAGACCGCAGCGCGCAAAAAGAGACTTGCATGCCCAGTACAGAAGACATGGTCTGCCCAGGTACGCTTGGCTATCCTCCGAGGACGTCGTGTCGGACCAAGCCAGCCCGTCAGCGCCGCCTAGGGAGACGGCCAACGCACGCAATAGCAGAGGCAGATAGTGTCCGTCTCTAAGTCCAAGCGTATGGACAGACCGCCCAGTCAATGACTCTGTGGCATCTTTCACATGTGTCACGGCGCGCCAGCTGGAGGCGTCGGCCGCTCAAAGGGGATCCGTCGCGCATCAGGATTCGTAAGTCCTCACCCATGTATGCTGATGTATACAATAATCAAATACAAATGGCGAGTTTTGTCACCGGCCATGGTCGGTAAGCTGCCTCGCCCCGATTGTCACTGAAGTGCACAGGAAGAAAAATTGGGTATGGGAAGGCGTTCAACGCGCTTTGTTTCGATAGATCAACAGGAACCATATACAGACAACCTGGGGTTGTGCATGGCAACCTCTTTGGTGGAGTGGCCCTAAAATACAAAAAAACAGTAACCTTGACCGAACTTTTCCCCATGCAGAAACAAAAGACTCGCTGGATGTGATATGACATGAATAAAAGGAGTTGTGGTGAAGGGGTAAGGGTGAGTCTTGAAAACAGAGTTCAGGCGGATACTGTCGCTTGTATGCGCCTGTGGCTACCTACCTATCAAGCAAGGTGCCGCCAAAGACGACCCGGAGCACTTGACGCGGCACACAGTATCCGGCATTTCTGAGAAATGGTGCTTGTGTTGGCACGTATCGGATAGGCGGGCGTGCCTTGCGCGACACATAATCAGCTGGACTGCGTCGCAGCAAGCTTCGTTCGCTGCATGCTTATTGAGCTTTGCCATTCTTGGCTGAAGCATCGAGCTTGGCAATGTCAACGCTGACCTGCTTGTCCACACGCGCCTGAAGCTCCGGGCGGTAGCCCAAAACAAAGAGGATTTCGAACCAGACAAACATTGGGGCAACGAAGAGGGCCTGAACCAGTCTGTCTAGCAGGGCTGGGGCACGTCCTTCAAAGGCGGCGTGGCCAATGAACTGGGCAATCCAGGCCAAGACGTGAGCACCTACAGCGACCTGCAAGGTTTCCTCGGGGTTCTGCAGGCTCATGTGGCGGGCAAAGGCAGTGCTGCCCAGGCAAAACGCGCCGAGGATGAAGCCCGCAACAGGTTCGAGCAGCAGGTAGAGGACGGTATAGATGAGCGCAATGATGGTGCCGAGATTAAGGTCAAGATTAGGGACTGAGAGCCATGGTGGCAGGTCGACGAGAGGTCCCGTATATGTCGCCTAAATTTGGCATGTTGAGTACGACGCGATTGGAGGTGGGGGGCTACACCAGTTAGGCAGGGGGTGACCTACGACAGCAAAGGCAGAAGTCAGGATGACAGGGACACAGAGCATGTGAATACCCTTGTTGATGCGATTGTAGTGATAAGTAGCATACTGCAGAAGAAAATCAGCAACAGAAGAATAGAGATTGCTGAAAAAGGGCGCGGCGGGAGGCGCGGGCGCATACAAAGACGAGATGTCTCTCGAGATCAAGCGACATTTTGGCAATTGGTCACGCGAGCGTCGCGCGATGGTAAGCTAGAGCAGAGCTGGGGACAAAAAGGGCTGAACCGAGTAGCCGAGTAGCGAAAAAGGGCGAGCAGGAGAACGATGGTATGTCTCCAGCTGGACGGGGGCTTTGATGCAACAAAATGACGGGCAATGGATTGGCGATGATGAAAGAGTGTGTGGAAAGAGAGCCTTCTCCAGCCCTTTTTTTTTTTCTCCTCGGTCGCGAGGAGCTCCCAAGTCCAGAGCGGTCGTTCAAGCTGGGGGCGTCTCGGGGGGAGCGCCGAAGGGGTGCGTGTTCGTGAGTGGGCTGGCAGAGGCTTGCAGTGAGAGCCAACGGCGGGCGGATCTGTCCTTTTTTTTAGTGGAAAGAACAAAGCAGAGGGCGCTGGAGGCCAGGTCGGATAAGCAGGGTGGGCTGGGAAGCCAAAGGGCTGCGGTTTCTTGGTTGGCCGGGAGAGGCGGAGCTGTGGGATGGGAAAGGGGAGAAGGAAAGTGAGGCCGCTGGCGAGAATTTGGAAAGCCCGTTTCCAAGGAATGTCGGATGTTGTCTGGCAGCTGCATGGCAAACGGGTTGAGCCATCGCATGTGCCTGCCCGAGGAGCTGACTGGCTGCATGTTTATCCGTAGTACGGATACGCGATACGTGTACAGCTTGTTATCGACAGGTATCTTGGTGCTTCAGCAGAAACGGCAGTATTCTACAAGAGACTGCTCAACAGCTTTATTATTGGATGGAATTGCATCTAAGACGCCTTTTACTACTTTTTAGGTAATTCGGATTTTCTCTTTAGAATATATTTCACGAAGAATCTTGTCATCAATATGTACCTACCTATGTATTCCAGTACACCAGTCCCCACTGCTCAGCATGTGGCCACTGTAAGCCGCTGTCCGGCTTCCGCAATAGTCTCGAGCGCACGGACCACTTACATGCTTTGTCCGATTTTGACCCATCGCGAAATCGAGCCAGGCAGCATCAGCCAGCGCCTTTTCATCTTCATCCCTCGCATCCCAAACCCGCGCGCCACGCCTCCGACGGCTTCCATCCCGGTGGGCAAGCCAGCAGTGCAATTCTCGCGGTCTGAATTTCCAGTCCTGACTTGACAACCTTGTCACCTGCCTGCCGCCCTTGTTGCCTGAGTGCCGCCCCGGAACGAAACCTCTTTACGCCCCTCCCACCGAAACCGATTTTGCTTCGCGACGCGCCGACCGATGCAAGAGTCCAATCGCGATTAATCGGCGCTTCGAGGCGGGCTTTTACTCGCTCCTTTGGTCCTTGTGTCATTTGGTAGTGGACGCTCATTCCGCTTGCGCGCGATACGAAACGCCCTTGCGACGCGACAAAATTGCTTCCTCTCGCCGAATCCTCGCCACGCTTCGTCTGTCCCGACCGCCATCATGTTCTTCCTGAAAAATATGGAGCGCAGAGTTACTCTGCATCCGTCGTACTTTGGTCGCAACATGCACGACTTGGTTACTAGCAAGCTGCTCAAGGATGTCGAGGGAACATGCGCTGGCAGCTACTACATCATCTCTATCATGGATACCTTTGACATCTCCGAGGGCAAGATCCTGCCTAGTAACGGTCTAGCCGAGTTTACTGTCTGCTATCGTGCCGTCGTCTGGCGACCATTCAAGGGCGAGACTGTCGATGCCGTCGTGTACTCGATCAACCCGCAGGGGTTCTTTGCCCAGGCTGGTCCTCTGCGACTCTTCGTCTCGGCACATGTATGGGGACTTGCTACCAGGTTGCGCAGGCGTTTACTAACCATGTTTCTAGTTAATCCCGAGCGATACCAAATGGGACCCCAATGCGACGCCCCCTCAATTCACAAACAACGAGGACACCGTCATCGAGCCCAGCACACATGTACGAGTAAAGATTATCGGAACGAGAACCGAAGTCGGCGAGATGTGGGCAATTGGCAGTATCAAGGAAGACTACCTGGGGTAAGATTCTGTGCCCGCTGTGCCAACGCAGCCTGATGCTAACAACCTGTAGATGTCTCCAAGATTAAGACTGTAGATGACCCGAGTCACCCGGGTACACGGCCTTGCGTCGAAGCACTGCTTCGACCAGTATTTTCCCAAATAAGGAGAAAACATACAGTCACGGTGACATGGGTGGCCCATACAAACCCAAGCGCTTAAATCGGCGTGCTGTTATGATTGAGGCTTGGTCTATGGCATGTTGGTTGGCTGCAAGGCCGGTGTATGCTGCTGGATAGTGTAAAGAATTCAAACGTCTCAGCCGTACCAAACAGAATGCCTGCTCGCGCACATATTTGGTGCTCAGCGGCCTTGAATGTGACAGTGCACCAATCCAAGCCACATTCGCCCGCCAATGCATGCATGAACCGGTGGCTTCATCCGACTCGCGGCCTCCATCCCGCACTCCACCCCCGCTGACCTGGTCCGATCCGACGCCGGCCAATGTGCGTCACTCCGTTTGCGCTCCGCGGGAGCTACTTGGGCGCGCCCAAACGTATTCGTCTCGTCTCTACTGACAGAGCCTAAATGCCCGTAACCTTGTACTCAATGGAAGTACTAGAGTGTTCCAACTTGCCCACCGGACAGCCTTATTTAAAGAAGCCCGACACCCCGCAGGCTAAAATGTTGGGTAGCGCCCTCCAGTACAACACAACGACCCAACACCAACTCCTCCTCCTTCTCCTAGACCAATCAAGCTGCGTCTGCATTCTGCGCGCCGTACTTTTTTCATTCCGGTCCCATCATATCAGATCATCAGCGCGGCAAAAAATAATCGACAACATCTCTTCAACACAGCCGCCATCATGCAAGCGTCCAACCGTCTCCGTACCGTCTTCGCCGACGGCAAGCAGGCCATGGGCATGTGGCAGATGATTCCCGGCGCCAACGTGTCGCGCATCCTCGCGAGCTCCGGCGTGGACTGGATCATGGTGGACTGCGAGCACGGCAACATGGATGGTAAACATTGAGGAGCGAACTGCTGGCTGCGGCGGGTAATTAGAGAGCTAATGTGCATTGACAGACAGGGCCATGCACGACGCGGTGCCGGCAATTGCGGCGCTCGGCGTGTCGCCCATTGTGAGAATCCCAGACATGCAGGGCTGGATGGTGAAGCGTATGTAATAGCATGTCTCCCCGACGAAGCGCACCAGCTAACGGTGATATATACAGGCGCTCTAGATGCTGGCGCTCATGGAGTAAGTCTTGACATAAGTATAAAAGCGCGGCAGAACCTGACCAAACGTGCAGATTCTCGTGCCGTTGCTGCGCTCGGCCGCGCAGGCCCGCGAAATCGTCGAGAGCGCCAAGTTCCCGCCCGTCGGCAAGCGCGGGTTCGGCTCCCCCATTGCCCTCTCGCGCTTCACACCTGTCCCGTCCTTTACCGAGTACTTGCAGCAGGCCAACGACGCCATCCTGACCATGGTGCAGATTGAGACACAGGAGGCGCTCGATGAGGTGGAAGAGATTGCCGCTGTCCCGGGCATCGACGTGCTGTTTGTCGGGCCCTTTGATCTCGGTATATTTGTCCCTTCTCTGTCTTTTTCTCATCTCCCTCGGCAACCGTTCCCCCTCTGACACAGCGACAGGCAACAACATTGGTCAGCCGATCCTCAACGGCGTCGTCACGGATGAGCTCAAAGCGGCCATTGCCAGGGTGCTGGCCGCCGCGCACAAGGCTGGCAAAAAGTGCGGCATATACTGCGCCAACGGCGCGCAGGCCAAGGCCAGCGCGGCGCAAGGGTTCGACATGATCAACGTGGCGACCGACTACACGTCGCTCGAGGCGCTGGTCAAGGAGGAGCTGAGCGTCGCGTCGTCGCAGGCCAAGCCTGAGCGAGGCGTGTCGTACTAATAAGCCTTGGGAGGCGATTGTCATTTCGCAGGAATAGATAGTCCCCGCTAGTTCTTTTCAACCTGGTCCATCTTTTCTTCCACCTGCTCGACAGTGAATCGGTGCATCAGCTTGGGCCCCTTGTCCGGCTTGCCGGGCTGCTCGGCGGGTGCATCCGCCTTGGCGATGTGAATCTGGTACATGGTTAGGTCACTGTGTTTGTCTCTTTTCTGTATAAAAGAAATTGATCGCGTACCACCGGGATGTCGAAATCGTACATATTGCGCCAGGCTTCGGATTCGGGCAGCGCAAGATTGACCTCTTTGTAGGCAAACGGCCGCTTGTCCCAGACGTTGGACAAGACGTCCTTGGCTTGCGTACAGAGACCGCAGTTGTCACGGCTAAAGAGGGTGATTCTGCAGGCGTGGAACAGGGAGCGTGTGGCAAACATGGCTGCTGATGAGAATGTGTTGGAGAACGAAAATGAACAAGATTGCTGGTTGTGGTGTTAGGGGTACTGATCGTCTCCACATGCTGCACTACGGCAGCCTATAGGTGAGTTGTCGCCAAATCCCAATTCACACCCAGTGTGTGGTTAGATATAAAATAATACGTACGCAAGTAGGCCGTTATATTTTTTAGATATATATTATCCTTATAGCCAGTTAGCAGCTACTAAGCTAGCCAGCCAGCCAGTAAGGAAGCCAGCTAGCGAGGAAGCTAGCCAGCCAGCGAGTAAGAAAGCCAGCTAGCCAGCTAGCGAGGAAGCTAGCAAGGAAGCCAGCCAGCCAGCCAGCAAGGAAGCTAGCCAGTAAGGAAGCTAGCTATATACGCGAGTGAGGCCTATTTTTAGATAGGGTACTAGATAGGTCTCTTTTTTAATAGCTAATTTTCCCCTATCACAACGCTATTAGGCGTCTAACACGGCTTCTAAAAAAACATAAAAGATCTTTAACACGTAGCAGCAGCCTGATAGCGTTGTAATAGGGGAAAAAAACATGTTAAGTGGAAAACGTGTCTAGTGCCCTATCAGAAAACAGGCCTTACGCGCGTAGGTAGCCAGCTAGCAAGGAAGCCAGCTAGTAAGGAAGTCAGCTAGCAAGCAAGCTAGCTAGCCAGCTAGTAAGGAAGCCAGCTAGCAAGCAAGCTAGCAAGGAAGTAGTAGGGCACTTATTATTAAAGAAGCTTACTAGCTACCTAGGTAG